TAAACCATGAACCCTTGTCACCCTCAGCACGATGTTTTATTTTGTTATCAGAGTATTCACAAGTTTTAACCTTTTTCGGTCCTGGCTTTCCTTTGCTTTGCTTTATGCATTTTTTTCTCAATAACTCAAGGGGTTTTTATATTCTGACTTGATATTTTGTAAAGCGTAACCCAGGTGTAAAAGGGATTTTGGAAAGTCTCTCGACCTTTAATGTAAACCGAACAGACTTGATTTGGTTATGACCAAGCTACAGCTAAAACTCCTAATAGCTCGCACATTTTAAAACAAACAAAATGCACAGATAAACTTTCTTGAAGGGCGATTGTAAACAAAGTTGATTTAACATAGGATCTCCCGGTGAAACTTATAATATTTTGGAAAACGCAAGCCAGGTGTAAAGGGAGTTTGGAAACCCTCTCGACCTAAACGCAAACAGATGATCTTGTGGTAATAGCCAAGCTACAGCCCAGACTCCCAACAGCTTGTACACAAACAAAATGCACAGATATTAAACTTTTCTAGTTGGTTGAAGCTTCCCCGAAAAGTGCTGAAAAGCGCATAAGGAAAAATGCGCTGTATAAATTCATCATTATCATCATCAATTAAACCTTAATTGGTAGCCGCTTTGCATTAGCTCTTTATTGTTTATTTTCAGTTCTTCCACAAATTCAAATTTCCTTGATTATCACAATTTTTGTTCCCAGCTAAATGACAAATTAAGTCCATTCATCAATACGTTTATACCTTAACAGTGATAAATTACCTCGCACCACCAATTATTCTCTCCTTTTCAGGAGCCAGAGCTTGAGTCGAACTTTGCTTGTATAAAGAAGCGAGGAGCTGGTTGCATACGGGATTGGCCGTATCCTTTAAGGAATGTTTCAAACGTGATACGAGATAAATGCGAGTAATATTTCAAGAAAAATCAATACGTTCCAGAGAGATTCTTCTATACATAATGCAAGCGATGTTCTCTTACACTGCACTGAGCAGTTTAAAGAAGCTAAAATATTCTCAAGGAGTTCTTTCAATTATGTTACGAAACTTTCCTCAAAATTAAAGAGGCCAGATTAACTAATTCGCAGAGTTTGTGCTGAAGGCCCCTAATTTTTGTCTTCAGACGCGCATCACCGAGACACCTGAGCCTAAACTAATAAATGCGCTTCAGAACTAGTTTACTCTCTCGAATAACTTGAAATAAAATCTCAACAAGAAGCCCACGTTCGAAATATCATTCAATTTTTAAGGTTCTATCCAATACTCCCTTTTTTTTTTTTTAAAAATACACATTTCCATTGCATTTTCGTAAATCCAATCATGATTTATCTACCCTTGACACGTTTTAAGATTGACAACAGTGATTCTTTTTGTTGTTCTACAATTAAAGTCATTTAGATAGCTCTTTAATAGCTCGTAGCGTTTTTGATCAACTGGTTGCATGTCAGTCATGATATTAATAATAGTTTCTACTGACCTGCAGTTTATTTCATGCCTGATCAACTGATGTCATAGGTATCAAAGAAACCACGACAACCAATAGAACAAAGAAGGAGTGTTATACGAGCAAATGAAACTGAAACATTCGCTTGGCTAAGGGGAAGATTCATAATTTCGTCATTACTTTCCGGATTTCAGTGATCTGCGGTATCTGGACTTCTAAAAACCAAGAGCAAGTTCACATGACATGATCATAAACTGCTCTCATTAGTCTTTGATGCTTCACAATGCTCTCGAAGGGGGAACAATTTTAATTGAGTATACACCTTCAAATCTATTTCCATTGCATTGACGCTTGTGCGCAAAGGATATCAGGTGTGGAAACAAGGAACATTTCAAACGAATTTAGCTTACTAAGAAAATAAGTCGAACAAACAACATGTACATATCAAAGGTTTATTTATATTTTGGAAAGTTCGGTGAAGAAATGAAAATAATGAGTCACCTCAACAATAAAAGCAGATTCAGAGAAAGTTGGTTTTCAGTAATTTTATTAAACTACAAGAACGATTACTCAATAATTCAATTTAAGATCATACGATACAACGAAAATAAAAACCAGTACTCACTAATTTCACTGAAGCTTACATCATTTGTTATAAAAACACTGGTACTCTCCAACTCTGCTAAACTTTATTAATTACACTACAACATAATTAACAACCTTAAAAGTTCTGCTATTAAGAATTACTGTCAGTTATTCCACATGTGCGAGAAAAAGGCATGTGGAAACACATGTTCACTAAATTGTCCTAAATGTGAAGCTTTTCACCCAACGAATTGTTAAAAAAGATTCATTTGATCTTCGCACGATATTAAACTATACTCCATGCTAAAGCCAGAAGCTGAAGATCAACTAAATATTTTGCAACAATGCATTGCTGTTTTTAAGAGGCCTTGTACAGAAACCCTCTACTATAGCGTGCATGTGTTTCCACTTATCCTTTTCTTGTGCATTAATTAAAGTCATGATTCTTATTAATTTTGGGTAAAATTTATGCGTTTGTTAATTTTTGTAAAATTTATACGTTTGTTAATTTTTATTTGGAAATTATAAAAGATAAGTTCGATTAGACGAAAACAGGTAAAATAGGGTGAAGAAAACCCAAAAGAGTTGTGCGAGGGAAAATCGTCTTTTTTTTTACCGCATTTAAGTGCTTATGACACGAAATATTTTTTTGCGTAAATATTTAGCTTATCATATGTACAAACCAATGCCGATGGACGAAAAAATTTCCAAAAACTTAAAACTCGATTTTTCGGGCCCTAAAGGGCTCTTATTTTGTCTTATAAGTACTATTGTCCCATGGACTGGTAACGAGTTGGCGGGTGACGACGTAGAAAACTGTGAAAACTCTCAGTTGACACTTAAAAATCTCTCACATTCTTCTAATTTTGGATCAGTCAGCGTTGAAATACTCTTGAAATAATGTCCGATAGTAATGTCCACCTACTTTCAGCAAGCTGTACCAAGAATTGTGATACGTACATCGTTCTCAAGTAGAAGAAAGAAGAAATGGAAGTTGCTAGTACGGTTCAGCCCCACAAAGGAGAGCCGCGTGCATCAAACGAAGATTTCGACCAGGAGTGACAAAGACGGTTTCTCATCGGCGGTGTTCAGGTCAAGATTAGACCAGAAAAACTCCTGTTACTGAATGTTTTGTTTGCTGCGTTTTTGTTTTGTTTTCTACGGCGAAATCTATGTTAAGAATGGGTAACTGTGTTCGTTTCTGTTTCCATAACATTTTATTCCTTCGCACTGAGCGTGGCGAAGGTTTCCCTTGGTCAGTGCTCTAGAGTTTCCTTGCTGTAGAGTAATTCCCTTAACAAACCAAAGGCTAACTTTCGGCGAAAGAATCAGCTGTATTACGAGGCACGATGATTTTTCGCCGAAAAGTCATCGGCGGGTAGTTTCACTGCAATTTGCTCCTTTCCTCAGAGATTGCAATCTTCGTCGAGCCGGTCAAACGGAAAACGAGTGAGTTTATAGTCAACTGATTCAAGTTAATCTCAAAAAGGGATTTTGATAGAAAAAAACTTCCTTATTTTAATTGCAGCATTGCCATATGACCCATTTCGCTCAACGCCAAATAACTAACAACGTATGGTAAATGGATATTTCGTACGCATTCGACTTTCACTCAGCACTTGGATTCGCCACCATCTAATTCAATAAAATATTGCTGTTATCGCATTGACATTGCTACTGTTGCTACTTCTAGTTTCTTGAGAGCAGGAGGGAATTGACGGCTCTTGGGATGGATTTTCGGAAACCTAAGTTGGTGCCAGTATCCGCCAGAGGCTTCGCACTGTTCACGCAACAGGATATCAGTCGGCTCAGGAAAGGGCTCTAACTTTGATACAAATAGGCACTTTAAATTTACGGTGGATCGTGCGGAAATGAATGATTTTACTGTTATTGCGGATGTAAAACTCAGCAAAACTAGGGAGAATTATCAATTTTATTTTGAATGATGTAAGCTTCATTAAAAGTACTGACAGACTGTTATTTTTATCGATTTATATTACGATCTTAAGCTAATACATTGGGTAATCGTTCTCGCTATTTGGTAAATTGCTGACAACCAGATTCTTAGTCTAGTTTTATTGTTGACGTTGCCGAAAATCTAATTTAATTACATTTCTTTACCGAACTTTCAAGAACTGTCCATACACAACTGAGACATCTGATACGTACGACACAATAAACTTGCAAAGTGTTGTATTGGATTTTTCATGTTGCTTGTCATTTAATCTAAGTAAGCAGACCTACATTTAAGAGTATTTTGAAACATTACATACAAGTAAAGGCAAGTCAAATATAGTTTACCTTAGTTTGTTAGAAGTCAGTAACCACAAATTAATGCTATCTGGACGTTATTGAGGGACTTCTACGATTCTGTAGCCAATCGAGTGTTATAGTTTCCCCTGGATGATTATTCGGTCAATATCTTTACAATTGTTGCCTTAGCAAAGTGGGACATTACTCTCTTAACCATGAAGCTATGGTAACGATTGGATCGAGGGAAAATGGAGATGGTTGGTATCGACGGCCATCTCCAATATTTAGGCAAATAAGATAAGCATAGTGAGCTAAGTACCAACCAACATCAATAACAAACATCTCTGAGATGACTTATTCAATTTATTATTTTGCTATTGTACCTTAAATATACTGCGATTAATATACAAACTTGTTCCCAATAAAATCAGTAACCTCGTGCATTATAAAATTGAGAATTACTGTAATTAATGCACAAGAAAAGGGCAAATGGAAACACATGCACTCTAAAAAGGAGTTTTTCTAGCATCAAAAATAATTTTTACAAGAAACTTTTTAATTTTCCATGCGGTTGACGAATCATCTATCGTGATCAAAAACATAATTGATATGAAAAACAATGACTAAGGATTCTTGTTCATCCAGTGTATGGAAAAGACGTAGGGAAAATTTTACATGTGTAGTTATCAAGTTGTTACCCTTTCTTTTACATTGCCCTCCTTCACTGGATATCTACATGCACGATGTGGGTTCTTAGTCCAAAAATGACCTTTCTCATTTCTTTTTGTCTCCAGCAGTAAATCAATGGATTAACAAGCGAGTTTAACATGGCACATGTTAACATCCATCGTGCGTTGATGGGGCAAATCTCATAGAGGCCTGTAACTTTTACGATAAAACAGAAACAAACTGGCAGAAGGCAAACAATAACAGCACCAACTATAAACACAGTTGTCTTAAGCGCCTTGTTCTCTTTGACAAACCTTTTTACTTCATCTTGGGGAAGCTGCTGAGTTTCTATCCTTTTTTGGTGCCAACGTGTCTCTCGATATATGGTAAGGTAAGTGAAGGCGTGAAAAAGAATATTTGAAATAATAATAAGGCCTGTTAAATAATGGGCTACTCTGTAGACAGTCATTCTTAAAATTCCATTGATGAAAACAAAGATCCAAACTGATAGCACTGCTATCTTCAAGTTATTATAAGTGACAATGTTTGAGTATTGCATCGTAAATTTGATGGCTATGAGTCTCTCGAACGTAACCAACATCACATGAAAGAATGAAGCTGTTAGCATAACAGCAACAAATGTGAACCAGAAATCTGTAACTGTTTGACTAATACTGTGACCGAGTAATAGTATTATTGTCCACAGGATAATCAATGGCTGGCAAAGGAGACCAGTAAAGGCGTCAGTCACCGCTAAACAGGCCAGCAAAATGTTGCTGTTGTTACGAAGTCGAGGCGTCGTTTTCACAGCCTTGATCACAAATACGTTGAGAATAACTGTGCAGGGAAAAGTGATGGTGTTGATGATGATTAGGATTATAGAACCAACCACCAATGGGACATCTGCTTCTCTATCGGTGATGTTCGAAGTGTTCGTGAAACTAGCCAAGGAGAAATTTGCCATGTCGAATTGGAAGCTCAATTCAAATGAATTAGGTGTCCTGGAGGACCTGTTTCTTCCAGATGTTTATCCTCCCATGAAATCGGAGGAAGACAAATGCAGGTGGCAATCTGACCCCTTATTTAGCTGGTGATTTAAAAGCATCTCGTGGGAATGACTTCTAAGTAAGTAAAAGCGGAATATGAAACACTAAACGCCACTTTATCAGATGGATTCTCCTCAAGCTCTGCCCAAAGATAAATCCTAATCTAAAATTAATTAAGGTCAAATTTTAATTAGACTTTCCAGATATTGTCAAATGTCTTTTTTTTAAAACAAGTTCAAAGTCGCTTCGGTCCCTGAGAGCTTGATCAAACTTATCGCGATAACCATAAAAAGCTTGGTCGGCTCTTCTTCCAACTGAGGCAGGTGCATCATGCCAATTGAAACTCCGACAATAAATCTTTACTTAATATTCTGGTAATGACCATTATGTTGCTTGTTTCAAATGAGAGTATTACTGAATGGTCTAGATTGGCCTTTGGTGGTTACGTCATAGACTCCACAAGTTTCCTGAAGTACATCCAATTGTACCCTCGAAAACAAGTTGTTGGTGTATCTTCGTACTGTGCACTCTCATGCTCATGTTGAAAGTGGGTCTCGTCATAAGGGCCAGATTTGCCACCTGTGGTCATACCATGGACGCTGTTGAGAGGAACAGACCTTTCTCCAAAGGAGGGAAATCAGCCACAATCTCGTTTCGTGAAAAACCTTATCCTGACACTTGACAATTGAACACTTTCTCCGTAACTTTCACTAAAGCGGCTTAAGTCAAATGAAAATCAATAATGATGTTGCTTAGACATGAAAGCTGTACTGGATCACAATTCATGAATACAAGCACTCAAGTTGATCAGTGAGGCTTTCTCACTTCAGCTAAAGCTTTCGCCGGTGACCGCAACGGACGATAAAGGCCAAAGTAGCGACAAAAAGATCCATTGTTATCCACATAATTTATGCATTACACATTAGCAAATCTTCAGCTCACTATACCAGCCTAAATAAGCCCCAAAAACTAAAGGAAATTGCCAGTATTCCTGCGGCCTTCTTAATCTTTTGCTCTGCTTAGACCTTTCTCAATTAATTGGTCCATTCAACATTTTCTCTAGTTGCACCAAGCAAAAATTCTGTAACGTTCAATAACATAAACAACATTATTGATTATGTAAATATAAACTATTATACTTCATGCGCGAGAAAAAGTTAAGTCTGCACACATGGGGCGGATCAATCTTAGCTCTGAAAGATACGGCAGACCTTTGAGGGTCAGTTTTTTCTTAATTTTTTTTCATGTCAAACAGAACATTATTATTTTAACTATAGTTTCCAAGAAAGATTTTGGTAAAATATTAAGACGCGCACGAGTTATTCACAAAAACGTATTTTCGAATTGAATTATACAGCCCGCCAAAGAGTGAATAGCCAATTATAACATGTCGACAAAGATGACTACCGACGGGCTTTGTTTGTGGCAAAAGATCTTGATCCATGAAATCCAATCGCGTAAACATCTCTTGATTTTCGGTCGCAAGAGAAGATCTTTGCTATCTTTCTGCGTTAAAAAGTAAATGCGAACGGAGAAAGATAAAAAAGAAAAGAGTTCATCGGTGAAAGTAAAAGAGGAGCCTGGCTGTCACTACAAGAACTAAAGAACTTCGACGCGGAAAGGCAAAAGAATCTCGCCGAAACGGATAGGGGCTCGTGGTTTCGACAATCTTCGCTACTCGCACTCGATAAGCAACCACAAGGTTTGCCGCTAAGGTGCTTACGGTTGAAAATAAAAAGAAGTGAAATAAAAATTACCGTTCAGCAAAATTCAAATAAAGGTCTGTCACAGGTAACTGTTTCATAGCTACCAGCAAAGTGTTTTCGCTCCGAGTCTCCTGAGACTCTGCAGGGCGCCTCTGTGTTTCTATTAACATTACATGTTGTCACCCAAAAGTGTGAATTATTATAAAAAACTGTTAACTTAGCAATGAGCATTCTTACCATCCAGTCTAGTCCACTGTGTTTGAGATGACCCATCCTCACATTGTACTTGGAAAAACTTAAATGGGACACCAATGTTTTCTAGCTCCTTCTCTAGAATATCCATCCTCTTTTTGTTGATTACAAACTCAATTACCTGTAATGCAGATTTAGAGATACAGTATATGTCACAATGGTTTTTTGCTTGTTTTCGTTTTTTGTTTTAGATTTTGTTTGGTTTCACACAGTTTAATGTTAATTGTATGGCCTTTTCTCTACTACTACTACTACTAGTACTACTACTACTCTATTGTCCATAAAATAATCTTAAAAACATCTAAGACAAATTTAAAGATTCACCAGAGATAAAGGTCTTCTGACTAATTTTCTCATGAGTACAAAGGACCTTACTCAATTAAGTCATTAGTATTAATGTGAAAATGTGTATTTACTTGGTGAAAGAGAAGCCCCATGATCCTAAGAAAAAGATGAAGAGTGTCGACAATAACTTGGGTGAATGGAATTGAGATTAATGGCTCATGAATTGAGCCTTTCCTTCCATCAGTGGTTTTTTCTGCACTGTTCTTCATACATTGTTGAAGATTCCTCTCAATTGGCCAGTCGTGTACTAAAAAAAAATTAAAAAGCAGAATTTTGATGAGGAAAATGCCAAGTAAACATTGCATTTTGTATTTATATTGCCTACAAAATTTATCTTTTAAACCATAATTGAGTATATTAGATGCAGACTTACTTGAGAAATCACAAATTTTTGCTTTTGTGCAGTAGCACCATATGCAAAAATATTTTCCAGTGGCAGCATTTAGTCCATAAGCCATGGCGAGAAATTTCCAGTCTGAGCAGCAGTACCTTAGGAAAATAAAATGAAAAATGCTTCATTGAGTAAACCATCTCTTGTTTCAAGTTCAATGGATCCTAATTCACAGTGCACCTATCCTCTACTCAGACATATAATAAATTATATTCATAGCTAGAATATTTACATTATCTCTAGTAATTCATTAAAAAACAATTTATTTTTTGACATGAAATAATTCATTTACCATATCACTTTGTAGTGTATTCCGTCCACCTCAATACCATTTTGTTGAAGGTCATTAACTTGTGCAAACACAGGCCCAAGACAATTTTTCACCTCTAAATAATCCTCCTTTCCTGTAGAGATATAAATTTACAATATTTAACTTTCAGCGTCTCTTAAAAAGCTAGCATTCTTTATGAAACTGCAGGATTTTAAAATCTCACCATTATACAGAGCGATGGGGTACTGGTGGTCACAGTCATGCCTTTGTTCATTGAGAATATTAAACACAGCCATTACAGTGCCAATTTTATTGCTGGTGCGTCTTCCATCAGCAGCAAAGCGCAGGCGGAGTTCGTTGCCATTGGCTTGCACAGTGTTCTTTATACTTTGGATGGACAGCAGCTGACTCAAAATTGCCTTTATATCGCGTCTTACCCCATCTCCTTTTTTAGCCTGTGGTAAATTAGAATGAAGTATTAATTTTTCATTCTCGTGATATGCACCTAACTTTAAGTCTGAGATTACAACTATTATTTTTTCTTTGTAATTGAATCTTTGTGATTTCCACACTAGTCAGATTTTATTCAATTTAGTCTCGCTTGGCTTTGGTAGTTAGGTACATGTAGTTAAAATAAGTTACATTTGTTTTCACTGACCTCTGGTATTGAATACAAGGCAATGATGCCATTTTGCCTGTTCCTCTCCTGTTTCAGAACACTGATTGGCGGAAGAATCTCTCTTTCCTCGTCTGGTAAGGCCATCCTCAACTCATGGTATGCCTCGTCTGAAATCAAGCCTTCATCTTTCGCCACAAGTACATGCTGCGTCGTCCGACAAGTGGAGTTATCTTTCTCGTCACCAGCATCGTGTCCAAGTGGAATGACAACTTCACGTCCTTGTACAGTGAACTTAATCTGAAGAAGACGGGGGTTTCCCTTTAAAATTTGTTTTCATATGAACATAGCTAGATAAATAGATTGATCGCCACATAGACGTATGATTTTTTTTCGCGACTTTGCTGTTGGTCAATGTCTAAGTTCTAGTTTTTACGAAAAGGTAAAATTGTTACGTACCTCGATGGGCTCAAACTCCTTCAGTCCTTCCACCGATTGAGCCACAAGTTGCCTGACTTTTCTTTTCTTGTTATTTCTGGCTGCCGGAGTTAATTGCCAGAAGTCCTTTTTGGTATTATAAAAAACATTTTTAGTCCCAATAATTCTCTGCTTTTGCAGTAGTTTTTCAGCATTTGCTTGTTGAAGCTGAGCTAAGACTTCATTCAGCTGATTTGCCATGGTGTTGTGCTGAATTTTCAAATTGCAATTCTCTTCCCGAAGACGTCTTATTTCGGCCTCATAAACTTCTATAAGAGATGGCTGTGTCTGTACCAGCGCGCAACTCTGTTCTCGATTGTGATAAAAATGAGTTTGAAAACTCCCACCGCCGACGGACTTAACCTTAAATTTAGACAACATTACTGAGCGAGTATCAGTCCTCATTACACCCGGAGGTTTTTAGTCACCATCATTTTATGCCTTGTGTTCATTCATGGATAACTTAAACAAAGCGATTGCTTTTAATATAATGCAATTGAAGCAATTAGAGAGGCAAGTGCGAACTGAGATCGCTTGAAACTTGACAATGGATCATTTTTATCAGGGAGGTGAGAAAATAACCACCTATTGTTTTAATCGTTTCTCATGAAGCGGCCGCGTGTATCATGAGAATTGATCGATATCAAGGAATATTGTTGCTTTTTTGCGCTAAGAGCATATGCCATTAAATAACTAATTCGCCCGCGGTTTAAATACTTTGTAAGCATTTGCGTTGTCATTAGATGGTTTCTTTTTGGGTTTCCTTTCAAAATTCTTCATTGCTGAAACCAGTGTGTCGATATCGATGGGGATAAATGTGAGTAACGAGCATCCTTATGTTCCGACATGTATTCGAGAATAAGCCGTAATGTAATAAAGATCGTCGGTGGAAAATGTCGTTTGAGATCAGGAGAGTGAAAAGACAATAGACTTCTTATCTTGTCTCACAAATCTTGCCGTCTGGAAAATCAGATGCCATCTTCACGGTACATAAAATCTTCAGCGGCGTTCAGTCACTCATCTCTCAAAGGATTCAAGTTCATCTCGGTTTTTGTTTTTTGTTTGTTCTTTTTTCCAGAGGATGAAAAACTTCGTCAATGTCAGTGCGCAACAAACGCAAACCAAGACCCTGTTCTAAAGCCGCGGTTACACTTGCGATTTTTTTGCTTGCGATGGTGATGCGATTTTTTCAGTTTCACGGAATGAGTTTAATTCAAACAAGTTTCATTCGCGACCATTCACACAAATTTCATTTGGTTTCATCACTCTTTGTCAGTCTCTCAGTTGCGACATGCTATGTCTTGACCAACCCTCCCTGAGTAGCAAGTGACCTTGAACAAAAAGTAACTCCCTACTCCTCCCCAGGGTAAGATTTGACATACACGCGCTTTCGCTAAATATTCAAATTTCGCGCTCGTGCAGTAATCGGCTATGTTTGAATTTACCTCGTGAATTTCGCTATTGTAATGGCAGCGAGTTTGAATTTCCCTCGTGAATTAATAAGCCATTGTTTGGCTCTAAAGCTATTGTTTCAAGATATCCTTTTATGGATATTTGAGATACTAAACAAAGGGCATTGTCTTTGAATTTGACCAGCTTTTCTTGATACGATTGGGAAGACTTTGAAAGCAAAAAAGGAAACCTACTTCGTTTTTACGTGAATGAGCCTTCTTTGAACGAATTCATAGGGTATGTAAACTTAACGGATTGCCTTGAAATTTGGTCCGAAGACTCCCAACAGACCAATCTTATTAAACAACGTTGGGGATAACTCCGTTTTTCAAAATAGATCTCCTCCAATGGCCTCCGACGTAATGCGCATCGGTAAAATTTTGATCAGCAAACTTGACAAATGAATTGCAAAGTAACCAATGAAAATATCGAAAAATTCCCCCCACTGCTTTGAAGACCAACTTCTCAGGATCGTGCAGAAGTCTTATTTGTGCGGTCAGATTTGATGTGCGATGAATTCGCTCATAAATTTTTCATTGATATATAATTTATGGTGGTTATGCTTCAAAAAGTGCATTTTTTTTTTCAAAGGACATCCGCGAAGATCTAGCGTATCCTGAACTCATTGCTTGGGTTTAATACCTACAAGCTGAAACTGAAGCGGAAAGCAGTCAAACTGGAGCGATAGATTCCCGGAAGTTAATTTGGCCTTCGCCAGTTAAAAGCGATGACCTTCGCGGTATATTCAAGGTACAATAGCATGAGGAAAAATTGAATAAGTTATCCCAGAGATGTTTGTCATTGATGTCGGCTGGTACTTTTCTTGCTATGCTGATCTTATTTGCCTAGGTATCGGAGATGGCCTCTCACAGTCGGCGCCGATCATCTCCATATCCACTCAATCCAATTGTCACCATAGCTTCATGGTTAAGAAGATGATGTTTCACTTTGCTGAGGCAACAATTGCGATTGACTGAATGATCATCTGGCGGTAATTAGATGACGGCTTACTTTATGTAATATAATATTTTATGCCGTTAACTAACGGCGTAATTTTCTCTAGTCCGTAATGTATATACTGTAAATTTTACGCCGTTAATATAATTCTTTTAGATATTAATTTATTGCTGCGAGCATTAACGAGCAGCAACACTATTTTTTACTTCCCGTGAGAGGTTTGGGCTCTCGCTCTACAAATGTATATGTATATATGCGTTCCACACTCCATCCGTTGAAATGTGACCTTCGTTCGTTCGGTAGCGATGCTTTTGAAGAAGCAGTATTAAGATCAGCGGCGGTAGTTGTTGAATTGTGCGTGCACTGCCCACATGGTCCTATGTTCCTGCCATCAAGCCCTCGAGAGTTCAACAGTCGACCAGCGGGTAAGTTTTTATCGCTCTTTTTGAACTGATGTATCATGTCCAATGCAATTCTATCAATCGCTAGAACTATTCATCGAGGTCAGGAACGATTTAATGACATTTCCGGGGGAAGGCAATGCTCTTTTATGAGTTTTTCAGCGCTGTTGTGTGCACAATCATGTCCAGTGCGGCACTGGGATACTGCTACAGTTGACCAGATTTAATCGAAGGAGACATGATATACTTGAATGCCCTTGAAAGTCAAAATATTTTTGATACAGAGACATTAACCATTATAGCTCTGCTAATCTTGTAGAAGCCTGAGCTTTTGATCAGCCGTCAAACTACAATGTTCCGTGCTTAATTGATTTCCTTCAAGAATAATTAACTAGATTGAGAAATAGAGATTAACAGATTATCAAATATGTGGGAAAACACCTTGACATTTCTTACATCCTATTAATAGCAGAGTTCGTGACGCACGAAACGCGTGGAGCGTAGCCCCATAATTATACGAGATAGTAGATGCTTTATAAGATCACGCAAGACCAGTCGACCTCGTCGCCTGAAGAAGACTAGCAGTATGCAGTCGAAACGTCGCGATCTACATCACACGTGACTACATCGTGAGACAAACGAAAAACTGAGCTTTTATTGTTATTCACGACGATGAATAACCACAACCTTTTCTCTTTAGTGTTTCTTCTTATCCTCACATCAAGTTTTGCCGTATCTCTCTTGAAATCACCCATGAATTCACGCCCAGGATCAACCTGAAGAACTTTTGGCCATCTCAATGTTCCACGCCTGGAATATTAATTAGGTTGTCACTGATGGTGTCTCTCAGCCAGGTTTCTGTGAAAAAAAAGCTAAGTCCAGTCTCCGGTCTAAGATGACTGACTGTACTTCGGGGCGTTAGACATGGTGTTAGCAAGGAAAAGGCTAACGCCGTGTTCCTTGTGCTCTGCTCGACGAGATGGCGTATTCTAATTAGAAACTCTTGAAAGAATACGTCCGACCGCTCTTTTTTTAACACCCGCGGGACACTCGGGCAGGACCCGCGATATCAATGGAGTAAGCAATTTTCAAATATCAAAATATTTAATGAAATCTCAAAATTTTACAACCGAACCTGTATTAAGCACAGCTTCACCAGCAACTGACTAGCGTGTTGTTCGTGCATAATATTTGTCCTAACAATCCAAAGAAGCGAGATAACCGATTCCGTTGAGGAAATACATGAAGTCAAATAACTAGCATCGATTTTGGGAGATAAACATGGACCAAATTTTATTTGAGAGATTATTCTTAGTTCAACTCTTTTTAGTTTTCAACATTTATAGTTCTTCAGGCAGCCCTGGTATTATCTTGTAGCCTTTCCGATCGACTTCCTGCATGATAATTATCAAAATGATAATATCTTCTACCTAGAACGCTTCTATTAAATTTTAAAATATAAAAAAGTAACCAAGACGACCAATAGAACAAGGAAAGGAAACTAGAACACTCGTATAGCTAACAGAAGGGTATAAATCCGTCACTGCTTTCCGGATATCAGTGATCTCCGGCGACTGAACTTACAAAAAAACGAAGAAAGCTTCGCAGGACTTGCTTTCACTCTTCTCTTATGCATCGCAATATTCTCAAAAGTAGGAGCAAATCTATGTTACGCTTTCAAAGATTTTTTATAATCTCTTATGTGAACAATAGAATAGAATAGAAATCGTATTTAACATAGCTTTATTTGGATAATAACATCGCAGTCCGCAGACTGAATCGTGTTAACATACAATATTGATAAAATTGAAAAGTTGGTCATAATTATTTGCAGTAATGGTAGGATTTATGATATACAAATAATATAAAATGCTATGGGTACAAATGTTACAAAAAATATCAAGGTTGGTTGCTATAGCATGAATAAGGTATTTTAAAAACGGTCGGTGCGAGTTGCAATACGCAAATGAAACTTCATGTGTGTAAACAATGGCTTTCCAGCTCTAAAAAAAACAAAAAACAGGTGGATATCAAAGGTCTCAGTTGCATGATCGAAAGTTCTCGAAAGTTTGGTAAAATCAGTTATTTTAATTTGATTATCGGCTATGTCAACAATAAAACTAAATTCAGAAGCAGCTAGTAGTCTGTATTTTTACTAAAGTACGAGAAATGTTTAATTTCCTAATAAATGCTCTCTTTCCTAAAAGCCAATCAAATCGCACAACTGACATTTCATAGGACAATCGAAACCTGCGTTATAAAAGTCAAAGTCAAGTTCAAAATTGGGACAAGCGCCAACACCTTGAGAAAGAAAGGATTTCCACTGATTGCCGATTTCCTCCGATGTTGGTAATTTTGCATGAGGTTAATTATCGAATTACTTCTCGTAAAAGAAAATGCAAGTCTCATATAAAACAATAACTAGCGAGTTTCGTTTATCGGTTTCTTATGTCTAAATGCACGACATGAGTTCTCATTCCAAAATGACATTTCTCATTTCTTTTTGTCTCCAGCAGTAAATCAGTGGATTAACAAGCGAGTTTAGCATGGCGCATGTAAGTATCGATGGTAAGTTTATGGGGAAAATATCATAAAGGCCCGTGACTATAAAAATAAAAAAGAAACCAACTGGAAGAAGGAAAACAAGAACAGCACCGACGACAAAGAGAGTTGTTTTAAGTGCTTTGTTCTCTTTCAGAAATCTTTCCACATCTTCTTGGGGCAGTTGTTGAGTTTTTATCTTCTCTTTGTGGCGAGCAGTTTCTCGATACATGATGAGGTAAGCGAAAGTAAGAAAGAGAATACATGAAATGGTGAGTAGGCCTGTGAAAGAACGTGTTGCTAGGACTTTTTTCATTCCTCTTAAAACCCCATAAATGGACGCAATGATCCAAACTACTACCACTGCTATCTTCATATTCTTCTCAGTTATAATTTTTGAGTACTGCATTGTAAATTTGATAGCTATGAGTCTCTCGAAAGTAACCAACATCAGATGAAAGTAGGAAGCAACAAGGGTAGTAAGTAGAGACGAGATAAAAGAAATTCCAACCGTTTCACTGTTACTGAGACCGAATGTTAGGAAAATTCTCCACAGGATAAACAATGGCTGGCCAAGGAGACCAGTCAATGCGTCAGTCACCGCTAAACAGGCCAGCAAGATGTTGTTGTTGGTACGGAGTCGAGACGTCGTTTTCACAGCCTTTATCACAAGTACGTTGAGAATAACTGTGCAGGGAAAAGTGATGGTGTTAATGATGATTATGATTATAGAATCAGCCATCGATGAGACATCTCTGTCGCCTTCTCTTCTGGTGATATTTGTAGTGTTTATAAAACTAGTCAAGGAAAAGTTTACCATGTCGAATTGGAATCTCAGTGCAAGTCATGTCTGACCCTCGGACCAACTTTTTCAACCCGTCGCTCTCGCATGAAATCGGAGAACGGCAAAGGTAAAAGAAACCTACAGCCTTTTCTAGTGAGTGGTTTAAACATTTCCTGGGAATAACTTCTCACTTCACATATGCCCAGCAACAATACAGAACAAAACTGAATCAGAAACTCTCAACGCTGCCCAATCAGATCGATTTTTCTCAAGCTTTTCTCATTAGTAAATTTTAATCCAAAAGTGATTGAGGTAAATTTCAATTAGCCTTTCTAAGTTTAGAGCACATATCAAAACAAAAAAAGTCAGAGTTTCATTGAAAACATCAATTTATGAACACATAACTTGTCATTTGACAGCGTTTCGCAGGCCTATTGCGATCCTTATCTAAGATTATAACGCATAATCGGCGGAAATGACTTTCGAAAAAAAGTCATGGGTTTTGTTCCGTTAGACTTAAAAGTATTCCTTAATTTTGTCCACATTTGCAAGTAACTCTCTGAAGCAAATTTATAAGCTACTTTTCTTGACCTATGTTAGTAGCAATTATTGTAAAAATACCGAAAAATGAAGCTTAATGACTTAACAATAAGTATCTTTTGTACAAAAATATCAAGAAATTTAGGTAGTAACTTTTGAAATGTAGGCAACAATTTTTGAAATTTAGGTGGCAACTTTTGTAGCAATTTTTTTAAGCGTCTTCGTGAGAAACTTTCCAGCATTTCACGAGCACCGGTCCCACCTTCTGTGCGCCGTGGTTTTATAATTGCGTTGTAGTTCCACCTTCTGTGCGCCGTGGTTTTATAATTGCGTTGTAGTAATGAGCAAAACTCTTTACTTTTTCGGTGAAAAATTCCCTAATTTAAATCAACCAAACAGTGTGAGAGCAAGAAAGAAAGAAAAAACGGTTTGAGCATACCCGATCTAAAAATCAACTCATTCACATTTTTAAAATGAATGTTAATTGTGCAAACGAGAACTTCATCGAGAAAACGTTGTTTACCTGTTTACGGAGGTTGTTGGAGTTTGTTTTATGATGATAACACTTTGGAATAGCTAGATAAGTCATAGCGTCATTCTTCATTGCGGGAATTCAGTCGCCTAGCTAGGGGATAAATACCCTTAACATTTATTCTTTGAATTTCTCCATCCAAAGTAAGGTATGTCATGACTATCCGAGAATACCAAAAAAACTTATCTTCCCTCTGATTGCCGTTCTCTTTGATTTCATAACTTATGAAAATCTATTTGACGTCCTTAATTAATGGTATTACCTAAAATTTCAACCATACAATTATCTGAATAAGAATCGAATTATAAAAAACAGATCCCAAGTCTTTATACTATTTTTTAATTGCTTTTATTCGTATTTACATCTCATCGCAGGCAATATTGTTACGGTATAGTTTAAGTGACAGAAAGAACGCTAACATTCCAAACACACCTAATTATTTTATCAAACAACGAGCAATATTCTTATTAAGGAGCGACTCCTGCAGGCAATACAGTAATTATCCTTAATAAACTCACTTAAGCCCGTTACAAACTATAACTTAACTCACCATTGACACAATCTCACAGTTGTCGGCGAATCTGCTTGAAACAAAATCTCGGAAATATATCACAGTAACTCTATCGACGTATTTTTCCGGACAATCGGTCACTGCCGACAACAACAACAATAACTACAACAGGGCTGATCCCTCATACACATTTTCAATATATTCTGGAACATTTCGGCAGCTTACAACACAACTAGTTTGGTAGTACTACAACATAACTACACAATCTAGTAGAATGTTCTAGAATGTTTAACGATAAGACAGTAGAAACTCCATGAAAGCATTTTCGCACGACTAGGTATTCTAAAACTTTCCAGAAACTTAAAAGAATGATCCACGAACGATGAAACCTAACAGATTTAAGGGAAATATACGCACGTATGCATATGTATACACGTATACATGACAATCCTTTTCTTTCAGGGAAGATTGGATAGTTTCCACCATTCATCGCGTACAACAAACAGTGGTTAACATGTACATCTGACCCATAAGGCCACAGGGTCTAATCGTTCATTGTAACCCTTTTTAGGTGTCAACTTGTTTTGCAAAATATATCAACTTTGCTTTAGCAGTAGAATCATTTCCTTTGATCCTCCCAAATTTGTTCAAATGAGCGTAAATAAATTATTATAAAAATACACATCAACCCAACAAAAATCGAATTTAACTGTATCTGTTCCAGAACATGAGGCTGAAGACTGCACATCTCATGAATGAGAAAACTTGAAATTGAAAATACTTTTATGGAGTGCCAGATTCCACTAATTTTTAAAGGAAATTTACAGTAAAATAGCTCTTAATTACGCTACATTATTCGATACTGTTCAAGCTAATTATGGTAAAAAATCAAATGCTTCTTGGAAAAGAGGAGAATGCTCTATCTCCACACGTTTTCAGATTGGCCACGAGCTCGTGAAGCAAAAGTTTCCCTGATGATCTTTTTAAGCAACCCTCTTTGTTGTATTCAATAATTACATCCAAACCCGGGACGCAGTCGTGGGTTTGCATGACTTTCGAGACAAATGAAGGAAAATGACAAATGAACGCAATGTTGTTTATCTATTTCTTGATTGATGTAGATTTTCTTAATGCATGCCTCTGGACGATATGGTTTTCTACCAGCCAATCAAATCGTGCAACTGGTGGCTCACAAACCAATCATAATTCGCGTTATAAAAATCAAATTCAAATTCAAATTTGAGGCAAGTGCCAGCATCCTTTGAATGCAATAATTACGACTGATTGCCGATTCCAACGATGTTGGAAATTTTGTTTGAGGTTGATTATCGAATTACCTGTCGTGATCAAAATCTTAAATGTTGCACAAAACAACAACTAGCGATTTCCGTTCATCAAAGGGATGGAGAAGGCCGACGCAAAATCTAGAAATGTAGGTATCAAGTTATTCACATTTTTCTTTACATTCCCTCCCTCACTGTATCTCTAAATGCACGACCTGGTTTCTTATTCCAAAAATGACCTTTCTCATTTCCTTTTGTCTCCAACAGTAAATCAGTGGATTGACAAGCGGGTTTAACATGCCACATGTAAACACTAATGGTTTGTTCATCGGAAAAATGATTGTGCTCTCAAGGCCTGTAGCTATAATAAAAATCCAGACAAAAAGTGGAAGAAGGCAAATAACGACAGCACCAACTACAAACATAGTTGTCTTCAGCGCTTTGTTCTCTTTGGCAAATCTTTCCTTTTCTTCTTGGGGCAATTGTTCATTTTTTATCTTCTCTTGGTGGCGACGTGTTTCTCGATATATGATGCAGTAACCAAAAGCAAGGAAAAGGATACAGGATAGAGTAAGAAGACCTGCCAAAGAAAGTGCTACTTTGACCATTTCCATTCCCCTTAAAACCCCATTCATGAACGCAATGATCCAAACTACTAACACTGCTATCTTAACGTTATTATCCGTTATAATGTTTGAGTATTTCATCGTAAATTTGATCGCTATGAGTCTCTCGAAAGTAACCAACATCAGATGAAGGTATGAAGCTATTTGCAATACAATCACAGATAAGATGAAGCAGTTCTCGAGTGTTTTACTGTCACTGAGACCGAGTAGAAGGAAAATCTGCCACAGGATAAAGAATGGCTGGGTAAAGAGACCAGTTAATACATCAGTCACCGCTAAACAGGACAGCAAGATGTTGCTGTTGGTACGGAGTCGAGGTGTCGTTTTTACAGCCTTTATCACCAGCACGTTTAGCACAACTGTGAAGGGACAAGTAATGGTGTTCATGATGATTATGACCATAGAACCAGCCACCGATGGAACATCTCCTGAGTCGCCTTCTTTACTAGCCATGTTTGTAACCTTTGTATAACTAACCAAGGAAAAGTTTACTTTGTCGAGCTGGAAGCCCAATGCAAATCAAGTCTGTCTCCCAAACAGCTTTCTCTACCAGTCATTCAATCTCGAATGAAAACGGAAAAAATTAAAAGCAAAGGAAATGTGGTACCATTAATAAAAGGTGGTTAAAGGATCTCCTGGGAATTACTCCTCAGTCCACATGTGCACAGCAACAATACAAAACACAAGTTAATCGGAAATGCTAAACGCCACCTTATTTGATGGATTCCTCTTAAGCACTGCCCATAAAAAAATCTTAATCAAAAACTGATTGTAGTCTCTTTTTAATTACATTTTTTAGAAAGCTCTAAATGAGTTTTTATAAGCCCAAAATCGTTTCAGCCGGTGAAAGCTTGAACAAAGTTGTCGCGACAACTGAAAATAGCTCTATCGCCAGTTAACTCCTTATGTTACAACTTCAGGAGATTTTTTCGTTTTCTGTCGAAAGATTAATATCTCGTGCATGTTATGTTCATTAGTTTTCGTCCATCAACTAATATTTGCATAAGAAGAAAAATATGTATTAACTCATTTGCCATCTATTGTGCTACTGTGCCATAGGTTTCAACAACAGAATTGCGTCGCGGTTTTTTTCTTGGGAATGTTATCGTTCGTGAATTTCAAGCTTACCGTTTTAGTTTAATGATATCAGTTTAATGATTCCCTAGTTTTATATTTGTATTTTGGTCATGTGTAAAACTCGGCTACTCCTTCCAAGCAATATTTCGTAATTCAAATCACTGAACTAATCCAGTATGACGTAGCAGGAAAATAGAAACATTGAATCTTGCACATAAATAATACATGGCCATAAAATAGCCACGATAAAAAAACCAAACTAAACAGATGTCAAATAAATTGATTTATATGTCACAGATTTAGTTTTTATCTGAATGCAAATCTAATCTAACGAAAGAGAATTCTTCAGCTCATGAAACACGAAACATTTATCGAGAGATGAATAAGGAAAAAATCCTGAATTATGTGATGAAGTAAGTGAGCAGGCGATCAAGCTATCAGGGACTGAAACGATTGTGACTTTTAAAAACACATTTGGCAATATCTGCAAAAAATGATTAAAAATTGACCTAAATCACTTTGGGATTAACATTTATTTATGGACAGAGCTTGAGGGAAATCCATCTGATTGGGTGGCGTTTAGCATTTCCGATTCCGCTTTGTTCTTCTCGCCATTTCAAGTATTCTCTTTCTTGAATTTTTTAGATTGCATAACTTGCACTTTTTGCAAAACGTCATACGGAAGACGACTTCGAGGACACTTTCGCGACGTAAAAAGGAAATATAAGGACGCATCCGAAAAAGTCGTTAGGCATTTTAAACTCACTAATCATTCTAGGCAGGATATGGCAGTTTGCGGCCTTTCCCTACATCTGAGCATTTCAGAAAGCCACAAAACTCTAGAACAAAAAATTATCTTTCAAATCGGCACTCTCGATACTCACGGTATCAACGAGCGCTTTTCATTCAATCGACTTATTCTTGTTTTAATGTCACCATATTCCCGCCAGTAGCGTAGCTCCATTTTCTGCATATTAACACACACACAAACCACAATCAATTTGTTTGATGGGTCTTCACGGGCAGTTGAAGTGTTAATTGCGATTTTTCTCCATTAAATACAACCTGTTTCCTTCTAGAGAAGTATCACACTATCAAGAGAAAAAGAGAAATTAAGCAAGCAGAATTTCAAAAGTATATATCCCTGATGTTGCTGAATGAATTTTTCCACAAGAAAGATTTTTAGGCCATCTCTTTACTAGATAATGCAATTTATTAGCAGTTGTAAAAAACGAGAAACTCTAAACTCTAAACTAAACGTGCTAGCTCTATACTTGCATCATACTTGCACCTAACATACATTTCATCAAACCTCGTATCTGTCAGTGTTATCTGCCTCAGCCTTCGGCTTCAGCAGATACCTCAGACCTCGGCATTGATAAATTATGATATCATGCTCAACCTCATCCACTCACTGCCTATGATTATTCCAGGCAGCCAATGCTAAAATTGTATTTTTAATATTTTATTTTTTAAGAAAGCTTTTAAGGCAAGAGGGAGTACAAACAAAGATTGTTGTTGCCGTTGTCAATTGCCCCCGTTCTTTAGAGTTCTCAATAAACATTGAATGCAACTTTTTGCTTGTATTTTAATAGAGGAAATACTTAGTTGTTTAATCCTTTTAGATAAGAACTACGTGGTTTTCCTCAAATAGGTTTTTTTTATACTGTTTCCTGAAGCTCGAGCTAAGAAATGCTTCCAAGTGTATAGGATTTGCTTCGTTTGCTGAATGCTAGAGTCAAGTTACACCACTAATGCCAGGCACTGTTGTTGTGTAGATGTTCTTTTTAATTTTCAACAAATATAGTCATTCAGGCCGCCCTTTTATTAGCTCGTAGCCTTTCCGATCGACTTCCTGCATGACAAGGATAGTACCTTCTACCTAGAACACCTTTCAATTGAAGTTAAAAAAATACCAAATTAAAGTAACCACCCATCTATCAACTGAGCTAACAAGCCAACTGGTAGCTGGTCATTATGTTGGTTCCAAGTAAGCCCTCTTAGTGATGAATACATGAAAGGAAATATATGAAAATCATATATGTGCACTGCGGTTTAAGAAACGAATATAAGCGCTCCTCGCAGTAACGAACCCTCCTGAACTAGTAGTGTACCGTACGGTCCTGAATTTTTTCCAAGCCTTATTTCAACTATTAGTTCAGTAGTGTTCGTAACTGCGAGGATCGCTTAGGGTCGTTTCTACAACCGCAGTACACATATGTGATTTTCATATATTTGCAGTCGTGTATTAATAACTAACAGGTTTCGTTTATCGGTTTTGTATGTCTAAACGCACGGCCTGAGTTCTCATTCCGAAAATGACATTTCTCATTTCTTTTTGCCTCCAGCAATAAATCAGTGGATTAACAAGCGAGTTTAGCATGGCACATGTCTGCATCAACTGCACGTTGATGGGGAAAATATCATGAAGGCCTGTAACTACAACTATAAAAAAGAAACCGACTGGAAGAAGGCAAACAAGAACAGCACCAACGACAAAGAGGGTTGTTTTAAGTGCTTTGTTCTCTTTCAGAAATCTTTCCACATCTTCCTGAGGAAGATGTTGAGTTTTAATCTTGTCTTTATGGCGAGCAGTTTCTCGATACATAATAAGGTTAGCGAAAGTAAGAAAGAGAATACATGAAATGGTGAGTAGGCCTGTCAAAGAGCGTGCTGCTAATTCCTTTTTCATTCCTCTTAAAATCCCATAAATGAACGCAATGATCCAAACTACTAACACAGCTATCTTCATGTTCTTCTCAATCATAATGTTTGAGTACTGCATTGTTAATTTGATAGCTATGAGTCTCTCGAAAGTAACCAACATCAGATGAAGGTAGGAAGATACAAGGGTAACAAGTAGAGACGAGATGAAAGAAATTTTAGCCGTTTCACTGTTACTGAGACCGAATACTAGGAAAATTCTCCACAGGATAAACAATGGCTGGCAAAGGAGACCAGTTAATGCGTCAGTCACCGCTAAACAGGCCAGCAAGATGTTACTGTTGGTACGGAGTCTAGGCGTTGTTTTCACAGCCTTTATCACAAGTACGTTGAGAATAACTGTGCAGGGAAAAGTGATGGTGTTAATGATGATCATGATCATAGAATCAGCCATCGATGAGACATCTCTGTCGCCTTCTCTTCTGGTGATATTTGTAGTGTTTATAAAACTAGTCAAGGAAAAGTTTACCATGTCGAATTGGAATCTCAATGCAAGTCAAGTCTGTCTCTAGGAACAACTTTTTCAACCTGTCGCTCCCGCATGAAATCGGGGAACGGCAAAGACAAAAGAAACCTACAGCCTTTTCTAGTGAGTGGTTTAAACATCTCCTGGGAATAACTTCTCACTTCACATGTGCCCAGCAACAATACAGAACAAAGCTGGATCAGAAACACTCAACGCTGCCCAATCAGATCGATTTCTCTCAATCTCTTTCCAGTAGTAAATTTTAATCCAAAAATGATTAGGCCATTTTTAATTAGCCATTCCAGATATTGCCAAATGTGTTTTTACAAGTTGGCAGGTTTTCCTTAGATTTAGCTCACCGTTTTAGGTTCGTCAGTAATTAAAGACTTTCATTAAAAATATAAATTTCTTTCGCACCGGTGTTAAGCCTATTCCTGATAGTGCTCGACAACATTTCAGTAACTTTTGACGTTTCCAGCCATCTCGGGCATGTTCCTTTTTGCCTTTTTGAGAAATTTTTGAGCAAAATATAAGTTTATAGCACATACAAAGACAAAAAAGTCAACGATTTTATAGAAAACCTCAGTTTATGCGAACTTTATTCATTTTTATCAAACTTTTGAACATATTGCGATCCTTATCTAAGATTATAAAGGACAATCGGCTGAAATTTTTAATGAAAGTCTTTAATTGCTGACGAACCTATAACGGTGAGCTTTTGACTGACAGTGATTTACACGTAAATGGCGATGAAAAAGCCCCGATGCAAATACGTTTCTCTAAGCCCATGGCGCCAAGGCAAAATAGACGTCACGTGAATTCATAAAACAAACTTTATATCAAGGCAAACCTAAGATTATAACGGATAATGGGCTGAGATGACTTTTGGAAAGACGTCAAGTAAACCCTAGTGTTTTGTTCCGTTAGACTCAAGACTCTTCTTAAACTTCGCCCATGTTTGCAAGTAACTCTTTGAAGCAAAGTTTCGAGCTATTTTTCTTGACCGATGTTATTAACAATTATTTTGAACACCGAAAATAAAGCTTTCAATCAACGTTTACTTAAAAATATCAACAAATTTAGCTAGTAGCTTTTGAAATTAAGATAGCAATTTTTGGATTTTTTTCGAAGTTTGATAGCAATTTTTTAAGCATTTTAGTGAGCAACTTTTCAACATTTCACGAGCACAAATGGAACAGGCCTAACTAGTGTTATCTTCAGTGAGCCGTGGTCTTACAGTTTGAGTTGCAGTAATGAGCAGAATTCTTTACTTTTTCCATTCAATATTCCGTAATTTAAATCAACCAAACAGGGATCGAAGAGCAAGGAAGAAAAAATACCGTTTGAGCACAGCCGCTCTGAAAATCAAATTATTCACAATTTTTAAAATGAATGTTAACGATGCAAACGAAAATTACATCTAGAGAATGTTGTCTACAAGTGTACGGAGGCTGTTAGAGTTTTTGGAATATGTAGACAGCGCCATTTTAAATTATGGAAATTTAGTCGGCTAGCTACGGGCAAATGCCTTTGAAATCAAGTCTTTGAATTCCTCCATCCGTAGTGAGCTATGTTATGAGTATGCAAAAATAACTTATCTCCCCTCTGACTGCCGTTCTGTTTGGTTTTATTCCTTATGATAGTGTGTTGTTTTGCTTACAGAAAACACGTTGAAAATGTATTTGATGACCTAAAATGATGGAATTAGCTTGCATTTCAATTATACAATTATCTGGTTACGAATCGAATTCTCAACATCAGATCCAAAGTCTTTATTTTATGATAATTGCTTTTATTGGTATTTGCATTTCATCGCAGGTAATATTGTTACGGTATGGCTTAAGAGACAGAAAGAACGTTAAAATCCGATAAACCCAACTATGTTATCAAACAACAAACAATATTCCTATTAACGAGTGACTCCTAAAAGCAATACATTAATTATCCTTAATAAATTCACTTAAGCCCATTACAGACTATAACTTAGCTCACCACTGAGACAATCGCACAGTTGTCAACAAATCTCCTTAAAACAACATCTTTAAAATATATCACAGTAACTCTCTCCGTATAGCTTTCCAGACAATCGGTTGCTGCCTGCAACAACAAAAACTACAATTACGACTGATTCCATATTATATATTTGCATAAAATGAGAAATATTTATTAATTCCTTTGACATCTCATTGTGCCATAAATAAGGGGCAGAATTACAACCACAAGCCTTTGGCGAGGCCCCGAAGGGGCAACCATCATCATCATTCTCACTCACTCAAATTCTTTCAGTAGCAAGTTTCGTTCTCTCACTGGCTGAACTGTACTACAATAGAAAAGAGTTGAAGGCCCTCTGGGGCACGCCCGAAGGCTTGACTCTCGTTAATAAACCAAAAACAAAGCCACAGCCTCAAGCACAGCGAAGTGAAACGCAGCAAAACACAGAACCACAGGTTGCCTCTTCGAGGCTTACCGCTCCGCGGCCCGACCCTTCAGGGCTTCCTGTAAGAGTAAAGCCAATGGATTAAAAAACATTGACCGATTCAGCTTCATTGACTAGATTGACTGCTGGAATCGGATGGGTTGCAAAAAAATGTCCTGAAAGAACTGATGACAAGCGATCCGAGTTCAAATCTAATGAACTACGTGAAGTTCATCATCGTGATCGCTGCGTCAATTCGCGGCAAAACAGTATCTTGAAGATCAAAAGATTTCGCTTTCTTAAAATTGTGCAGCCGATTGACAATGAATGCAATTAAGTCAGCAGCAGTCTGCTCAAGCATTGAGACTACCTTAATATTCTATATCAACGAGATAGAGGAAGATCCCAAGGATCCAAGCCCTGGATGGTCGGAACTCCAAGAGGCAGAACTTTGTAAGAAGTTTGATAATGAATACTTGTCGACGGTCTCTGCGAGTCTCAATACGTTTAAATGCATCAGGTGTGCAAAAACTAAACGCCCAGCTCTGAAAAAAAAAAACTAACCAAATACATGATTTTAGATATATGAAATTCATATATTTGCACTGCGGTGAAGAAACGAATTTAAGAGCTCCTCGCAGTCAAGAACACTACTAAACTAGTATTTGAAAATAGGACCTGAAAAAATTCAGGCCCGTACGGGATTTGAACCCATGAGCTCGCGATACCGGTGCAGCGCTCTTCTGTCAACTGAGCTAACAAGCCAACTGGGACCTGGTCAATATGTTGAGTCCAAATAAACCATCCAGTTGATGAATGATGATTTTAGATATGAAATCCAAACTACTAGTACAGCTATCTTCATGTTCTTATCAGTTATGTTTGAATATCGCATCGTAAATGTGATGGCCATGAGTCTTTCGAAAGTAACCAACATCAGATGAAAGTGGGAGGATACAAGAGTAACAAGTAGAGACGAGACAAAAGAAGTTCCAACCGTCCCACTGTTACTGAACCGAATAATACCAAAATCTTCCACAGGACAAACAATGGTTGGCCAAGGAGACCAGTTAATGCGTCAGTCAGCGCTAAACAGGCCAGCACGATATTGCTGTTGGTTTTCACAGCCTTTATCACAAGCAGGTTGAGCAGAACTGTGCAGGAAAAGGTGATGGTGTTAATGATGATTATGATTATGGAATCGGCCATCGATGGGACATCTCTGTCGCCTTCTTTTCTGGTGATGTTTGTAGTGTTTGTAAAACTAGCCAAGGAAGAGTTTACCATGTCGAATTGGAATCCCAAATATGTTTTTACAATTTGGTAAGTTTTCCTACATCACATTTATTTTAAATTTGCATTGAAATGAAATTTGTTTTATCAATTCAGTTTAAATCTATTTTGGCTGAGCGCGATAGGCTTAGAGACAAGTATCTGCATCGGGGCTTTTTCATCGCCAATTATGTGTAAATCACTGTGAGTTAAAAGCTTAAAAACTTAAGATTACAACGGATAATCGGCGGAAATTACTTTCGGAAAGACGTCAAAGGAACCATGTGTTTTGTTCCGTCAGACTTAAGAGTATTCCTGATATTTCGTCCTCATTTGCAAGTTACCCTTTGAAGCAAATTTTCAAGCTATTTTTTCTTGACCAATGTAATCAGCAATTATTGTGAAGACTGAAATATAAAGCTTTTAGTTTACGTTTGTATAAAAATATCAACGAATTTAGGTAGCAACTTTTTAAATTTACCTAAACATTTTTTTGAAAGTAAGGTAGCAACTTTCTGGATTTTTGGCATCTTTTTAGTAATTTCTAAGCATTTTAGTGAGAAACTTTCCATCATTTCACGAGCACAATCAAGAGAGGCCTGATCATTATAATATTCAGTGTGCTGTGGTCCTTTTTTTAATTTGAATTGAAGTAATGAGCAAAACCCCTGCCTATTCCATTCAGTATTCCGTAATTTAAATCAACCAAAAAGGGATGGAAGACCAAGAAACAAAAAAAAAAATCTGAGCACAGTCGCTTTGAAAATCATTTTATTCACATTTTTTTAATGAATGTTAAGGATGTAAACGAAAATTACATCGAGAAAACGTTGTTTACTAGATTACGGAGGTTTTTGGAGTTTTTGAAATATCAAGATAGCGTCAATTAAATTATGGAAATTTAGTCGGCCAGCTGTGGGATACATATCCTTGTAATCTATTCTTAACTTATCTTCCCTGTGTTTGCCATTTTGTTTAGTTTTATTCCTTATGAAGAAAACACGTTGACAATCCATTTGATGTCCTGAATTAATGAACTACCTAAATTTCAGTTACACAATTATCTGAATAGGAATCGAATTCTCAAAATCAGATCCCAAGTCTTTATTTTATTTTAATAGTTTTTATTCGTATTTGCATTTCATCGCGGACAATATTGTTACGGTATAGGTTGGCTGACAGAAATAACGCTAACATCCTACAAACCCAACTATTTTATCGAACAACGAGCAACATTCTTATTAAGGAGTGACTCCTAAATGCAATACGGTAATTATCCTTGATAAACTCATTTAAGCTCCCTACAGAAAATAACTTTGCTCACCACTGACACAAACTCACAGTTGTCGAAAAATCTCCTAGAAACAAAATCTCTGAGGTATATCACAGTAACGCTCTCGGTATAGCTCTCCAGACAATCGGTCACCGCCGCCAATTAAAAAAACTACTACAGTACTAAACGACTGATTCTTCATGTACGTTTATAACGTATTCTAGAACATTCCGGTAGCAATTAAATTTACGGCAAGCACCAACACCGTTTAAAAAAAAGGACTTCCACTGATTGCCGATTTCCAACGATGTTGGTAACTTGCGTGAGGTTGATTATCGAATTATCCGTCTTGATCAAAATCTTAATTGTCATATAAAACAACAATAAGCGAGTTGTAGTAATATAGTATATTTCTAGATTTTGCGTTGGCTTTTTCCACCTGTAAACAACTCGCTTATTGTTTTTTTATATGACAATTAAGATTTTGATAACTGAGTTATTAAGCGGTTCACTCTTTTCTTTACATTTCCCTCTTTCACTGTATCTCTGGATGCACGACCTGGTTTCTTATTCCAAACATGACCTTTCTCATTTCCTTTTGTCTCCAGCAGTAAATCAGTGGATTTAAAAGCGAGTTTAACATGGCACATGTTACCACCAATAGTTTGTTGATCGGCCAAATATTTGCTTTGTAAAGGCCTGTAGCTAAAGCAATAAGACAGAAACAAAGTGGAAGAAGGCAAATAACAACAGCACCAACCACAAACACAGTTGTTTTAAGCGCCTTGTTCTCTTTGGTAAATCTTTCCTTTTCTTCTTGGGGCAGTTGTTGATTTTTTATCTTCTCTTGCTGGCGACGTGTTTCTCGATACATGATGCAGTAACTAAAAGCAAGGAAAAGGATACAGGACAGAGTAAGAAGACCTGCCAAAGAACCTGCTGCTTTGACCATTTCCATCCCTCTTAAAACCCCATTAATGAACGCAATGATCCAAACTACCAAAACTGCTCTCCTCATATTATCATCAGTTATAATATTTGAGTATTTCATAGTAAATTTGATCGCCATGAGTCTCTCGAAAGTAACCAATATCAGATGGAGGTATGAAGCTGTTTGGAATACAACCACAGACACCTGATAGCAGTTCTGAAGTATCTCACCGTTACTGAGACCAAATTGTAGGAAAATCTGCCACAGGATAAAGAATGGCTGGCAAAAGAGACCAGTTAATACATCGCTCACCGCTAAACAGGACAGCAAGATGTTGCTGTTGGTACGGAGTCGAGGTGTCGTTTTTACAGCCTTTATCACCAGCACGTTTAGCACAACTGTGAAGGGACAAGTAATGGTGTTGATGATGATTATAATCATAGAAACAGTCACCGATGGACGATCCCCTGGGTCGCCTTCTTTACTGGCCATGTTTGTAACGTTGGTAAAACTAACCAAGGAAAAGTTTACTTTGTCGAACTGGAAGCCCAATGCAAATCAAGTCTGTATCTCGAAACAACAGTCTCTACCTGTCATTCAATCTCGAATGAAAACGAAGAAAATTAAAAGCAAAGGAAATGTGATACCATTAATAGTAAGTGGTTAAAAGATCTCCTGGGAATTACTCCTCAGTCCACATGTGTACAGCAGCAATACAGGACAAAAATGAATCGGACATGCTAAACGCCACCCAATTAGATGAATTCCTCTTAAGCTCTGCCCATAAAGAAAAAAAAAACAAAAACTGATTTCGCTCTCTTTTTAATTACATTTTTCAGAAAGCCCTAAATAAGCTTTTATAAGCCCAAAATCGTTTCAGCCGGTAAAAGCTTGAACAAAGTTGTCGCGATAACTGGACATTGATCTATCTCCTGTTCAGGAGACTTTTTCGCCTTCTTTTGCAAGACAAATGTCTCGGACATGTTGAGCTCTTTAGTTTTAGAAAAATATGTATTAATTCATTTGACATGTTAAATGAATCTATTATGATCGATTTAAGCTCACCGTTTTAGTTTAATGACATCAGTTTAATGACTCCTGTCGCATCTGCGGTTCTGTAGTTTTATAATTTGTGTTTTGGTCATGTGTAAAACTCGGCTACTTTATCAACGCAATTTTTCATAATTTAAATCCCTGAACTAATCTAGTGTGACAGAGCAAGAAAATAAAAATACATATTGAGTCTCGCACAGTCGTAACAGGGCTTGCTATCGGATAGAGAGGTTCAGGAAATAGATTTCAAGAGTATATTTTTCATAAGTAGCCGCCTGAGTTTTCAATCCTATCTAGATATTCCGAAGTCTTATCAATCGTAAAACAAAACGAGTTCTAATAACTTCCGTAGACTGGGGACGAACGTTTTCTTGATGCAATTTTCGGTTTTCATCATTAAAACATGAATGAATTGTGCTCAACCTATATTTTTACTTTTTCCCCTCCCATCTCTGTTAATCTAATTCAAATAACAAAAGATTGCGTGGAAGAAAAAGTTTTACACATTAGCACAACGCAAATTATAAAACCACGGCTACGAATTTGAGACTGAAGTCAAATTTATCGTTATTTTTAATGAAAGCCCCTACTGACGAACCTAAAACGGTGAGCTATAAAGTCACAATGATTTACCAATAAATTGTAAAAAAATAGCCACGATATAAAAACCAAACCAAAACAGATGTCAAATATATTGATATATTTGTCACAGATTCTGTTTTTATTTGAGTGCAAATCTAATCTAACGAAAGAGAATTATTTAGCTCACGAAACACAAAACATTTTTCGAGAGATGGTCTGGGAAAAAAGTCCTGAATTATATGATGAAGTAAGTGAGCAGGCGATCAAGCTATCAGGGACTGAAACGATTTTGACTATTAAAAGTACTTCAAAGTATTACTTAAAAGTAATATCTGAAAAAGCTGATTAAAAATTGACCTCAATCACTTTGGGATTGAGAATTATTCATGGGCAGAGCTTGAGGGAAATCCATCTGATTGGGTGGCGTTTAGCATTTCCGATTTAGCTTTTTTCTACTCGCCATTTCATGTTTTCTCTTTCTTGCTCTCGCGTTCTTCATCAAATATCCAGAAGCACGTCGCCACCTAGATACGATAAAAGCGGTGCAACTGCCCTAAGAAGAAGTGGAAACATTAACAGAAAATTTACAAGAAGGCGCGTAAGACAACTCTGTCTGCAGTCGGTGCTGGTTTTGTTTGCCTTCTTCCACTTTATTTCTGTCTTACAGTTACAGCAAGAGGCCTTTAGGATTTTTGCCCTATCAATGTACCATTGATGTAACATGATGTACCATGCTTAACTCGCTTGTTATTCCTCTGATTTACTGCTGAAGACAAAAAGAATTGAGAAAGGTTATCATTAGAATCAGAACCCAGGTTGTGCGTTTAGACATCCAGTAAAGGAGGAGAATATAATGGAAACAGTGAACAACTCCAAAATATATCTAGATTTTACTCTGGCCTTTTTTCCATCCACCGATAAACGAAATTCCTTAGTCATTTTTTATATGAAAATTACATTTTTTGATCAGAAGACGTGATTCGATAATTTACTGTATGCAAAATTATTAACATGTTTGGCAATTGGCCATCAGTCGAAATCGTTTCATTTACACTGTACTCGCGATTACTCCAAATTTCAACGTGAATTTGAATGTTTTAATTGCTATTAGATACGTCATTTGATTGACTGGTAGGGAATACTATACCACAGGGCACGTATTGAGGAAATCTATATCAATCAAGAAGTTAAAAAAAACCAGCTCCTTTATTTGTAATGTTATCGGAGAGAAATATTTTATAAAAGAAACAGAGAACTTTTTCGGGGAGGGAAAATGTATTCAGCATCACGCTCTATAACAGGCCTTGTCGTTATTTCATGTATTATTTCCTTGCCTTCTCATATGAAATTTTGCATCATGAAACACGCCGCCAACGAAGGAAAATAGAAGGACGGCTATTGTCCCAAGAAGAAATGGTAAGACTAACCAAAGAGAAAAGGACCTTCAAGACAACCCTTTTCACTGTTTGAGCGGTATTCTTTTCCTCTTGCAAAATTTTTTTCTGCCTCAGTCCTCTATAATGTTTTTCCCATAATTAAGTGTTTATACTTTCATATTCCATGTTAAACTCGCGTATTGATTAAATGAGAATGATTTAATGCTGGAGGTAAAAAGAGACAAGAAAGCTTCTATTTAGAAAAAGGATCCATGCCTTGCATTCAATAATTCAGAGGTATATAGCGGGGAAACTAAGTAAACAAATCTGGAAAAGATACTGTACGAAAACAGATCATATATTGATATAGCCATATACTGATCATGTTCTGTAATAGTCCTACTTTACCTGAAATAAAGGATATATGTATCTATGTATGTATTTATGCATGACGGATACCAGTTGTATGATGTAACGATAAAATGGGGCAGTGCACGAGGAAAGAATTCCCTCAGAAATTCAGTTACATCTTTCATATTGATGCTTGTGCAAATAATACAACAGTCAAGTGTGAAAACAATAAACGTTATTAAAATGCCCAGCTTACTAAGAAAACAACCATGACATGTACATATCAAGGCTCTCCATTGTTTTATCGAAACGTTTTGAAAGTTTGGTGAAAAAATTAAATTAGATATGTAGCCATACAAAAGTAAAACTAGATTCAGTAAAATCTGGTTCTCATCAATTTTACTCAATTGCGACAAAAATTACTTTTTAATTACATCTAAGATCATTGGATACAACGAAACTATGAATAACCGGCTGTCAGTACTTTCGTTGAGCCTAACACTAATAATATGTATCAAAATCACTAACTCTAACTAGCTTTGCTTAACATTACATCAATTACAATACAATCACTTATTTCCGTACATTTAGAGTGCACTTCCATTATTTCCATGGTGAATTCCAAATCTATAGCAAATTTACTGCAATGAATAGAGGGCGATTATCCATCACACAACTATTGATTTTTTCTTTTTTGATTTTTTGATTTTTTGATTTCCGACAAAATAAACAACCTCATGAATTACGCAATTAAGAATAATGTAAATCATGGGCGAGAAAACGGCAAGTGGAAACACATGCACATTGAGGTGGATCGTTTCTGTAAAAGCCTCCAGACTACAGCTGGGACTCAAGGCATTGTACCTAAAGTTCACTTGATCTTTACTGGTAATTTAACTCGACATACATACCTACTCCAATCTTAATTTACAAATGCTATCAGGATGGCCGGTACAGAAGGCAACACAGCTTATTTCCCTCTAGACGTTAGTTACATTTTCACCATCATCATTACCAGCATCGCTTGCCCCTTCACAATTCTCCTCAACGTGCTGGTGATAAAGGCCGTGAAAATCCCTCGACTCCGATCCAGTAGAAACATCTTGCCGTCCTGTGTTAAGCGATGACTGACGCATCAACTGGTCTACTTGGCCATATATCGTACATCCTGTGGACAATGTTCCTATTACTTAGTCTCAGTTACTGTGCCGGTACGCTTGAAAATTTCTTTTCTTCTTCTTTGGCTGTATTGACAATAGCCTCCTGTCTTCATTTGATGCCGGTTACATTCAAGAGACTCATGGCGATTAAATTTACGATGCAATACTCAAACTTTATAGCTGGTAGGAACCTGAAGACAGCGGTGACGGTAGTCTGAATTATTTCTTTCGCGTGTGGGATCTTCAGCGCGCTTCAAATATATTTAGTTTTACTTCCCATAGGAATTTTTTTCACTGTTTCAGGTATCGTTTTCGTTGCGGTGAGCATTTTTTTCCACTTGGCCCTTCCTCCCGCATACTATCATAATTCTCAATTGTGTAATTAGTGTTAATATTTTGGAAGCCACAAAATATAGGTTTAGTTGGACTATTAATAAAAGTTTGAATAGGAGAAATAAACCAAAAAGAGTTTTAGAACGACAATTTCTGATAAAAAAAGCAACTTTGAAATAGCACACTAAGCGAGATATGATCCTAAATCAATTGCATGAACCTCTAGGATAACTCATACTCTTTTTCCGCTATTACGACTTATAAAAATCCACCGTTGAGGTCATCTTTTAAAGGTTAAGTATAAGTATAGGTTAAGTATACACAGAACCGCTTTCTATTTCCAAGTTCAAGCTTTATCAACCCAAATAATGTTTCCTGCCTAAATGGATTTGCTTTAGCTTCAATCAAGTGGAAATTGAACCCAAAGATCTGCAGGCCAAATGGTTGGCTTTTTTCAAACATCTTTTTGCTCCGCTTTCGTGTGCACGTGTTTCCACCTCGATTTTTCTCGCGTGTAAAACAGTACTGTTTGTACTTACATAATTAATAGAGTTAGAAACCACAAAATATTTGTTTGGTGTGATTAGAGAAAAGTTCGAAGAGAATGAATAAACCATAATTGTGTAAGAACAAGCAAAAATTTAGAAGGTTGGCACGAATAAAGGTAATTTCCATACTTTGGTTTTTTTTTAGGCTGGTGTAGTGGTCTAAAGTTAAACTGATGTTAACGCATTGAACTTTATCGCTACTTTGACCGTGATCTTCTGCTGAGATTATCCTGAAAAGGTTTTGGTGGATAAATCAGGTGCCTTTTATTATACATTTGAATTTGACCTAACGCACTTGTTTAAATGCTATTTTGAAACGGACCTCGTTTTTGGGTATCAAATTTATTGAAAAGAATTGAATATTTTTATTTGGCCTAAGCCGCTTTTGAAACAACAAGTGATGGTAAACACGACGAAAGAAAAAAAAGTGCTTCCAGTTTTTCCCTACTTTGGAGAAAGGTCTATTTCTCTCAGTCATGTTCATGGTATTACCACCAGAGGCTAATCCAAACCACAAAGTAAGACCGACACTCAAGACAGGCAGTATGTTGAACGAGGATACACAAAAAACTTGGTTTTCAAGGGTTGTACTTGAGTTACTTGAGTCTAGATTGGCTTCTGCTGACAACTCCATGGAGTTGTCAGCAGAAGCCAATCCAGACCAGACGAGCAGACCTATTTTCACCATATGCATCAGAGCGATTACTTTCATGTAGTTAAAAAAGGACTAAACAAACCACTTCGTTCTCGTGAGTTGCAATCGGCGGGATGCACTTGTAACTCACTGGAGCGTCCTACCCGAGCCCATGGTACCACCATCAGAAGCCAATCCAAACCACAAGGGAAGATCCTCATTTAAAACAAGCATCAGAGTGAATTGCATCAGGATTTCAACAAAGATACACCAAAAAATTGTTTTCGTAACTTACAGTTGTCAGGAAACACTTGCCTCGCCCGGAAAGCTTGCGTGGTTCATGGCGTTACCACCAGATGCCAAACCAGACCATAGGATAAAACCCACATTTAAAACAAGCATCAGAATGGCCACCACCAAGATCCTAAATAATAATGTACCACTCCTTGTTTTCCTTAGTTTCAATGCCCTTGGCTCAGCCGCACGTTTTACCCAAGTTCATGGCAACACCACCAGAAGCCAATCCAGACCATTTAACGAGACCTACGTTTAATACAGGAATTAAAATAGATAGCATCAGGATGTTTTAACATGATACTCCAGCCACTTGGTGGTACCTCACTCAGCAGGCTCAACCATACTATCCATACTATCCATACTATCACTACCAGACGCTAATCCAAACCACAAGACGATACCCGCATTCAACACAAGCATAAAAATAGTTAGCATCAGGGTGTTAAAAAATAAAACACGACTCACTGTAGCCACCTTTTTTACTGCACTCTCTTGCGCTTGCTTCCTGTGCAGTTCGATCATCATCTAGGCAAATTCTGTTCCAATGGCAGATAAAACGTGCATGAGTTGGTGACCTTGGCCAATTAAATCAAACATTCCAGGGAAAATACGCTCGGGAAACCTGCCGCTATACAGGAGGTCGGATAGAATCATATTAACCACGTGACCAACGTAGAAACCACGGGATAATCTACTGCATGCAGAGAATGCCAAGCACGTGTCATCGTCGAGACAACTGCAAAACACTGCACCTGCCAAATAAGGCACTGTCGTGTTTAAATAGCCGGCGAGAAATGCAGCTGCGCGCAGAGATGTGCTGAACACGTTATTGGTAGCATTAGTCTTACAACAGAGGTACGTCCCGAGAAAGCTGAGACAGCTTGCTACTGAGAAGAAAAGAGAAGGAGACTCGAAGATCGTCCAACCAGTATTCATTGGTCGGATGTAAAAAAATAATACTTGGCATGAAGTGAAGGTCATTAGGCTGATACCCGCATAGTCGAAGAAGAAACTGGTTTTGTAGGCCTTCTCAGACATTGGGTTGAAGAGATGCGCTGAACCGAGGTACACAGTTACTGTTCCGATTCCAGCAGAGAGCATTGGTAAATTGAAAGGATCAAAGATCGGATGAGTGTCCTCGCTTAAGGTCTGGGAAAAATGAAAAAGAAAATACAAAGACACCAAGATATGACTCCAAACGTTAAAACTTTGGTTGTGTAAGTAGAAGAGGCTTTTTAAACACTGCCAAAACCTACTGTTGTGCTTTCGGTATTCAGACTTGATGAACGGTTCCCTATGCCACTCAGTCATCTCTTCATCGTTGAACAACTTCTTTTCGTGATGGTTTATCATTTTCTTGATTTCCTTGATTTTTTTAGTGCGATTGCGCAAGCTGTTCTCCATATGTTTGCGTCAGGCACTGAATTTTTTCAAAGAGATGATTATTTGTCGATCAGATCTAAAAACAAAGTAATAAAAAAAATATGATGGCAGTGAACTAATGACTTTTTTATTATTTATAATGGACGACATGTTTTCGCGTATTTATTTTCACAAGACTTAATTTTCGCGATTTCGCGGTTGTCAAAAAATAGCGAAGTTTAAGACCCACATGAAAGAGTTTTAGCGAAAATTAAGCACGCAAAATCATTACACTTGACTAACAATGTGGGAAAGCGCTACGTTGTCAAAAGACTGGACAAAGCAGAAGTTTCTAGGGTAGCAAACCGTGGGTAATCTCTTCCTCCGGAGGATCTATTCGAAGAAATTGACAATGTCCTAAAGCTGAAATCGCAAATAGGCTTTGTTATGTACTCTTGTACAGCTCCGCTTTGTTGCAAAGGAACGTGTCAAAAGGTTTTCCGTTTTGTTTTAATATGGTTTTGGAAACTATTGTTATGGAAAATTAAAAGCAGTTGTGCCAACTTTAAGACTAACTGTTTGTTAATGCAGATAAGTAATTTGACAATTTTGCGAAATTAATTTCCCTTTAATGCATATTTGTGGCCAATTCGCGAAATTAAAGTCCTGCCATATATACCCATTCCATTATCGAGAAATTAGGCTCCGGTGAAAATAATTAACAATTAGTAGACCTGGGAACTGCTTTCCATCAAATAACTCGAAAATCAAATTGCTAGGCAACGCCATGGCAAAAGGAAAATATGTGAGTTATTATAAAAAAAAACAGTAAATTTAAAGACCAAACTTTTGGAACTGATTCTTCGAAACCTTCCCTCGCCTTAACATGTCCGTCACCGACGGGACTGGTTCTTCTGTGAATAGGCCAGTTCCTATGTCAGTCAGTGCATGACCATTTGTGTAAATCGAGCATATTTCTTAAGATGGTGAGGGAAATTAATTTTAAGGTAAAGTAGCTGTGTTGTTAGTTTCTTTTCACAAAGAGCGTTTTATAGCTCGAAAACATCTGATGCCTAAATTTAATAATTGTTGATTCGCAGGATTACAAGGATGTCAAAGGGGTGATGGGTTTTACGCCAACGGTTAAAATTTTAGCATTTTACGGCTAACGTTTAATTCTTTTCCCTTGCGATTGAAATAAAAATTTTTACGTTTAACTTTTTTACGACTAGCGGTTATAATTTGTCAATTTTAAAGCCTATCAGCTGAAGTTTAGAATTTTTACGGCCAACGGGTAATCACATTGAGACCCTCGATCTAACCTTCGTTTTCAAACTTCATTCTTTTGTAAAAATAAACTTGAAAAGTCAAGGGGGGGGGATGAAACTATGTGTTGCCAAGTTGATTAGATTTTTGAGCAGAAAATGCCAACAAATGTAGAACAGGCAAACATGAGCAAATATCATACCTGGGAAGAAACACACAAGGAAACCTAAGGTGATCGTGAATTTTTGATCCTGTCATCTACACTCTTTGCTGACCGTGACAGGAGAAAAACAAATACTGATGGATTTAATATTTGAGCATTAAGTTTATTGAAATTTTGATAATTCTTTCTTATGGAAATTTTTAGTATCAAGAGAAATCCAAAGCAAGACAGATTTTCTGAGGAAATGACTGAGCTAGAGACCTACCGATCCCGGCATTCTCAAGTTTTTCTTTCAATTTTTCGGAGAAAAAGTGATTGAAAGAGAACTTTCCTTGCATGAATTCTAGTTTTGCAAAAACTGCTTAATTTAGAGAGTTCGTGAACGAAATATATTTCGTTAAAAATGAAGCCTTACATCCAAGTAATGATGTGTTTGTTATGCAAAGCAATATACATTTTATTCAGTAAGTGAGCAAATATATGCAAGCTTAGGCGAAAAACCTGAGGGTCTTGGAAACTTGAAACACAAGCAAAAGAGCGCTCTAATATTAACACAAATTTAGAGGAAAAACTTGAGCTTGAAGTTATTTTCATGGTCCAGTCACTTCCTTAAATTGACTTTTTCTAATACATCGACATTGATTTAACTGCTTCATTAGCTAACTAGATTGAAGAATCGCAACAGGCTACGGCGTAAGTGATATGAATAATCAGGCTTGCGAAAGAGAGAATCTCTCTTCTTATGATTACATATCCAAAGACTGGAAGGAGCTGCCTTCGTACTAGTCGGGCAGTTCAAACTTATTTTTAGAGACAAATGAAACTTCTCTTTGAGCTACCATCAATAAAGTACGTTCCCAATGGTTGGCGAAAGCCTCGTAACGTCGCGTGGATACCCCTTAACAGTGGTTAAAGCATGCATACATCTGTGCACATGTAGGACTGAGGTGGAGAGAGAAACTCTCAAGAATATGGCCCACAATTCCATGTATGAGCGGCTAAGAGTTGAACAACGCTAATCCTTGATGAGAAGGTGGGCTTTTCTCTAAGCGTGCCACCACAGAATGTCATTAGGTGTCCCTGGTCATTGGTTGGCATCGTTTATTCTTCTGGGTGAGAGAGGCATTGTAGGAGTAAACTGTCTTATCCAAGAACACAAATCAATGACCCAGTCAGGGCTCGACCCCATACATCTCGAATCGAAGTCTAGCGCGGTACACAGGAATCATCCTTTATCATCTTTTATTTGCCTTATTTATACAATACAAAAATTTATTTGTAGCGGTTATAGCTAGAAGGCGAGGAGACCCAGGAAGCCACCGGGCTTATGGGAGGAATAGAGGTGTATGAAGGTTTCTCCCTATAGTAATTACGCCCCGTACGACTTCGCCCCCACCTCGACATCTTCAACTTATCAAATGTAATTGAAGTTCGCCCCCAGAGCTTCCAAGTCGTATTCTTACGAAACGATCTGAAGATTATTCCTACCTGAACCGGAATAACAGGTAAGCTATGTGTTTGGGGCAAAAAAAGTGGCTATATAGGGCTGATCGAGACGATAAAGGGACAGTGTCAGTATAGGGCCAATTTTCAACCCTTACACTTTAGCTTTAGTGTATATATCATCCATACTGTTCTCTGTACATTTCCTATGGCACTGAAATGGAAAATTTGTTGAAAAATCAATAGCTTCTTTAGTTGGTGTTCATTTCCTTTATTCTCATAACCTTAATGCGTAATTCAGGGATATTACTGTAAAGAGAAATTAGATGCTGGTCACTCCTTGAGGCTGAGGGGTTTAAAAAAGGTTATGACAAAGCCTCAAAGCCGACAGCAAAGAACTTAAGATAGTTACATCACATATTTTTGCATTGCCTAGCGCACAAACTGAAGGCGTTTTACATTACATTCTCAAATACCCCCTCCCAGCTTCCATTTTAGATTCTGTTGGACAGGTTTATTTCATTTGGTTCTTTTGCAACCATGTTTTCCGAAATAAAATATTTTTTCTTAGTCACTTAGTTCTAAAGAGACCAATTCATGCTCTCAGGTTAGTTTTTATGAGAACTTTCCTTTTTCTTAAGAGCAATAGAAAACCAGAATGCAATACAAGCGTTCAAAAACATCACTAATATGGCCGCGACCAAGGTGTTGAGAATGGACACGTACGCGGTTGTCTCTTCCAACATTCCCCTGGCTTTCCGGGCGTTGATTTCAAATTCAACCATTTTGAAGGCATATTCTGTTCCTATGGCAACACAGACGTGTAGAAAATGATGACTGTTCCCGACCAAATCAAATCTTCCAGGAATGAGGCGTTCAGGCAGCCTGGTGCTGTACATGAAACCCGCCAGAAAAGTATAAAATGCGTGACGCAGGTAATATCTAACGGGTAAACTGCTACAGGCGGAAGAGGACCAACAACTCTTGTCAGTTACGTGACAGGTGCAAAGAGTCGCGCCAACCAGAATTGGTAAGGTACTGTGAATCCAAGCGGCGATTGCTGATAACATCCGCAAAAAAGTGCTGAACTTGTTGACTGCAGCATCCGTTTTGCAGCAACCGTAGGTCACAAGAAACGAAAACAGGGCTGCTAGGCTCAGGTACAAAGGTGGCGATTCAAAGATCCTCCACTGAGAATTCACTGGCCGAGCATAGAAGAACATAGCTTGGCACGAGGTAAATGTGTAAAAACTGACCGCTGCGTAGTCGAAAAAGAAGCAGATTTTGTATCCTCTTTCAGAAATGGAGTTGAAAAGATGAGCAGTTGCACTGGAAGAATACAAAATTACAGTTCCCATGGCAGAGGCCAAAAGTGGCAAATTGAAAGGATCTAAAATTGAGTCCACCTGAGTAGATGCAGCCGTTCCATAGCGTACGGCGAAGTATAGTGCCGCTATGATGTGGCTCCACACGTTAACACTCTCGTTATTGATGTAGAAAAGGCTTTTCAAGCACTGCCAAGGCGTGCTGTAAGCTCGCCGGTATCCTGACTTGATGAAAGGTTCTCGAAGTCCCCCGGGCATTTCTTCTTCCTCAAAAATGACCCTGTCATTATCGATTGCACCAACTGTCAAGCTACTATTATTGTTGGCAGCTGTGGTGCTAAGACTGTTTCGCTGTCTGTCTACCATCCTTCGGCCTCTGTTAACGATAGCAAAAGCACGTTGACCTGTGTAGAGAACAAACAGTAAAGATGCATTCGCTTGTAAAGTTTTAGTTGTTTTTGCTATGGCAAAAAAATTGACCTACATATCCTTGAAAAACCCACCTCCCAAATTCTGAAAAATCAGTTTTTTAAAAGGAACAAATGAGAATGAAGGAAATTCTGTTCTGCCATGTGTTTCCACGACAAGTCATTGCCAAGCTTTCTTTAGCATTCGTCTGTAAATAGCAAGAAATTTGCATTGTGGTTTGGTTATTTTCAAACACCGATTCTCTATGAGATTGAGGCTCTCACACTTATGTAATTCTTCCTTTGAAATTGGTCTCAAAACTTAACTTAATTTTCTAAAGATCAAGGTGACCATAGCAACCCAAAAGCCTAAAAAAAATCCCTTAATCTGCTTCTTTTGTGCCCTCCGCTAAAAAGACAAGTTCGGTGACCACATTATTGTCATTCACTGAAATTGGTATTTAAATAAATATCATTCAGCTAAGTTAATGAAAGAAAAACTGCACATGAAGTTCAGATCCACCTTAAGAGTTTTAGTTTGACAGAAATATAAAGTTGGAATAAGAGTGTTTCTTAAAGGCTGCGGTGTTAATATGGTATACCTAGATTTCATTGGAATGATCAAAACATATATTGACCAAATTGGACACTTTTTAACACTGTTTTCAAGGGAACACACGAAAAGTTTGGTGGTATTGATAATTCGTAAGGATTGGTATTAATAAATAATGAATCAATTTTATTATAAAAAATTGCCATTAAAGACCATGATATTACATTTAAAAAAGTAAAAAAAAAACTAGTTGACGACGTCTCGAAGTCAACTTAAAAAATTATAACTTAAAGCTAACCGAAAAGTTTTGGACATATGGAGTCCACTTCCACGTTCAACTTCAGTTTAAGTTATTTTGATGAAAAGCATTTCAGAAACAGGACTAAACAATCAAACCTACTTTGACATTTCCTCAGAATCTTAAAGAGGCTTTTGTTAAGAGTGCACTGTAATGAGATGTTTGGCAACCACACAGCCCGACGCCTTTTTCAACTCATTGCTGAAAATAATTATTCGTAATTACTTTTTTTAAAAGGAAAATTGGACTCCTTGAGATTCAATGACTGTTGAGGGAAAATTTCTTTAAAAAATCAGCACTAGGCCATAGGACTAAAGCTAAGTTACGTTATTTAGCACAAGTTATTCAGACTGATCTTTTTCAGACGAATGAATAAACTTGAACGGAATTTTACAAAAATTATCGACAGCTGTTGGTTAGTTTTAAAATACTGAAGGAGAATAATGTCAAAAGCGAACTTTATCATCGGTCAGTTGGACTTTGCTTGCCAGGTTCAGTTTGTTGCAGACTTTAAAATTTCTTCAAATATGAGTTCAGTTTGTCGCAGACTTTGGACTTCTTCCAAATATGAGGAAAACTGGGCCTTAACGGCGACGGTGCATAAATTTGTTTAATGATGAGGTGTAACAAGTTGCCTCGTCAACGTAAAATACTTGCTTAATTTACACAGATATCCCTTGAACAAGGAAATAATGCTCTAATGGCAAATGAAAATAAAACTAAGGATCACTAAGACGAGAGAGATTTTTCACACGCGGCAAATAAATTGGTTCAATTAACTTGTCACGTATCTTAAAAGCGATAACAACATTATGTAAATCTCGACTAAAAATCACAAATAGTTTATTTTCTCTTGCAGCACGTATCACTTAAAATTATTTTCGGAGTCATGAAAACGAGATAATTGCGCTCAGAACGGTGCAAATCAAATTTGCTAAGAATTCACTTTCGTAGCTGCTTTGTAGAAAATAAATAGCGCCTACTTATGCTCACCAAACAATACAAGTATGTTAATACGATAGAGCCTCGTGTGTAATCAGCTCACTCTTAAACCCTGCCGCTCAAATTTCGTCCTGGCTAAAGTTCTAGCCCATTTCTAGTTTGGAAATAGAATCTATAATAGCTGATGGATTTCAGTAATTTCAGTTCAAATGTGAACACCGTGATTGTTTACGATAGAGTACAAAACGGATAGAAAATTTCAGTTTCACGAAACTATCACGATATTCGTTTAACTTACCGAAATTTTCAACAGTTTTTTCCCTGTCAGGATCCCAGTTTCATTCAGAATTATCACAAATCGCCTAACATGAGGCTCGCATGCTTCTGTCGCGTCTTGCGTCAATATACAACAACGAAACGTAAACAAGTAGGTGATGCTTGGTTTGCGGTACAAGTATAATTATTATGCAACTATTTAATTCAGTTTCATATTATGCATAACCGGTATTAGCGAGATTACAAATCATCAGAATTTATTAAGCGGCAAAAAAAAAACGGTAGAGGTTAATGACTTTTTGTCGAAGAACTACGAAAGTATAGAAAAATTGCAATTGGTATTTAGTTTGCTTGGCAGCCACAGCGTTTTTGGACCAATATAGAAAAGAAAATAGCGACAAGCTCGATGTTTTTCCTCGCCTATCGAGCCAAACTTATGACAAAAAGATAGCTAGCGCTGCACTATTCAACCGCACGCCTCACTGGAGAGCAAGTTTTATGAGTCCGCATAAACAGCTAGAGAAGGAAAATTACTAAATTGATGAACCTCGCAAATCATGAGCATTTGGATAGCGTGACATTCGAATCAGCAAAACAAAAATCGAAGTAGCATCACTGCTGTCTCTGGTTTTGATAAAGTGACGTTGCGTGTCACAGAGTTGTTGACAATGATGTTACCAAGGCCTTGCCAGAGCCCAGAGGCAGAAGATAGCAGAAGTCGGTTACGTAATTCTACAGGTATTACAAAATGACCCAAAAAAAAAACAAACAAACAAATTCGAGTCAATCACCACAGTGCGACAGTACGGTTCAATTATTATTATAGTAAAACTATCATATCAGTTAATCATCCATCCATAAATATAACGTGAAAAGATATCAATCGTTAAAAAAAACGTAGTCGGCCAAAAAAACTAGCTATCTACATATATGAACTACGAGTCGGAATTGGTTGGGGTTTCATGCGTCAGGGGACTCTCTTTAATCTTAATCAATCAGGACGAAAACAACCGAAGATGACGTCGATTCAAAGATGAATGAATAATTTTCACAAATGGCTGGAAGAGACAAGTGCTTCACTTCATCAGAACGTACGTGAGAAGCGTTGAGTCCCAATACAAACTGCAACTTAAGCAATTTTCTGTCGGGGTTCACGACCCCGCAGATTATGGTACTTTGACCTGGTTGTTTTGCAGAGGACGGCTAGATAATGTGCAAAGTCGAAAAACGCAATTGCTAAACTATTGTACTAACAAGTGGATATTTTGTTTTGCCACGTCCTCGTTGCCATCGCCTTCTTGCTGAAGCTAACGCAGATCAATCATTTTTCCAATTGAATGTATAACGTAAAAACGAGTTTCATCGGTGATCGTTAAAAACAAAATTGCCCCTTCAGAGCTTCCAGAACTCCCAGTTTTTTTGTCGACTTAATTGATCACGAATGGAAAAAAAAGTAGTATCCTCTCGAATAAGTTTCCAAGGTCTAAATTCTCATTTAAAACATAATTCGCTTCGGTACAACTTCCCAGAGAGACTCAATATAGTACAACAGGTTTCTTTAACATTAATGTATTATTCAAATATCATGATTTAATGTGTTTACATTGCTCATGACCGCAGTTGATTTTTTTTAACGTAATTCGCACCCTGAGCAAGTAAAATGACACATTACTAATGTGCAAAATGGGCCATTTTAGGTTGCAATACGAGGCAAATAAGGCATATTGGTTTCAAAGCTGACTGTCACTGAAGCGAAATATGTTAAAAATAATGGCGTTCCTTTTTGACTTGCTAATTAAAACAATTGAAATCTTTGGAATAAAAAATAATGACAAATGATATTCCCAACTGAATTGGCATCGTTTTCGGAACGATTGTTTAAGACGAGTTTTAAAATTGACTGACTATCATCGAGGTTGATGAAGCTGGAATTTTGAAGAGGTGTGAGCGTGACTCGTGCGTGATCGAATGTAGGAGACGGTAGAAAGGTTTTCTGAATAATTTTGAGCGAGTGACGCCTTTCCGGTCGCACAGGATGCTCTTAATACTCCGGCCGAGATTCGATTCACGTCATCACTCATCAAACATTCTTTCTGAAAAGTAAAGAAGCTACTTTTCAACGGCAAGAGTTTATCTCGAAATGAAAAACGGATCCAGGAACATATCGTGTGATCAAGCGAAACTGAACAACAACCGAAACCACAACAACGAATCGATCAAATCGACATGCAACAGAGGGATTTTTACAGAGAAGAAATTACTCTACAACTCCGACGAAGTTGCACCCGATTTCCAAGAAGCTTTCATTCTTAGCGGGTATCGGAAGCCTTACAGCAGCACCTGGGAATGTTTACAAAGCCTTTTCTACGTTAACAATGAGACTTTTAATATGTGGAGCCATATCGTGGTGTGTTTATATTTTGTCGTGCGGTACTCCGTGGTCTTGATTGAGTTAGGAAGTTCGTCCTCGCCGAAACAAGATTTTTATTATCCAATGTTATCATCGGCTATCGGGAGCGTCACTATCTACGCGTTGAGTGCTACAGCTCATACATTTAACTCACGGTCGGAAAAGCTGCACAGAGTTTTCTACTTTTTTGATTATGCCGGTATTAGCATCTACACCTACACCTCCGGTCAAGTTATGTTCTTCTACAATCGACCCATTCAAACTGGATGGCGAATTTTCGAATCTGCATTGTTTTACACAATCATCGGCGCCAGCTTATCTTTTCTGGCAACTTTCTTTTGCTGCCAGAGTAAAGTTGGTTTACGAAAGCACGGCTCGGCAATCCGCATAATTCCAGTGTTCGCTGGCTGGTTGAACACTGTATTATCTCTTGCAGTTGGCGTGACGATGTGTAGCTGTCACGCTGTCACGACATGTCAATCTTTCATCGCCTGTAATGAGCTGTTAATCACGTACTTTCGACGTCACTGCTTTTACTCAATCGTGGGCGGGTTGATTTATGGAAGTAAACTTCCAGAACGACTCTTGCCAGGAAAATTCGATATCATAGGAAGCAGTCATCATTTTCTTCACATTTTTGGCGCCCTCTCCACAGAATACGCCTTTAAAATTCTGCAAGTTGCCATAGAAAGTCGTCAGGATTCAAGAAACGAAGTTTTGGCGAAGTCACTGATTGGTATATCGATCTGGGAGACATTGTTTCCTACGGTTGTAGTATTTGTCGTTAACATCGCCATAGCTTCTTGCTTTGCAAAGTTGATTTATAATTCCAAAGATGAAATAACCATCAAGAAAAAATGAGTCATACAAATGTCAAAGTTATCATTTAAAATTTGACAGTTAAGGAATCATTTTGAGGTGCACAGAGGACCACCATCATTTATCACCGGGGGTCGGGGGGGCAGTCGGATTTTGGTACTGTCACGATAAAGTTTACCTGATCCTACCATGAAGCTTTGTAATATATTTTTTGATCCCCCCTCCCCTCCCCCCCCCTCCTCATTGGCGGTTAATTCTTCTAAGACTCTGTTGGCGACGACTGATCACCTCTCCGTTTCCTCATGAAAACCATGTGATCGGCCTCAAAATCATTTGCTCCCCGATCCTCTCAAGCGATAAAAAACGATTAGTCTTCTTATTTTTTTTCTTTTTGTCGAATTTTGGAGTGAGGTTCATTTACGTCAGTTATGTACAGGGTGGGGGGAGGGAGGAGGGCCCCTTGTAGCCATAATAACCAAAGAAAAGGCAAAAGTTTCCCGGGCTTATTGTTCTAGCTAAGCCTAAATATAACGCATTTTTTTCAGTATTTATTTGCAGTTTGTAACTTGAAAATATAAAGGAACTGTTCGTAATAAACGCTTGTTAACTGAGTTAATAAAAATACGCTTTAAATGCAAATTGAAAACAGCCCTTTGTTGACGGAGAATGTTCAGTTTGTGGAGGATTAGAGACACAACAATCATCCTTCTCTTTTCTTTGCTCATTAATAACCTTTAAAGCTATCCCATCACACTCCACCTCGTCCCCACTGACCTCCAACGTCATCCTTCCCACTTCCCCCCGTCTTGTCAAAACCAAAGTTTCAAAAAAACAATATTACTGTTTTTTTTTCCTCGTAACGCGGCGTAAGCCTATATCATTTTTATTTACCTGCCCATTTTGACGTACATAACAACGCAAGCACAGCTGGCTTACTAAACTTTTGTCGCGTGAAAAATGTAGCTTGCACGGTACTAGATCAGTTGCATTGAGGAGTAAGTTATTAATTAGAGATTCCCGAAGTCTCTGTCTTAAAATCACTGTAAGTAAGAACCTTTAGATTAAATAATGTTTTGCCCATTCTCGGGCAAATCAAACGCATCTTCACCAAATTGGTTTTTGACACAATGACCTCTCATTGAAAACATCCAAGGCACCTCCCCCAAATCGTCTCTTTCCAACTAACACCCGTCAGCCATCTTTGTGACACATGTATCAGTGATGTCAACTATTGTTAGTTGATCGCGAGTTACCAGTCGCGATCGCGAGTTGTAATGAGCAATCGCACGTTACTGGGCTATCGCAAAATAGTAACTTGCGATTGAAAAGAAGGTCACAAGTTTGCGCAACAGAACTTTACTTGTATTTTACTCGCTTGACTCTTTACTAACTTCTCGTACTCAACAATCGACAACTGTTCACGCACTAGTGCGAGGTATTTCGTGATTTCTCCTGGGTTTTGATCGTCACTGAAAGTTGGGACGGGTACGAATCGATCAGCGGATCTGTTACAAACCGACATTAACTGGGTTCGATCGTTCAAATTGTCTGAATTTGGGTACGAATCGTTCGAGTACAAAAGTCTATGGGTACGAAAAGACTGGATACCGGCTGGCACACACCACAATCTCCTCTCAGCTGACCGTAATGAGGCGGGAGGCTAGTTCATGATACTCTTTGGCTGCCTAGAGATGAAAAGAACTTGGCTAATCACCTTCAAACTAGCCAATCAGCGCGCGCGGAAAGCATCATTCAGCTTGGCAATATTCAAAATTTAGTGATAATTCCTTTTCATTAACTGTAAAAATATAAACTTTCTGAATTAAACGACAAATATTCTTCAACACAGTTTCGACTGGTAGTTTACAATGGAAATTTTAATTTGCTATTGGGAAAACAGCTGGCCTTCGGCATATCTACAACCACCAATAGTTCCATACATCAATTGGTGCTTTGCAGCATAAATAAAGTTGAAAGTAGATCGAATCCAGGGCAAAGAGCCAAAAAGGGGTCTGCTTTCAGTGTCGAATGAAAGCACGCACAATCTTCTGTAGCAGCTGAATTTTTATTTTCCTGTTTGTTTGTTTGTTTTTTTTTTCCATGTGACATATCGGGTTTCATGATAAGAAAGGATTGCTTTGACAGGAGTGGAGATGAGTATTTCAATGATTCGGCGGGCAATAAGTAACTCGGATAATAAATGAATCGTTGTCGTTTCTAAAACTGTCGGATGTTCATTTGTAATGTGTAACATTTTGTTTCACCAAAACTAAATGATTCTCGGTAAACTTATTTTAGTTTATTTGTATACTTTGTGGCTTCTTTGTGGAAAAAAAAGAAAAAAAATTGTACCTCTTCTACTGTTTGTCTTTCTCATTAGCGCTCTATCAGTCATTGTCAAAAAATGTGACATCTAGCAATATAGCTAAGCGTGCACTGTATAATCAAACAAGTTTTGTACACAAAACGACATTTAAAAGACAATCGAAACCAGACGAAAACCAAATAGCCAACTTCAGCTGCTTTAGCAGCCAGCGAAAAAGGTTTCTCCTATAAAAGTTTGTCACTCAACAAGAAATGGCGTCTTATTCAAACTCGACTTCGAATGAAACACTGGTACACGAAGCGCCTTGTTTCATTCACGACACGAACATGGTTCGCGCTTTTCGCGTCGCGCCGTTCGCGCCGATTGCGTTTTTTGCCACAACCGGCAACTGTCTGGTTTTCGCTGTACTGTTAAGAAACAAAGCAATGAGGAAAACTGCGAATTGCAAACGAAAATGCAAATTCTCCAGTCAGATGCAAAGCGCAACAATTTTTTTCAAAAGTGCCACAGAGATAACATCACGCATCTAAAAATTTATACTCGGAATTGGTTACTATGCGACTTCTTTTGGAATGGGGTTGAATTCATTGCTTATTTCCCGTTTTCAGATTGGTCAGCTTTATATGCAACTGACCCCAGGAAGGGTCCTTTCTCTTTCTCCTTCGAGGAGGGACTCTGGTTACAGCTGATCACGTGCCTATGCAGAACAAAGAACGCCGTAGGGAGGGTGGATCCTCGACTTAATTTTTCTGGGAGACACGTAACCAGCCGCAACCGAGTCACCTCCCCCAGGGGCGAAGAGAGGGGACCCTGAGAACGAGGTTGCAATTAATTAAACCTAATTTCTACGTCATCCTTGTTTGCTTTGGTCCTAAGCACTGATTGGCTCGTTAGCATCAACGGAGAGTAGGACTGCATGATTTACTCGCACCACAGGAAACCCAAGGTAATTTTTAGTGGCAGCGTTACTCGACTCCTAGCACGTAATGCAGTGACAATAAAAAAGATAGAGGAGAATACTGGTTTCTCTTGAGGAACCTCAAATACTTGACTCTAATAGCTTATAGGTGTACCCGCCGAAAAAAGAGGACTTCAGAAACAGAAACCATAAATGTCGTATCTGCCAAAACTGATAATAATAATAAATTATAATAATGCGAATAAACCACGAGCAAAAAAAAATGAAAAACTACTTACCGTGTGCGGAGGTTCTAAAGAGTAACCTAAACTGTAAAATATGTTTTAAATGATGCGACCACGGACGCTGCCATTTTAGACACAACCCGCTGCCATGTTAAAAATAGCTCCGCAGATGCATAGCGGCCCAGCCTTCAACTCATATGGCGGGAGCGCGGTCGAACAACAGCAGTTAGTTGAAGAGTCAACTTCTATTTTCATTCAGCTCAAACCCAGATGATTTCCGATTTTATTTTACTTTAAGGAAAGTTTTAAGGCACTTTTGCAACATCGGAGTCGCAAAGATGACGTTAGAAACCAGCAATTACTCATAGCCTGGGGAGGGGGGGTCGGAAGATTTTGATTGTACCCTAATAAAATTCACTCGATCCCATCCCAAAGCCTTGTCAATATTTAAATGATCTCACCTCATTGGCAGTCGATTTTCTATTGTGGCCCCCTTTGTACTCTGTTAGCAACGACCGATCCCCCTTCTCCGTTACCTCTAAAAACCAGGTGATCCTCCCCAAATCCTCCTATAACCTCTCCCCCCCCTCCACCCTTTTCCGGCGATAGATAATTCCTGGTCTATTCCCAAAAACTTAATCACAAGGACACAAACAAAGAGAGCCCTCTTAGGAAACCCATCCAGTTTGATCCAGTAACACCCGCCGCACCTCACCCTCCCTCCCCCACTCACCTCGGCGGCGGGTAAATATGCTAGGGGGAGAATATGGAAACAGCTCTCTTGCGCTGTCGATGGATATTGCGTTTCGGTTCCCTTACCGAAGTCTGTCATGTGGAGAAAATATTTTCAGTGTCCGACAAATTGCGTAAACCTGCGGGAAGTTCTTTCTTCATAACGCGGTGTTTGAAGACTTCAAAGACTTCAGTAAAGTCAGAGTTTAATTCGTCAATTACGTTCACATGGAACCTTGTCATCCGGTAACTGGCACGTGTAAGGGTGACCCAGGATTCTTTGGGGCCCGTTGCTCTAAAGGTAGATGTCACTTAATACGGTGTTGAAACTGAATTTTGCCCCTTGTTTTACTGTAATAATGCCTCCTTCACAGGATGCCCTTCAGAGTCCTTTGCAGTAGGGTGCAGAGAAAAATGCAAGTACCTGGCTAATCACACAGAAAGGTGCAACTCTAAGGATGGAACATGTGACTGTAAGCGTGGTTACTTAGGCAAACACTGCTCAAGCAGTAAGTTTTCGTTCGGTGACTTATTAAAAAGAGAGGTTAAACTGCGGGTATTTTCTTGTTCTTTTTGGTGAGAAAAGTAACCTCATGGATGACTACTGACGCCTATTTACACCTCGTCAGAAAAGAAACAGCTAATTAATGATCGTATAAAAGGACCTCTTGTTGCAGCGTTTAGATCACCACTGATGAAGGCATTAGACAGGAGTGTCGAAACGTTGGGTTTATGAATTGCAACTTCTTCAGTTACATTTATTAAATCTTTAAACCAGAGTAGCATCAAACCATGTCTGATTTTCCACCTGGCTGCAATGTGAACTTAAATATATTTTGCTGCTGTTAATTTTATTTTTTTTTTTTGCCGAAGAAAATATTATTGGATAAAAAATTTCTTTGTTGAAAAAAAAAGCCAGTTATAAACGTTATTGATAAAAACAAAACGCCTTTAGTTTGTTGATTCGACTGAATAATTTCAACATCGGATCGGACTCTCCAATTAGGGGAAAGAGGAAAAGAGAAGGAGGAACACACGAAGAATCGAAAGGATCAAACATGTTTCTTGCAAAGGTGATCTTAATTTGTTGTACGTATGCTTGAGTCGAACGACAAGGAGATCAAATTCTTAGTTTTGAATGTGTGAAATAGAATGGGCACCGTGCGACTTTTCTCTTCTCCTAGAAGTGATTAACATACAATCTCTTCCTAAAATAACCATACATAGTTCAGCAAACAGGTGATGAGAATACTCAAACTAATCAGGTTGAATTCTTTATCTTGATGTAACACCAAATTCTCCTAACTTATTTACACAAAGAAATGTGTAACAGCTAAAGGGGAGAATTAGCAATCAGATTTTGCGAAGTAAAGGAGAGAACTGACCTTTGGCTCCCGCGTAGAAAACAGAAAAAAAGTTAACAGAGCTACCAGTCTGGTAAATAGACAGAGTTTCCTTTGTTTCGTTTAAACATCTGTTTAAACGTTCTCCAAGTTTCAGCGCCTCGTTTATTTTACGGTACCACAGTCGTCAAAATTATGTCATGTAACTAAAAATGTCCTGTAACTGATGTTTTTACAGCAAACTTACTTTGATTCTTGGCCAAATACAAATGCCACAGTAAATCTCTCTGAATGCTCAGCTGTTACATGTGTTGAGAAAAACTAGGCTTTGCTCCGAGGCAGCGGCAACCAGCTACTTTACTGTGTTGACTGAAAATGGAAAGAGTGTGCTTCGGCTTAATTTTGGGCTTCATCAGCTTTGCATTCTCGCGAGGTACTACAAATTTAGCTAAATTTGTTTCAGGAATTTGAAAGTGATATCTTCGATGAAAGAGTATATCTTGAATTCTTGAGCTAAGAAGATTTAGCAGCTCGTCAGCTAATGGTAATATTTGCGAGATGACCTCTATCGGAGCAGATTCTCAGCATCTCGTTTTTCGTTCATGTCGATTAACACTTACAAAAAAAATAGGAAGAAAAAACTTTTACAACTTGATAAGTTTTAAAAATTAAGGGACTCAAGTGAAGCCTTTAGAACAGAAGTGTTTGCTAAAAATGTGCCAAGTAAGAGTTTGAATGTCGAGATTACTGTTTAGCCCTGATAGAACTTTGATTCATCAATAGATGTCGACAACGCGTGAGAGACAAGGAAGAAATGATATAACAAAAAATTGAAAAAGAATATGCGTTGGCCGGGAATCGAACCCGGGTCAACTGCTTGGAAGGCAGCTATGCTAACCACTATACCACCAACGCCCAGTTAAAAAATTACTGGAAGAAAAATTAGGTAATTTTAAATATCATATCGAAAAATTATAAATCGCGTTTATCCATGAAGCAAAGCCCTCGGTAAGAAAGTAATGACAACATTTACTAACAAATTCGCTTTGGAAAATTAGGAAGTTTTACGACACCTAGACCTTCTGCCATATAGATGAATTCCATTTCTTTCCCATAACATGTTTGGCTTGTTCTGAAATTTGGGACGGAGGATGAAGAAAGAGAGCCTTTAAGAAGAAGAGAAAATGAAATTATGCTATGACTTAGGACAAAGTCTCGTGCCAGCAGAGGAAACCTCTGAGAAAAGATAACACTTTTGTTGACCCGGCTCTCAAAACTCTGGGTAGATATTTAATTTACCATCTTGAATAGAGAGCTCAACGAATAACAATCTCCTTATTCGCGCGACAAAAAAGATAACGAACATAACTACACGGAAAAAATAGGTAAATATCTTATGAAGCTAAAGAGAACTCAGAGCAAAGAAAAATATTCCCGGTCTTAAAGGTGTGAAAACATTAAGCGACCTATACAGCCGTTCGGTTCAAATTTAGTTTCATGCCTGACTCGCCTAGATGATACATTAGAAGCGCCAATCATATAGAAAGCAACGAATGAAGCCACCGAGTCCTGCAGTGTTTGGACACTGAGTTGCGCAGTATTTCTAAAACTATTTCTATTGTGTGATTGCGTGATTACTCGTCATGTTAGCTTCTTGCTCTTCAGAATGCAAAGACTTGAGCGGAGAGAGTTTCTGTGTACACTACAAGAAACTCTGCACAACAAATGTGAATGTCAAACAAGCCTGCAGAAAGACCTGCGGACTCTGTAAGTGTTACTTTCAATTAGTTTCAACCCAATTTTTTGGACTTGAGAGGTGGAAAGAAATTTTAGGACGACCTTTCAAAGGCAAGCCAGCCTGTGCGTATTACACAACGATTTTCTTATAGCTTTTCCCCCTAGGTGCGACCCCAATGGATTGTGATGTCGCCATAGTCGGTGGAGGTCTGGCGGGACTTTACATGGCGGAATCACTGCTGAGACACAAGAAGGAAACAAAAGTGTGTGTTTTTGAGAGAGATGTTCGTCTTGGTGGAAGAATCTTCGATTATGTATTTCCTCAAGTGCCAGATGAAGTAGTAGGTAAGTGTGATGATAAAGTGAGCCAATGCACTCGACTCGGGAGAACTGGGGTCGAATACATCAAGTCGAGGCTTGTTTGACATATCTGAGCGGACTCGCTTTCAAAATGAGACTAAGTGCAAAACCAGTTTTCTGGTGAAAAAGAGTCTCCTTCTTATTTAGCTTTGCTCATGGCTTCGCTTGAAGGTTTCACGCGTTACCATTTTTCTTTTCTTCCGATGAGTTTCTCACAGAAATACTGTCAGTAAAGCGTATAATTCTTGTACTTGACCAAATTTTCCGCCGGAGCTTGTGTTCTCATCCAAAAATATCGTCCAATGAGAAGTGAGCCGAATTCGGTGAATGTGCTCTTACATTAATAAGGCGCCATTGTCAATTAAAAATTAATCTGTATTGTTCAGTCTATGAAAGGTTTAGAGCGGACTTGTCCTTCAACTGATTAGCTAGTGTAGGTTGATATGGAGGTAAATACGATTCAGAGACTAAGCACAACCTTGTTCAATATATGGAGTTGTGTGCACATTTGACTGCAAACTTTTCAGCTGATAAATCAAACCAAAAAGCCTCTCTTTCCTGTGTCAAAAAATAGGTAGAAGATGCCAGGGGAAAAGAAATCTTGCATCGCAATTGAAAGTATATCGTAGAACGTTGATTTTATTCATTATGTCAAGCATAGGACGAAAAAAACATAGTCCCCTTAGAGGAATCGATTACCGAATTTGCTTCCCGTAGATCCAGCACGTTATCGGTTGAAGTCGTGAAGGCGCGTGTGCTGTTTTGAGAATAGTTACATTACATATATGCTATGATGCTTCAACATTTTGGCTTTATCTTCAGGTCTCGGAGCATGGAGAATCGATATGGCTCACTACAACATGAGGTAGGCGTGAATTAGTTTCAGGAGTATCTTTTCTTGTTTTGGTACAAGTTGCTGGCGGCGCAATAAAACGATTCACCCTATAAATTACGGTGTTATACAAGGATTTTCCGAGGCGCTTTATACGGATTTTTTTCGCGGATTGCGGATCCTGCTTTTTTCATTCAATATAAAGTCGACTTTTCATTTTTTGGACTATTAAGGGGCTATTGTGTCTATACAATATACAAAACAATGCATGGTCACTTGAAGATATGAAATTTATCTTTTCATGTTCAACTCGATATCTTACCCTTTCGCTCCGCTCACCCGTGAACTATCGAGTTGAACACTCGAAGAGAAATTCCATATCTACGCGCGCCCATGTATTGTTCTTTCTATAAAGGTTAGACTCCGGTTCAGACCCCTCGCCGGGTCAATGTGTTGTATTCTTGGGTAAAGTACTTTACCCTAACTGTGCCTCTTTTTACCCAAGAGTATGAACGGGTAATGGCGATATGTCGGGCCAGGAGGCCTGATGGAATGTCGGGGGAGAGGGGGGAGTACTTATACTGCTCCAGGGGGGAGTATTTATACTGCTAGTCGCCTCATTCTATTGTTATGAGCAATTGTTGTAAATATAAGTTTTTAGAAATCTCCAGACTGCTGAGTCATGCTGACTTGCATACCAAAGCACTTTCCAAAACATTTCATCAAGTCACGCAATTGTTAAGTAATACTACTAAAATAGTTTTTATGTGAACCTCTAGAATGCTCCAGAACACTTTGTAAATATATATAAAGACTCACTTACGTAAAAGTAGTAGGAGTTGTTGTTGTCGGAGCGACGACTGTTTTGAAAGCTATACCGAGAGAGAGTTACTGCGGAAGATTGCTCATTCCAAGGCCGGTAACTTTGGAGACACCAGTGAGATTGTGCCAGTGGTGAACTGGGATATAGACTGTGGTGGGCTTAATGAAGGTTATGAACGATAAGTATTGTGCTGCTTTTGGGAATTGCTCCTTGTTAAGAAAATTATTTTCTGTTTGATAAAGTAGTTGAGTTTTTGGAATTGTAGTATTTCCCGTGGGTTAGATTATGCCATAACACTATGGAAACTGGAATAAGCTCCGGCTGGTTGACTACTTAGCTCGCGGACAGTCTTAAATTTTTTTTCTCTTTCTTGGGTTCAACTTGCTAGTAGTGCAATTGAGACGATTTGAATTTCAATTGTGCACAAAATTTTTTGTTTCATAGGAATATCCTCAGCAGACTAAACATTCCTCACAAAGACTGGAACTTTTACTCAAATCCTCGAACAGAAACTAGAGGTTTCTTCGCACGGGACGAGCATGAAATCAAAAGAAAATCATTCCCGTCTCTGACTCAAGGAAAATTCAAAGACATGACTTGTTCGCAAATGTTGGACTATCTACTCAGAAAAGAACATGTCGATAAAATCCACAATTTCGCAACGTTCGAAACATTCCAGAAGCACTATTTAACACCTGAAGGTTCCAGGTTTTATTTCGACGTTTTTGGGTATGATGGAGACCTTAACGGTAGTCCAGAAGGCGTGGTAGAATTCTACGAACAACTAGCTGCACTTACAGGAAAAGAGATTCGTCCTTTAAGAGGGATGTCGGCATTCATCGAGGCTTTGGCCAAATCGGCAAGAGGTCTGGGCACAAAAATTTTCACGGGTGATAACCACAAGATTCTATCAATAGGCAAACAAACAAACCAGTTCGTCCTTAAAACTTCACAATACGAAGTAAGCGTCGGGAAATTAGTTGTGGCTGCTCCTCCGGGTGCGTTTGGAAGTGTCAGCGGCAGCGTAGCGGAACAGATTCAGCGCGCACCAGAATTTCAGTCCATCCTACCCCGCCCAGCATTTAAGGGGGCTGCAGTGTACCCCACAGCGTGGTGGGAAGAAATCACGAATGTGAAGGACAAGTTGTATCCTATGGAGAGATTTTTATCCAACAGTGATTGTCTTGGATGGACGTTACCACATAGGTGGGGCTTGTTGACAAGATATACCTGTATATTCTCATCAATATATATCAAAGCACCGTATCGGCTTAGAATAATTTCGTTTCTAAAGCGATACAACATTATCACTTTTTTCCTCTTTTCCAAAGGTCTGGGGTTCGATTCCTCATGGGTTCCAGCCTTGTGACAAGGCGAAAAAGCTATCTTTTTTCTATTAATTTTAATACCGAGTTTAAAAATTCCTATCTTTTCAATAATTGTCTCGTTTATTACCAGCGGGAGCGGTCGAAATGGCGAGGCAGTTCTTCACGTAGCTTACAAGGACGGTGTTTGTGGCGAAAAATGGGGCGAGATCCTCAAATTACCAAAAGACGTCATGGACCGAGAAATTCACCGCGCCTTGGAATACAAGTTTAACAGAAAAATCCCCAAACCTCTGAGCACAGTGTATCAGTATTGGAACGAAGGTGCATGGTAAGAGAATTTTCTCTGAAGGCCAGCTATTGTAATCATTACTGAAAAGCGTAGTACTTTAAATTAACAATTACTTAGCAATCCTGTCGTGCATTTGAAAAGTGTGTGAGGAAAGTGATACGGGATTTTCTTTGCCTTTTGAAATGTAAACAATTATGAACCGATGACCTGGGGAATCGCCAACATTTCTACCGAGGACCGAATTGGCCCCAAGAGTTTTTCTTCGTTTGAAGTCTTCTATCTTCTCCCTCATGTCATTTCGTCAGACTACCTATCTTTTCTTTTGATTGAGTGTCGTGAAAACAGACAAAAGTTATTTCAATGACCAATCAGAGCCAAGGAAAAGAATGAAACGAGCCGATGAAACTCAATGTTGTAATGAGTGAATTTCCTGAGGCAGGAAAAGGTTATTAATCAGGTCGCCATTGGTTGTGAATGTGTGACGTAAGTTTTTTTCCGACCAATCATAAGGTGAAGTCAACCAAAACTAATGTAAATGTGGATTATTCTTGACACTCATAAAAGAACTCTGAAATCTTACACTGGGTTAAAAAGGAAAATTTCTACTTCGACTCCAGTTCTGTCATAAAAACAAGTCTCCCAGACCATCCCGAATACGCTTTCTTTCTTTCAAGGTACTTACAGAAACCTGGAAGCCACGTTTCCATGAAGCAAGTCACCCAATGGGCAAAGAGACCTATTGCAGGAGAGGAGATCTACGTTATTGGTAGCGCGTATCATCCCTATCGGGGGTACTCTGAGGGTGCTATCATGTCGGCCAACAATGCCCTGAACGATGGTTGGAAAATACCTATACCCAGTCCTCCGCAACAGCAGTACGCGCCAAAAGGTTTCGCGGATGTAAATTGGAAGAATATAAGATAAAATACGTGTTTAGCAAAGAAGCTATTCCTTAGACTTGTGACAATAAAACACACTTCTTCAAGTGATAATATGTTTGTGGTTCATTTTGCAGAATTTTTAAGAACCTTTCATTACAATCATGATTGTATGATGCGACTCTGCAGAACTCTCCATTTAATACAATGGAAAACATATGGCTTCAAAAAGCTGAGATCAACTTTTTTATCTGTTTTCCATGCTTTGGTGCTGCGTCGGTGGGAGAGTATAACAGGGTAATATAGTATAAGCAACAGAGTTGATAACGTAAATTGACCACTGTAAAGAGTTCGGAAGCTGACGTTTTCAGCGTTAGCCCCAAGTCCTTCGCTCTGACAAAGGCTAACGCTCGAAACGTCAGCTTTCAAACTCTTTACAGTGGCTAATTTATGTTATCAACTCAGCTAATAACACTATATTACCCTAAGAGTAATATGACTCCACAATAATGAAAAGATTATCATTCTTACTGCAAGTTACAAACTTGCACTTTGTCGTACCTCAGGAGAGATGATCTGATTGTGAGTGCGTAAGTCAAATAAAACAATTTCTTTCTGTCCGCTTTCTTGTGGTTTAGAGCAACATCAATAAAGTAAGCTATAATACCTTCACATCCATGTCTGATCTACAAAATATACCCTTCCTTAGTTTATAACAAATTAAATATCAAATGTTGGGACTGTCTTCTGACACCCAAAGCAGGACTTGCATCACTTGCCTCACATCAAACCACCATATATCTGGCTAGTAATAGACAATTCTAGGTGTCTGAATGTCAGCCAGTAGTTGCTGAAGGTCATCATCATCAAACCTTTCCTCTAAGCTGAAAAAGAGAGTTTAGAATAGAAAACTTTCTGTAACAAATTGAGCAAGTGCTTATCATCATAGACGATGGGTTTTAATACACAGTATTTGACCCGTTTAAAAACACTATGGGGGGGGATATTTTACCAGTTGCATAGTATTTTCCCAAGTCCTTTAGGGGTAAGGAAAAATGCGAGCAATGTGTATGCAGTGAAACAAGGATTTTAAACCCTTTCACTCCCGAGATCTAAGAAATTCTCCTTACTGTCTCCAGTACAATTCTTGTAATGTTAGTTAGGAGAATTTGTGTTTGGGTCAACTAATAATCCCCTAATTGATATTTTTCTTTATTCTCTCCACCTGTCTGCTTGATAATGTGTTGATATTGTAAGGAGAAATTCTGTCTTGGTCATTCATGGGAGTTAAAGGGTTAAACCTCTATTCCTGGGAATGACTGGCATCTAATTTCTCTTTGCAGTATCACTGCCAAATAACAACATAAGGTGTAAAGAAAAAGGCAAGTGATCCCTCACTAAACAAACATTTGACTGTTAAACAAATTCTCCTTATTAATTCCACAGACAATGTAGAAAGAACAGTATGGAGAACATGCATACTGATGCTAGGGTCTGAAAGGTAAACACTAACCTTGGAATCAAGGCCTTAGCTTCTTCTGATGTTTCAGGACATAAATTAGCCAAACAGGCCAGTTCAAACTTGTGCAGTTTCTTCTTGCCTAGCAAACTATAACAAGAAGTTTGGATTGTCAGAAACTGAAAATAAGGTTGAACTTCATCGCGACAATCAGTCTGGGGTAAAACTAACTGGCAGATGAGAGAAGGTGGCTGTTTACAGAGGTCACTACTCTAAAGAAAGAAAGTAAGCATATTACAAGAATTGAAATCACTTATTATACAGCTTACCTCTGCATTGGCAGCGATTCACAAGCCTGAATCCTCTTCTACTAAGAAAGTGGCTCATGAAGCACAACAGAATATCACTGATGTTATTATGTTTTGATGTGTTCTGTGATCTATTACTTAACAGAGCCATGGCAACATGGAATCTCTCTTTGATAGAAAAGCAAGATGTTGCTAATAATAGATCATAAGAAAGAACCAATCAAATGCGTGTAAAATTCAGCTTATTATATAAACTAAAATCTCCTTTTTTACACACCTCTAATGCACAAATAGTCTTGATCAGTCTAGCATCACTGATCAGTTGCTCTTAATGTCTGAGAAGATTGTCTTTGATTTACAAGCATAACACTCTTTTGTTTTACTTATAGAATTGGCCAGCATGTCATGGAAAGATCTTTTTTCTGGCCCTTAAACTCCCACAAGTGATAAAAATGTAACTTTCCCTATAACATCCATACATTATCAAGCAAACAGGTAATGAGGATACTCAAACTTATCAGGTAGATGTTATAAATCTTGATCTAACACCAAATTCTCGAAACTAATTTAAAAGGAAATGTGTAACGGCTAGAGGGGAGAATTAACAATAAGACCATGGTGGTTAAATAGTTAAGTATTTTCTTACTCTGAGCTTTCTTTGTACTTATATCAGCATTGAATTAATTTCATTCTGTTACCTTCTAACTTGAGCGATAGTTTCTCTGTTTTTATATAGACCAAACTTCTGTGTGTAGTAAAGGGTTTTCTAACTTGAGCGATGGTTGCTCTGTTTTTATATCGACCAAACGTCTGTGTGTAGTTAAGGGTTTTCATGAAATCTTCCGACAGTTCTTGCTCTTCTTCTGCTTCTTCGTTCTGCGTCTTTCTGTGTTCCAACAACATGTACACCTCTGAGTTTAACAATATTACCGCACTTTAGAATTCTAATTTCCAAAGAGCCTTCGTTCTTAACGGTATCGGAAGCCTTACAGCAGCACCTGGGAATGTTACAAAGCCTTTTCTACATTAATAATGAGACTTTTAATATGTGGAGCCATATCGTGGTGTGTTTTTATTTTATCGTGCAGTACTCCGTGGTCTTGAGTATTGAGTTAGGAAGTTCGTCCTCGCCGAAACAAGACTTTTATTACCCAATGTTACCATCGGCTATCCGGAGCATCACAATCTGCGCGTTGAGTGCTACAGCTCATACATTTCACTCATAGTCAGAAAAGTTGCACAGAGTTTTCTACTTCTCTGACTATGCCGATATTAGAATCTACACCTACACCTCCGGTCAAGTGATGTTCTTCGACAATCGAGCCACCCGAACCGGATGGAGAATTTTCGAATCTGCATTGTTTTACACGATCATCGGCGCCAGTTTGTCTTTCCTGGCAACTTTCTTATTCTGCTAGAGTATAGCACGGCTCGGCGATCCGCATAATTCCAGTGTTCGCTGGCTGGTAGGACACTGTTATCTCTTCCAGTTGGCGTGACAATAAACAGCTGTCACGCTGTCACGACATGCCAATCCTTCATCGCCTGTAATGAGCTGCTAATCACATACTTTTGATGTCGCTGCTTTTACTCAATCGTGGGCGAGTTGATTTATGGAACGACTCTTGCCAGGAAAATTCGATATAATAGGAAGCAGCCATCATTTTCTTCACATTTTTGGCGCCCTCTCCACAGAATACGCCTTCAAAATTCTGCAAGTTGCCATCGAAGGTCGTAAGGATGCAAGAAATTAAGTTTTGGCAAAGTCGCTGGTTGGTATATCGATCTGGGAAACATTGTTACCTACGGTTGTAGTATTTGTCTTTAACATCAATATTTTGATGATCTCACCTCATTGGCGGTCAATTTTCAATTTTGGCCTCCTTTGTACTCTCTTAGCGCCGACTGATCCCCTCTCGCTCCCTCTAAAAACCAAGTGATCCTCCTCAAATCCTCCTACACCACCCCTCCCTCCTCTTTTTTCTAGAGATAAAGAATCTCTGGTCTATTCCCAATAACTTAACCCTTTAACTCCCAGATCAAATTTGTCATTCTCCTTACTGTCAATTACACAATCCTTATAATGTTAGTTCAGAAAATTTAGCATTGGATCAATTAATTATCCCCAAATTGATAGTTTCTTTATTCTCATCACTTATCTGGTTGATATTGCATTGATATTGTAAGGAGAAATTCTTTCTTGGTCACTCATGGGAGTTAAAGGGTTAATCACAAGGATACAAAGAGAGCCCTCCTTGGGGGACCCATCCAGTTTGATCAGTATATGATCTAGAAACATCCGCCGCACCACCCCCCTCCCCCACTCACCTCGGCAGCGGGTAAATAAGCTGGGGTGAGAACATGGATACAGCTCTCTTGTGCTGTCGATGGATATTGCGTTTCGGTTCCCCTACGGAAGTCTGTCATGTGGAGAAAATATTTTTAGTGTCCGACAAATTGCGTAGACCTGCGGGTAGTTCTTTCTTCATTACGCGGTGTTTGAAAACTTCAAAGACTTCAGTCAGTCAAAGTTTAAATCGTCAATTAGCGCCAGGGATGATCGTGATGCATTTGCAAGACACATTTGCGGCAGGCTGAACCCGCTAGAAAAAAGAATTACTTTTAAAATACATCGATTTCCGTAAACTGAGGCTGTTTGGCGCAAATCGGTGCACTTCAAAGGGGTGTTGCAGTGTTTATGTTTTTTGTACACGAAGCTGACAATTGTCGGGTCTGTTTAGTTTAAAAGAGGGCTAAGGTTTCAGAAGTAAGCATTCATCTGATGAATCTATTTAGGGCATCTGTCGATTTCCGGCTTGCGTGTCTAGAGAAGACAGCTACAACACACTTGTCGGTTACATTGATTCGGTAACCACTTAGCCTTAAACTTTGGCACAAAACTGGTGGAAAGATGAATTCTCTTCGTAAGAGCGTCGTAAGGCTTGTGGTAATTCTTTACGTCTTGGTGGAATGTTTAGGATTCGACGGATCTTGTTGCCAGCATGGATGTATAAACACTCTAGGAGGAATTCGTTGTATCTGTAGAAGAGGATTCAGGCTTGTGAATCGCTGCCAATGCAGAGGTAAGCTGTATAATAAGTGATTTCGAAATTTCACTTCTTGTAATATGCTTTAGAGTAGGAAAGTGTTTGAAAAAGTGCCACATTGCCAAGCATTATGAACACTTACATTGCTGACTTCGGAAAAACATTAAGAACAACCTATTTTGCGTGCTAAACTCTGTCAACAGAATATTTCTTTGACCCAATCATGAATGTCTACTCGTGTCTCAGTGTAGTGCGGACATCTTCCGTTTGTTCTCCTCGATGGCAACTTGAGACACTAAGTCGGTTTTCCTTGTTCTAATTGAGCATCGGATAAAAATAAAGACTCCACGCTTCTTTAAATTCATTTTTTTAAGCACTTTAAAGGAACGGAAAACGTGATTGTTTTGATTAATTATTAGTAGCGTTGAACTGACATCTCAGTAAACCGCAAGCATAAAATAGCAGGGGGCTTAATTTCGCGCGCGATAAGTCAAATTGTCAGTAGATCATATTATTCTTGCGGCAATCGTTCTTGAAAGTTATAAAACCGTGATGATAACAAGACATGACAAGCTATGAATTGAGTATAGCTATATAAGTCGCGATAAGATTGTCTCCACAACGCCAATTTATCGTTCATATTATCAACTATTGATTGAAAAGAGGAGTTTTTCGACTGTGATCTCAAGCGAAGTCCATTTCCACAACTCGAGTCAATATTTCAAGAATCATCTGATACAATACAGGAATGTCTTTAACTGAAGCTATGTGGAATTGTAATAATTATTTCTACATGTTTGCCCTTTAGGCGTTTTAAGAAACATTAGACCTTTCATGAGGGAATTCTTCCCTGTTCTCTGTCAAAAGATCTTTCTGCAGGTAGCGTTATCCCGTGATTATCTTGCTTAAGATAATTACCTTAAGGATTACGAGGCTCCTGAGGTTACAGCGTATAATCTCTTCGCAGCTGTAACTTATCTGACATAGAATTTCAGCTTGATATACTGAAGTCATGACTTGTATCAGCTGCACACGACCTGGTCTCTGGTCTCGCATGAGTAAAATCAAAATGGGAGGAAATAGGAGATTCACTGAAAATCAAAGCTAACTTGGTGCCAACCAATGAAACTTCGAGGCTTGCGCTGCCTCGAGGAAGGCTACTTACGCTCTTTTTTTTTTCCTTAAAAAAAAAAGACTTCACCACTTGAAATTAGTCTTTTTCAGAGCTAGTATTTCTCTGCTTCGTGCAGTTACTTGCTCTTTGAAGTTTCTCTGTATACAGTAATGTTTCTAGGTGTTTGGTGTGACAGGATGCCAAAGAGGAAATTCTGTCGGCCATATGTGCGCGTACAAACTACTTCTGAGTCAAATCAAACCATAAGAAGCTGACAGATGGTTCTGCTTTCGCTCGATGACAATTACTTGTCGGTTTATAAAATCAAATCCATGCCAGTCGTCACACCAAGTTTGCTCATTTGAGCGGAAGCTGGGTTTTGTTAAACGCAGTTGCTTGAAGTAAGGTCCTCCAAGACTCAAAACACGTGTTATATTGCCCCAAGCGTAGACGTTTGTAAACAGCTGTCGTGCTTCCTTCATAGACTTGTACCCCATTTTTCGACTCCAAATTTGGTGCAATAAAAATGAACGTTAATGAGAACTTAAACCCTTCGTAAAATTCAGCTTTTCAGTTTTCTAATGTTGAATTTTGTTCAGGGAAACCTGGATTGACTAAGCATGTTTTGTTGGTGCGAACAGGGCATTACATAACGGACATGGCTTCGATTAACAGCCTCTTTTGAACTGTTTACATTCGAGTGACTAAGAAATCATTTAGAACTTTTCCTCATGTCATGTCTCCCGTTTCAAGAGGGTTTATAGATTATTTTAAAACTCAGGCAGCCGACGAAGGCTAGTGTTGTTAAAACTCTTAGATAAATGTTCTGTTGTTTATAATACTTTGTTTTCGTTCATCATGGGTAAGCCTTCGTCGAGAGAAATACGATATGTTTAAGACAAACTCTGAAAAAACGTAATTATGTTGTGACTAATTGATGGTATCTATCAAATTATAATTTCTTTTCAAAGCAAGTCTCCATGGTCCGCCGTTGCGCTGTTGGAATGAAAAAACGGGGGCTGTTTCATTGATCCAAGAGTTAACACTTTCTCGTGACTGAGAAGAAAATAAATGTACTCGTCGATTAATTTTGATACTCTTTAGTCTTAAAGGATTAATTTCGACCTGACAAGTACGGCGACATAGGCCATCAGGACTCAAAGTTGATACAGACCTTGACCAAACTAGATTAGAAATGAGACATAATTCATAATTCAATCCCTGAAAGGGGGGGGGGGAGGTCGGGGGATTTTTTTTTTTTTTGGTGGGTGCAAAGTTTTAAGGAGAACAAAGGGGGGATCAGTCAACGGAGAATAAAGGAGGGACTACGTAAAATTGACGGCCAATTAACCAATTACAGGGGATTACAAAAGCATTACATAGTCTTATGAGGGGGGAGGGCAAAGAAGTACTCTTTACGACTTCTGATATAACCTCGATACAACCTTGGGGGCTGGGGTGAGTTCCATGATGCTCGCAGCAAAACGGATCCAACTAGATCACAATGAAAAAAGAAAGCTACGTGGAATCATTTCTTTAAGAACTTTTCTGCTCATTATGAAAACCTTATTATGTAAACATTTGTCCCCTGACAGTCAGAAGTATCCTTCGCTCATGAAACTCAGTTCACTGTGATTGGCAGGTTCTGGAGAACATTATGTTTCAAACGTGAGCACTGAACACTGAACATGATTCATTGTTTTCGAAGTCTTTGTTATTTGTGTTTCATAAATAACATTTTCTGATCTTCTTCAGTCCTGACAAGCTTTCTTGTTAAAGCGCAGAGTCTGTTATTTTATGTGCTACCCTATGTTATTGTTTCCATGAATCTACTTTACTTTGTTTGTTTATGACAAAGGTGTTATGCCTTGCGGTCATAACAAGTCTCTTGATTATTACTTCTACTAAAAGATTCTTAGAGTTGCCAATATTCATCAGTTATTGGAGCCGAGATTCTCACGATCTCTCAGGATGACTGTCTAAAAAACAAATTAATTCCATGTTGTCGAGTGTCTGTTCTGTAATGGATCACAGATGACGTTAAAATGTTGTAAGAACAAAAAAAATGACACACGAGGCGCAGCCGAGTATGTTAGTGATGTTCTCACCACATTTTGACGTCTTTTGTGATCTGTTACTTTGCAGATCCACAGCAACATGGAATCCATTTGTTTTATATGATAAAAAAGCAAAATATTGCTAATGGTGAAGTTATATATGCGTCTGTCCTCTAAGTAAGAACCGATCAAAACGCGCGCATAATTTAGCATATATTGTATGATTATAATATTGTGAGGCTTATCCTGTGAAATGGTTCAGCTAATAAATGGATGTCTCTGAAAACGCTTTCGTCTTATCACAAACGTAGGAAAAGGAAAAACTCTGAGTTTCCATAAGGAATCGATTTTCAGATCTTCGGATTCAGTGCTTCTCCGCACAACCTCAGAGTTTCACGCACTCCGGTGTGACGAGTGACCGAGGGCACTAGAAGGTTAATGTGAGGTTTTGCGTTCTAAGATGGCGTGATGGCAGAGCAATGTACAAACACGAAAGCACACTTTTAATTTTCGATGACGATAGGTCTCAATTAAAAACAACTGCGCAGGTATTGTTGCTTACGAATACCACAGAAAAGCTTTGCAAGGTAAACATTTTATTTGTGGTCGCTTATTAAAAAAAATTGCAACTCGTTACCCCTAATCAAACTCGCCCTAATATCTAGGGAAACTCAAGGTGGCACTTAATTGGACACCGAAGAGGACTAGGTTGGAAACTTGATGACGTGAAACCTGGAGGAAATTCGATTGGATGAGTTTGAAAATCTCAAACTTGTCAAAGAAAAGTAAACGTTACCTTACATGTTTGATGAATCCACGAGTTGTTCTCAGTAATTTAGTCTTCTACTCGTCTATTACAGATTTTAATGAGTGCACAGTGCGGAACGGAATGTGTCAACAACGCTGCATCAATGCTTTTGGATCCTACAGGTATCATAAGTCTGTCATTCTGAATAAAAAAAAAAGCAGTGAGTATATATTTTGTTCTAGAAAGACCAAGTTTAACTACACAGCAAATGCATTGTGAGCGTTGTCATATTTTTGGACATTACCTCATTTACTCTTTTCGGCCTTAATTGGTCAGCCGAGTATATTAAAATTACTAAACTTATTTCGTAGGTGCGAATGTGCAAATGGTTACGTACGCGCGCTTGGGAATCCACGACGATGTGTAGACTTGGATGAGTGTAAGATGGTAAGGCACGTCAGAGGTTCCAATTTTATGCTGTGGTTTTATGCTAGAAACAGTCAGCAAGTTTAAACTCATTTCTCACAACTCACGATGCTTGCTATTGGTGAATAATTGATACACTTTATTTCAGGGCATTTCTGGTTGTAGTCAAGGCTGTCAAAATACTGTCGGCTCTTTTCGATGTTTTTGTCGCCGAACAGGTTATGTTTTAGATTCAGATCAAAGATCTTGCAAAGGTGAGTTATGTCGGTGGTGTGTCTTACAATACAAAACGACTGTCAGTTTGAAAGATCGATTAATTGATAGAATGAGTGATTGACATGTTAAGCTGACCGAAGGACTGACTGGATGACAGACTGACCAATTAAGTGATTGACAGATTTACTGACTGACTGACTGACTGGCTAATACACTGACCAATTAAGTGAATGATAGATTAACTGAATAACTGACTGATTGGATGACCTACTGTCTGGCTGACTGACCAACTTAGTGGCTGACTGACTGACAATCTGACTGACTGACTGACTTGCTGGCAGACTGACTAACTAGGTGAAAAACGGATTTACAGACTGACTGATTGGCTGACTTACTGACTGTTTAACCTACCACCTGGCTGACCACAACTAAATTACAGGCTGATTAGCTGGCTCACAGGCTGATTGACAAGCTTACCGACAAATTGAATTTTCATGACTGACCGATTGACAAGCTCACATTCAAACTGATTGACCGACTGACTGACTGACTTACTGATTGATTGACCAAACGACCAACTGACAAACTAATTGACTGACTGACTAACTGACCGACTGACTACTAAATGACTGGCTGGCGAATGAACAGTCGGTCAGAAAGACTGATCGCTTAACGGAGAATAACGATTGCCTTTTCAGCCAGACCAGACACATATATAACAAAATTCCCTTTTGAATGAAGGATTTTTTCTCAAATTAACCCTTTTTCCTCTCTGCAGTGTCACAAATTTTCACTGTGCTTCCAACTAAAAGTCCCGAAATCATTGAAGACACCAGCATTGCGCAACGGAAAGACTTACAGGGAATCCAAGGTACAGGCATGAAATCAAGAATTTTGTACGGAACCTGATTCTGAAAAATTGAAAAAAACATGGATTTAACTCTGAACATATCAACCGAAACTTGAGCACAAGGATCTTAGAGACACCAGCAGATTACTGAAAGGAAAGGACAGCTATATCTGGTGTGCTTTAGCATCAACAAAAAAAGTGAAACTGTTCCAGTGAAAACAACACTTAGATTTTGGTTTGTGTACGCCATAGTCTAAGTTTCCAATCATCTCTCCTTTGTTTTTCTCTTTCAGCCTGTCCTCCGGGGTACATTGGTCCTGGCTGTCGTATGACATGTGACGACTGTCAAAATGGTGCGCGGTGTGACATTAGAATTGGGCAATGTCTTTGCTCTCCGGGTTGGACTGGAATTTTATGCAACGATCGTGAGTATGAAATTATAGAAACTTGAACGCAGCAGCCCAATGTCTACAGCGCTTTAGTCGGGTTCAAATAGTCTCGCTTCGATCTCTAACCGGCATCATTTTCTTGTGTTCCCGGACAAGACATTTTTCTCCGACATTACCTTTCTCCGCCCGATGGTATGAATGGGGGGTCAATTGTTAAGGCGACCTGACGAAAAGCTGAAGGATGAAATGTAATAAACCAGCACTAAATTCAAGGGAATAACAATACTTTTAATCACTTCCTGCCAAAGAAATCGGAATAAGCTTTAAAATTACCGGTCATCTGGATACTATGAAACACTTGAACATTCCCAGTGGAATTTTAAAAGGGTATGATGCCATCAAATGCTTGCATTCTAGGAGGATTAGATACAATTTCCCATAAAGAAAATTTGATCGTAGTTTTTGCTGTCTTTTGGTGAGATAAGCATCGTATGAAAGGGGGATCATTTCTGAAAAGTCAAAATGAAACGGACACAAGTAGCTTGAGTATAATATATTTCTTCATAGGCCTTGGGTATTGTGCGGGAACTTCCCTCTTTGGGTTGCACGCTAAAACAAGGAAGTAGCTTTAAGTTAGGAGTTAAACTGAAACAACAAGTACCATTAAGCTTGCGAACTGCCCCTCATTATTAGCAGGTGCGTTTCACCCACGCAGAAGTATAAGGTTTGCGAGAGGCCTGTAATGATCCTAACACATTATTAGTGCCGGTCCCAGGTAAACCTCTACCCGACTCGTCTCAAATTCTCCTGCCGGTGGAAAAGCGCGCGCCCTGTAACGTTAAAGATGAGGGCCTGCTCGTTGGCTAAGCACTATTTGGAAATATTTCATCCTCCACACCATTTGTAGGTGGTATTCTTCTTCTCATGAGAGAACGTGAAGGCAATTCAGCTTTGCGCATTAAACTTTACTTACAATTTTTTATCATTATCTCCTTGTGATAGCATGTCCGGGGGAAAGATTTGGAAAGGACTGTAAATTTAAGTGTTTGTGTAAAAATGATGCGAAGTGCAATAAAGTGACTGGTGCATGTTCTTGTCGACCAGGATTCTTGGGAAACCTGTGTGATGAAAGTAAGTTTCACGTGACCGCTTAGCGGGAAACTGTTTTACTATGTCTGTAGATATCATGTTGAGTATTTAGTTAAAGTGTTGCTGATGATGACTTTATGAATGCATGGTCAGAGCTAAGATAAAATTCTCGAACGTGATCGGTTTAAAGCAGCCAGATTTGAGCACAAGTAGAACACGCCAGTCGTGCTTGTGAATAAACATTGTGATGAGACAGTATACATGCTGTGCAGTTGGACAGTAAGCGTCATTTACGCGCCATGATATGTTAGCTATCGAGTTTATATTCTCGTGGAAAAAAGAGTCACAAGAAGCTACTAAGGACTCAGAGTAAAATTAAACTGTATGAAGCGCGGGAAAACGCGAAGGACCAGGTCGTGATTTGCTTTAGCTTTGAGGAAGTAACGAGAGCTTTCAACTATACAACACAGCAAAGCAAAACCGAAGCAATTACGGGTTGATTTTGATACTTAATTGAAAACTGCTCCATGTATTAGTTGTATTACTTTTGCTTGGGGTTCGCGCCCTCCACAGAAATCAAAAATTTCCTTTGGCTCACATTATGTTTGTCTCATTACAAATCTTACCGTTTTCCCTTATTAGTTTTGTATTTTGAATCTCCTCTTTCATTGATAGTAATGAAGTGAAATATCTAACGTTCTCTAAACATTTCACGCTAGCTTGTCCCACCGGTTTCTATGGAGAAGGATGTAAGCAGAAGTGCACATGTGTTCACATGGAACCTTGCCATCCGGTAACTGGCACGTGTCAGTGTGACCCAGGATACTTTGGGGCCCACTGCTCTAAAGGTAGATGTCATTCAATATAGTGTTGAAACTGATTTTTGCCCGCTGGTTTTACTGTAATAATCTTCCCTAACAGGGTGCCCCTCAGGGTCCTTTGGAGCAGCGTGCAGAGAAAAATGCAAGTGCCTGGCTGATCATACAGAAAGGTGCGACCCTAAGGATGGAACATGTGACTGTAAGCCTGGTTATCTAGGCAAACACTGCTCAAACAGTAAGTTTTCGTTTAGTAACTTGTTACAAAGAGGGGTTAAACTGCGGGTATTCTCTCGATTTTTTTGGTAAAAAGAAAAACTTCAGGCGAAAGAGGACCCATGGATGACTCCTAAAGAATAGCGGTGACTTTATGCTCTGCCCGCTGGGTTCCAGATCTATTTCTTTGACGCTTCACCCCTGCAGTAGCTTTCTCCGCCCAAGCGTAAAAATCGACAGATTCAGCTGAAGTTTATAAATTATTGTTGCCGACCAATTCAGATCATGAAATGATTCACTTAGCAGGTTGTAATTGTTCAGTTTTATCCTAATCCAGTGCACCAGGTTTTGTGTGCCAAGTTATAGAATTGTAACCTTCCAAAGGTAGATGTATCTTCCTACAAAGTTAAATAAATGGCAAGAAGGAAGTAAACACATTCGCCTTATCCAGTTAGTACAGGCTGACTGTCCCAGAAGAGATAGGCTGGAGAGAGATTTCGGATGATTTGCTCAGGAAGAGTAATACTCTTAATAGTGTTGCACACCACGGAAACCTGGTTAATTTCTTGCGGGGATGCAATTTTTCGTTTTTCTTATTCCATTCATTTTTATCATTACATTACATTTACTGAAAATATATCAAATACCAACTAACAGGCTCGCCATTTAAAGTTCTTTAATCTATCATTTGGAAAGCATTATTTTTCTCACGTTTTTCTTTTAAATCCTAATGAACTCTGATAGAATGTCCTGATGGAACTTATGGCAAATACTGCTTAAGAAGATGCAACTGCCCTGAAGTTGTGAGTTGCGATCACGTGCACGGCAAGTGTGATGTCACGTGTCCAGCGGGCCTGACTGGATCAAATTGTCAGAAAGGTAACGGAAGACTTCTTCCGTAAAATTTCTGGTGGATGCTGTATTTAAAGTACGCAATGAGTTGTTATGATATTCAACAAGGAGTTGGCCTTGAAAAATTAGTATTTAGCTTGCGTAACAAACGCACAGATGAACCGAAAAACCATCGAAAAGTCATGGAAACAAAACAGGAGAAAGCACCTTACGAGCGCATCCCGCGCTAGCTCGCGCTCTCCACAGACTATTTAGCTCCACGGGCGCGCGATGGATATGAGTTGGTGAACAGTAAACGAAGCGCTTAGTGCCTAGTTGGCTATTACCAATCTAGTATCCAACAAGTACGAATGGAATAATTTGTCATAAATTTTTCATTAAATCCTAAACTTTTGGATAGTTGGAGCCTTTTTGCAGCTACGACCAGTTGGCGTAATACATTTCCATATAAAGTGACACGGAATATGAGCTGACCACCGGAGTTAAGTGAACAATCAAAACACTAAATACTCTGGAGTTGAAAATTTGATCATGCCTATTATTTTATATCTTGATAACTAAATGCAGTGAAAGATATTTAACCATCAAAAGCTTTTAAGACATCTTTTAGGTACAAGGTTTCACCGCACTGTAATTACTGAATAAAAGATAAAAATGACATCGTGTCAGGAGTGGGATTCGAACCCACGCCTCCATTTGGAGACCAGAATACTTTGCTACCATCTTAATGGTAAAGGGCTTTCTCCTTGAGTCTGGCGCCTTCGACCGCTCGGCCATCCTGACAACGTGATGTGGTACGTAAAAAAATTCAGTAAGCATTCAAATCTACATTGAAATCTTACTGAATAAAAAATAAAAATGACATCGTGTCAGGAGTGGGATTCGAACCCACGCCTCCATTTGGAGACCAGAATACTTTGCTACCATCTTAATGGTAAAGGGCTTTCTCCTTGAGTCTGGCGCCTTCGACCGCTCGGCCATCCTGACAACGTGATGTAGTACGTAAAGAAATTCAGTAAACATTCAAATCTACATTGTTAAAGTAAGCATCGACATTCGGAGAAGGAACAAAAAAGCTGCATGGTAGCATTCTTTATGGTCATGGAATCCCTATAGAATTAGCAATATCAACTTAGGCAAATATGGAGGAGTCCACTGGACCCAAAAATTACAAAATCTAACGCTACCGTTTTTGTGCACAAATGTTTAAGGTGTGCAATTTATCCAGAGGTCAACGTAGGCTAACATAAGGTGCTAATTGAAAACGCGTGTGAAAAATTTGCTAGGTGTTCTCGGAATTGCCAATCCTTATTTTGATACCTGAAGGGATTCATTGTTATCGTCATCGACATTTGCTGAAATTTCATGTATCTTGAAGCGTTGTGTAGAGGAATGTTCTATGGTTTACCTCGCCCTCATTATTAGCCCTTCAGCAGAAGCGTTTCTTCGTCCGGGAAAAGATATGAGGCCCTAGGCTACGCCTACTAGCAAGAGATTTGCTAGGAGTTTAGCACGACTAGACCCTCAACAAACCCCCCTTCCCCCTCCCTCCCTTCAACTCGTCTGAAAATGAGGGACTGCTCGCAAAATATCATGCATATCGACCTACTAATGGTATAAGACGAAGTCATTTCGAAATGTTCGTGATTGTCGCGTAGTTCATATAGGTAGAGCACGTATCAATCTGTTGTTGTTGTGCTCCGTAAGTTATCAGTAAAGCTGTGAGTTGCTGACTACACATGCTGCTTGTACGACGACAGCTGAAATGACAAACTGTTGGAAAATATAGTTTTTATTCCCTTGTTCTCCTCTTTTCCTCATGTAGTATGCGCCCAAGGTACTTTTGGTCATGGATGCAGTCAGCGATGTCAGTGCAGTGGTGGTGTGACATGTGACCCCGTGACTGGTTCCTGCATTTGTCCCATGGGAAAAATGGGATCCAGGTGTGACGAAGGTGAAGAAAAGCCAGTCATTTCTCTCCGTAGAGGTCTTGGAGTGTTACTGCCATTTACAAATAGTGATCATGAAAATTTTCCTAATCTGTCTCAGGAACTCATCAGAGTTGTAAGCTTTGCCTGTTATAATAATTATCTATTTTAGTAGAATATTGCCGAAAAAAAGTTGGATCAATGTCAGTTTCTGAGCAACTTCTCTAATTCAACATTAACCCTAGCTCGTCATCAGTTAACTGTTATTGGGTTAGGGGGCGGGTAGGCGTGCAGTTACTCAGATATTGACATTGTCAGCGATTATGCTGTTTCTTTCCTTAACAGTATGCCCCGAGGGCCGGTTCGGTTTTAACTGTGACCAAATTTGCGACTGCGCAGAAGGAATCAAGTGCGATGCCATGTCAGGAGCATGCGTATGTGCTGAGGGAAGAACCGGCAGGCGTTGCGACCGATGTAAGTACGGTTTTTCATCGACTGCTTTGGTCCAACGCTACTTACACCGTGTGTTTGATCATCTGACTTTGGGAGCTTCTCGCTTTGTATCCGTGAATAACCTTACTAATAGTTTTTGCGTTTTCTAGTCTGTCCAGCGGGAACATATGGACGCAAGTGTCTCAACAAATGCCAATGCGCTGGTAGATCCCGTTGTGATCCAGTCAGCGGTGAATGTATCTGCCCTGCGGGAAGGATTGGAACTAGGTGTGAGAAGGGTAAGTGAACTCCTGGGGATTTTCTAGGGCCACTTTAAAATATCTGTGTCTTGCAAGCTAACTAAGCATAAAATTTTACTTGCCATCATGAAATATTTTGATAGTTAACGGGTCTTTAAATGTTTTCTAAAATCTGCGTAAACTTCATGCGTTCGTGCGATTTTTTTCTGCAGTCTGTGAGCAAGGAACGTTTGGAAGAAAGTGTAGAAGTCGCTGTAACTGTGACCCTGGCTCTCGTTGCCATCCGGTCAGCGGGAGGTGTATTTGTCCAAAAGGGAAGACTGGGGAACAAATGTGACACAGGTACAAACTGATATTTCATATGATTCATATTGTTTCCATTTGAGGTCATGTCTGCCATTTTGGTTGCGCAAATCTTCTCGTTTGTTTTAATGAACGTGGTCGGTTATCACAAGTAGAAGCTGCAGGCTCAACTTTATTCCTTAACAAAAGTGCTTTGAATTTAGTTTGTCCAAAAGGTTCATATGGTAACAGGTGTGCTCAACAGTGTCGCTGTCTTGAGGATGCACGATGTGATCCAGTGGAAGGGACCTGTAAATGTCCTGCGGGAAGGACTGGGAAATACTGCAAAGAGAGTACGTCTACTTGTTCAGTGCTGAGGCAAATCTAAAAATTGTCATGTACGCCATAATTAAAAGCAATCCAACAATCAAACCCAATTTTGGATTGCCACGTCCTGAGGAAATTCATTATGTTGTGATTATCATTAAGTGTTGAAAGTGATCTAGGATCTTGCTGGTGTTTTTATTCACACGATCTGTAAGTAGTCGCGAAAACTTGCGCTACCTTAAAAATGAAGCAATTGCACCTTGTTCCCTCGTGTTTGCCTCCCCAACTCCCCTCGAGGAGCTTGATTTTTTTCTTCTTTGAGTCATAATATTTCTCTGGCGACAGCTTCCTTTCTTCTGACAGCCGATGTAATTCTTTTGTTTTGGTTTTGTTTACATTCAGTTTTAATTCGTTTCGAGCATGCTTATAAACAAACAACCGCAACCAAAATTAACAGCCAGGATTCTCTTTATCTCTGTAGTGTGCCCTCAAGACACCTACGGAACCGATTGTAGTCAGCGGTGCGATTGCATCAACAGCTCATGTGCTCCTGATACCGGAGAATGCCAGTGTCCGGCTGGAACAACGGGACCGAGATGTGATGAAGGTTAGCTCCATGATTTCATTATCATTGGAAAAGGATCTCATTAATGGTTGTCTATTCATTATTTTCGTAGCTTGCCCCCAAGGTTACTTTGGACAGAATTGCAGTCAGTCGTGTGGTTGTCATGGAAACTCGTCATGCGATCCTGTGACTGGCAGGTGTCATTGTAGATGCGAGCACAACGCAACCTGTGATAACGTAACGGGATCTTGTGTCTGCGCACCTGGTTGGATCGGCGAGACATGTGAGAAAAGTAAACACTTTATCTAGACTACCTCAGTAATGCCACTTACGGTGCCTCACTGAATTCAATCAAGAATGCTTTTGCGCTATGTTGGTTTACCTGTGCAAACATTTTAAGGCTTTCTCGCTATAAACACTCGTCGTTCGCAGGCCATACATCTGAATGAAATAGTTCAAGCAAAAGTGAGGATTAAATTGTTTTCAGGGGGAAAGGAGTGGGGATTAGTCGTCGCTGATAGAGTATAAAGTGGGGAATAGAGAATATTGATTGCCAATAACCTGCCATTGACGAGAGATTATAAGAATATTGCAGAGACTTGTTGAGGGATAAGATAAATTTAATCGAGACATAGCCAAAACCTTCGACCCCACCCCACCCCTTAACCCTAACCCAAACCCAAGGGGACCCCCTCCAGGCGATTATAAATAAAACAAATTAGAAGCAATGAGAAAACAAAACAAGCATTTTAATGTTTTTAAAATCAAATGGCTTGAAAATGAGTTTTTTCCCTTTTTTTCAATAAACAGGATGTCCTGAAGGATTTTATGGAGTGAACTGTAGCAATTCATGTTCTTGTCCTGCAAAAGCCTCATGCGATCATGTGACCGGAAGTTGTATTTGTCAGGCTGGCCGGTTTGGAAAGGAGTGCGATAAAGGTAAGAATCAGAGCATATGGGGGAGTGGGTAAGGATACGTCTGAGCCCCAGTCTTCCTCTCAGCTTTAGAAGGAGAAAGTAGTAGGTTACGATTACAAAGGAGCTTCGGTAAGACCCCCTTCCCACCATGGTGATTCAGCTGAAAAGCATCGACGCCCATCTGGAACATTCGCGACTCACGCCCGAAACCATAGCGCGAAACCATAGCAACACCATACTGAATAAGCGGAATTTTTTAAAGTTTAAAGGCGGCGCGGTTCTTCTCTAGATTAGATGCAGGGGAAGAGGTTAAGTTTAAAACTTTTCTCACAGACTGCCGTTCAACAAAGGCACGAGAAATCTTTGCACACCATTTTTTATTCTTGCACACTGACTGAACTTTTGCTGCAAACTGTTGTACTTCGGTGGCGAAATACAATTTTTTTGTAGTAGAGATACAGTAGCTCGATATGTGCTGAGCGGTCCTCGGCGAAACTTTTTGGAGTCGATCCCGAACTAAATCAAAAATTGAACGATTGGTCACATTATTAAAACCTTCGATGTACCTGTCCAGTCGTTCGTAAAAAAGTTTCTCTCCTTATTTTTGGTTACCATTTCGTTCCTTTAAAGGTTGTCTGAAGGGTTTCTTCGGCGAAAATTGCAACGGAAAATGTAATTGCACCGGATATGAAAGGTGCGACGCTGTGACAGGCGAATGTAAACGAGGTATGTATGAAATAAAAATACTTGAGCTCGGCTAAAGGGTCTGTGCTCGACCCCTGCTGGTCATCATGCTGTGTTCTTTGGCAAGACCCTTTCCTTTCACAGTGCATATCCCCACTACTCTAAATCAAGGGGGGGGGAGGAAGGGGGCTGATCATAAATGGGTACAGGCAAATTGCTGGGAACCCATATGAAACGCTGGGGCGATCTGCGGTGTGCTGGCATCACTTCCAGTGGGAGGGGGGGAGTTGCAATACTCCTTATCATTCTACACGACTGAAATTGAGTCAGGCTCAAGGTGGAGAGGCCACATACCACGCAGCCGACTTTACCTCAGCCCCCTGACCTGCCTTAAGCGTTAATGTACGAAGGATTTTTGAAACTCTTTAAAAATACTCCTGAAGAATTTTCTCGGTAATTTTCCCAAACAGTTTGTCCTTCTGGTAGACACGGTGCTGACTGCTCGCTTAGATGCAGTTGCCCTCCTTCAGTGATGTGTGATCCATACACAGCAGAATGTTTATGTGAACCTGGAAGTCACGGAAAAACATGCCGAAAGTGTACGTATGGTGCATGATATTAATTAAGAGTGCAAAACATTTAGTAACCAAGCGTAGAAACAGCACCGGTCTCCGGCATGTTGTTGTGGTTTACGTAAAAATTACCAGCACCATATAATGACCTATTCAAACGAACCGCCCAGAACGACCGACTTACTGATAGTCACAACCGACTTACATTACTTGAGTCTTAAACCAAAACGTCATAAATAAACTGACCAATCAGTCTACAAGAGCCGGACTTCCGCTCAGGCTATCGAAACGTTAGTCACTGTTACCAACAATATTCCACCTCTGGATTACCCTCAGCCGGAAGATTAGACTTCACAGTCAAATGTGACCCCCGAATTCATTTACTATATTACAGTATTACCTAAATGATGCCCTATTTTAGCTAACTCCTAACAATAACGCCAATAGCAACTGCTACATGGAGATAAGATTTTGTTATAATATTAGCCTGTCGCAGGGGTACATATGGCCGCAACTGCAAGTTTAACTGCACTTGCTCAGAGAATTCCGAGTGCGACCCTCAGACTGGGAAGTGCCGATGTGACGCAGGCTGGATAGGAAGTCAGTGTGAACACGGTAAAGTTTAGCAAAATGTCTTAAAATTCTCATTTGAGTTCCATTTCTAACGCTGAAGGACTATAGGGACGAGGACGAGAAGAGAGAATTGACCCTTCCCATTTTCCTTACACGCACCTCTCGCGCGCTTCCCTCGTTGATTTTTGAAACACTAGAGAGACGAGTGGGGTCGAGTCAAGGTTCAAAGGTGAAAAGCAAGGTGTATATCTACAACAGCGTGTGATGCTTCACTGACTACTTGTATAAGATTTAAGATCATTCCCTCTACAAGAACAACGAGAGCAAGATCAGAATATAAAAACAAATGGGACAAAGTACTAATGATGTTTCTGCAGTTTTCCGGAACTGAGTTGTATTTCCACTCAACCTGATGCTTTCAGTAGCATTGTTTAGACATACTTTTAGTTGTCCTTAACGATAGGTGATCTTTGCATCCATGATAACTGTTTTTCTTTATTTTCTTTCATAAGTTTGTCCATCGGGAACGTTCGGCCCTGGTTGCCGGCAGAAATGTTCTTGCTACAACGGTGTCTGTGATCACGTGAACGGAAAATGCCATTGTCATCCGGGATACCAAGGAGTGAATTGCGAGAAAGGTATGGGAAAATTATTTATTTGTCGTATGTCGTCAGTAAGATTATTGGACTTCACATCAGAAAATGGTAGCCTCTTGAAAAATGCTTTTTATTTGATCGGAAGTTGAAAGTAGTCTGGGATAGCGTTGCTTTTGTTTAGCTTCGCTCTATAATTGGTCTAAAAAGCTGACACCGCTCTCAACCAATCAGATGTAAAACCTAAATTAGTCGTCACTTGGTCACTCGCGTTTTCCCGCCCTTCACGCTGATCACGTATTTCAATTATCATCGGCTACATCGGCAATTTATCTTCATTCTGATTGGCTGATGTGACGTAGTGTTTTACGACATCCGATTAAAAAGCTCAGACTTAGGTACCTGTTTTTTTTTATTAGTGTGCCGCCGTGGTTTCTTTGGACAAGATTGTCAGTTTGAGTGTACGTGCCAGAATGATGCCATCTGTGACAACGTAAATGGTAAATGTCATTGTGGATTGGGATGGACTGGGACCAACTGCGAAAAAGGTTAGAAATGCTAGCATTTTAAAATCATCTCTTCAGCGACTGGCCTGCTGAATTGAGCTTAAAACACATTCTGAAAAACTGGTCATTTTGTTGGTTCTTAATAAACCCGTAAATACTAATATGCAATATGTCGCTGGATCCCAACCTCTATCGCAGGGATTTTCTCTGTTCCTCTCGAGAGTGTTGGAAACTGTACGATACTTTAACCATTCTTAATTTGATTGACATTGATAAGTGATTTCGTTTATATCTACATAACCGAACAAACATATGTGCGGCACGTGTTTTATCACCCCATATATGGCACTGTTCCACGTGCTTACAACGGGACGTTTAGAGTGTGTATCTTTGGAATAAACCGAGAGTTGTGAGTGGGAGTTAACCAAAGCGTTGTAGTAAAATCTTGAAAACAACTGAATAAATCGTGAGTTAATAAGGAAGCGTGGTACAGCTTTTCCACGTTTTCGACAAGAAAAAGAACCCTGGGAACGAAGATTAGCGTAATGTGTTAAAGAAGTATAATGTAACAAATTTACGATAAAACAGTGTGCAGTGACTGACAATTTGGAAAGAACGTTATCCTCTTTTCTTGGCTCGGTGTTTGTTGTCTCAAACATCCGGCCAAGCTTTAGAATGGGCATTTTGTTTTATACCTTTCGTAAATGCAACGTTATTGAGCTTTCAACTTGTCGCCCAACACTGTTGCAAGACCCTTTAACTCAATTAATGGTATATCACCCTACGAGCCCTGCTTCTTGATTGTGTCTTCACAGAATGCTCTTCTAGGAATTATGGTCTGAACTGTGAACAAAGATGTAAGTGTAGAAACAGAGGAAGATGTGATAAGATCACTGGCTGTTGTCTTTGCCCTCCAGGGTGGTATGGGGACAGATGTCAATATCGTGAGTGGAAACTTTTACGTTATTGAGCTTCAATTTTCCATTTATTGTTTGAGTAGTTTTAACTATCGTGTTTGTTGTTGTCTTCGCGTTTTTTTTTATTTTTTAATTCACATTAGGTTGCCCTCCTGACCGATATGGCGCATACTGTACTAAACACTGCACATGTATGAATGGTGGGTCATGTGATCCAAGAACGGGACAATGCTTCTGTGCTCCGGGGTGGTCTGGGAGAGACTGCACCAAACGTATGTATTTTCCCCACCCCCACCCCCTTTGCAACTTGTCTTTGGTGGATCAAAATTTGTCTTCTCAGTCTTAGGTGCGATTTTCATCGGAGTGACGATAGCGACCTGTGATGTCATTGGTTTTTTTCTACTTCGCTGGCTGGTAAACTCATACCACCCTTTCGATCGATCAGATGTAAAATTAAAACCAACCGTTTGTTGGTCACTCACGTTTTCCAGCGCTCCAGATCTTTTGCTCGTTTTCGTTCTGATTTCTCATTGGCTCCTTAGGTATTTACATTTGTTCTTACTTGTCGTTGCGAATGTATTTTGGCTGAGCTTTATCGATCAAAAATTGCAATCGAAACTCACAACGTATCGTGGATAATCTGATTTCAATCAGTTTACGATGTCCGTTTTGTTTATTTTTCTGACAGGATGTCCGGTGGGGCGATATGGCTTTGAATGTTTGCTCCTTTGCTCATGCGCTAACTCATCTTTTTGTGATGCTGCTACTGGACAGTGCAAGTGTCCGAGCGGGCGGACTGGTAGCGATTGTGATCAGGGTAGGTTCTTCGGTATATCATGACTGAATTGCAATTCCTTTTGCAGCTGCGCATTAACTATCATCATTATCTCCTCACCATTTACATCCTGACACGAGTTTGCATATGGGGTGATATTTTAAGGAGAAATTACATGGTAGGGGTCAAAGTGTTATTTGCTGTCAGCTCTATTCAAACATGTGGGAGTCTATTGTTGTTAGATTTTGTGTAGGGGAAGTAACCTTTTTTTCCCTTCTATGCTCAGATATGTATATAGATTGTTTCCACGACTGAAGTTGTGCTGTGTGAAAACATTTTTCGCTTTTCCTAAGCTAATTTTGTTTGTTTTAGATGCTAAAATCACTCTAGTTTCAATGTAGTTATTCTGTAATTCATGTTTGTCTATCAGTCTTCCAACCTGTCTATCTGGCGGTCTATCTGTCTATTAGCTTGTTCTACGACACTATTTTTTAAGAAGCACTTTTGTTGTATGATTCAAATAATTGAAAATGCCATACAAGTTCGGAAATTTTGTTTTGATCGACTAATAATCCCCCAATTGACATTTTTCTTTATTCTTATAACTTGTCTGATTAATATCGAACTATATTATGAGAGAAAGTCTGTCTTGGTCACTCATGGGAGTTACAGGGTTTTAAGTTACACTAAACCGATCCGTTTGGGTCAAAACCAAATCGCAATCCAAGGTTAATTAAAAAAATTCTCATCGCTTTCATATTCCGAGATTGTTACGTAGAGCCGTCATCGATAACTTAAATTGAATTCAGTTTGTAGAGGGAAGTATGGTCCCGGTTGTTTATTGGGCTGCTCCTGTGGCCAGGGAGGCCTGTGTGATCCGCTGACCGGAAAATGCAAATGCCGTCCTGGATGGACTGGACCCGAGTGCAGACAAGGTATTTTCGACCAGTTCTCTCTGGCTCATGCAGTTTATTCAAAGACATAAAAATGATTTTAGTCACTGCATCATTGACGATAACCTGTGACTTCTCATAAATGGCTGATAGCTAACACTGCCTGCCTTCGCTGATTAAATTCAAGGCTTGTTAGTTAATTTCCCGAGATTCAGCAAACTAAAAGGAGGAGATTTTATCATTCCACGACATTTTGTCTCGCTCTTTCTGACAAAGTTTCCTCATTATTTTTTTTTGCAGAAACTCCCATAGAAAAGGCACCTTTTAGCGACGATCACTTGTTTACAATCAACCTGCTTTGAGTCACAAGAACAATGTGTGAGAAAAACTAGGTACTTTCACACAAACAAGCGACTGAAGAGACCATTACATATGAGCGACGAATGCACTTAAACGCGACAACGCTTACGATATTTACAATCGTACTGTACTTCTTTGCTTGCTGACACACTGCTGTATAGTATCGAGAATATCTAAAGTGGCGAAACTAAGAAAGATGCTAAAATCACCATGGGTTTTTATTGGCCGCAGACCACTGGCAACTTTTCAGTACTTTGACAAATTGTTCTGGAGATGATGCCTGCTGACACACATACATCATTTATTTATTTTTCCTGTGGTTAGCGTTATAGTTGTCACCTTACCTTTTCGACAGAGGTTTGACGATCCTTGGTCTTCACTGTAGACTTCAAGTAGTCCCAGCTTACGCAGTCAAGCGGGGAAATGAGCCTGGCATGAAAAATCACGGGTATTATTTTCGCTCAGCGGTTATGCGCACTGTTGTCCTCTATCACTTACTGACCGAAGACAAAGCTTAGAATGAGTACGCCCTTGTAGATACTCGCTTCAGCATGTGCGTTTCTTTGCCTGCGGGAACTTATAAGGCCTTGGGCACGCGAGCTGGCAAGACGTCTGCGTGGGATCTAGCACTAGTGCCGGTAAACCTCTCCCAAACTCGTCTAAGATCTTCCAACGGGCGGAGAAATGTGCGTCACGCTGCGCTACTGATGAGGACCTACTCGCAAGCTATCAAGGAGGAACTTCTTGTAATCAAATTATTTTAGAACCTCTTTATTTCAATAATCTTCAAGTATGTTCATGATCATCTTATCATTTTACCAAGAACCGGATATATATTAGATGTTTTTGAAGGTGTTTCTGAAGGTAATTTCCATTTCCTCTTTTTACAATCAGCTTAGCATTTCACGCTTTCATGTGTAAGTAATATTTTTTAAGAAATGAATGAATGTTGCTTTTGAAAAATTAACGAGTGAATTTCTCACGATGCTTTCATGAAACGATCCTCCAGTAAAAATTAGCTCAATTTTCAATGAAGATCATATAGCATTTCCTGTTCTTAATTTGTACAATACAAGCGGTACGTCCTTTCGGCGAAGTCCGTCATGCTAGTCGAAACAAAAAAAATCAGCGATTAAAAAAATTGATGTTAGCGCGCCGCGCAGAACTCGGAGAGTGCTACTTTTAGTGCAACTCACTCTCAAAGTTCCGCGCGGCGTACTAACATCATTTCTCTATCTGGGCTGATTATTTTTGACAAGCGCGAAGGACTTTACCGAAAAGGAGACTGCTACTAATCTTCCTAATTTGTTACTAATCGTCCCATGTCAGTCAAATGTAAGGATCCTGCAAGATCGAGATCAACATCTATGTTTCCGTTCAAAGCGCAAACCACCACATATCGCCTCGTTCTTTCCGCTCGGATTTTATGACCCGCGTGTGACGTGGTCCGTAACTTAGAGTACAGACCTCGAACTCGGTTAGTAAGAGGTTTATAAATTTTGGCGTCAAACGTCGATCATATGTCATTGCATCATAATCATGAAAAAAAAGAACTTCCCAACAACCTCATCTTGCTATTGAACAAGGCAAAAACGACAAATCGTACTAATTTTGCGATCCCACCAGTGTACAGCAGTACATCATATTTTGCCCAGTTTTTTCAACACGATGTCCAGAATATCAAATAAGATATTTCCAGCCACATAATCATTGTCAACCAGGTTAATAAGGTAATAAGTATCATGAATGGTGTCGATTATCCCACGTGAACGAGATTTATCGGGATAAATATGTCCCCACTGATGCTTCCAGAGAGCAAACGCCTCGTCCTAAAAATGGTAAAAAAATAAAGCGATAAAGAACACTGACAGATCATGACAAAGAGAGGGACTCTTGTGAAAATAATCTTGCCCTATAGACGCATGTGCAAGAGCGGCCTTTACCTGCTCTGCGACAGGTCTGGAAAAACTTCAGCCAATCCTTTCGCTAATCACGCGATTTCCCGCCCTCAAGGTACTTTGCGCGTGTACACTTTGCTGAGATCTCATTGGTTCCTTGTGCCATTTTCCTTAATTCTGATTTGCCATCGCACCAACCTCGATTTTAGCTTTACGATAAAGCAATTTTCATTCGAATGTTGAGTGTTACGCGGGATTGCTTTGTGTTTGCTTATTTCTCTCTGTGATTGGTCCAGAAAACTCGCTCCACTCTCTCAACCAATCAGATGCAAAACTTAAACCAATCACGATTTGGTCGCCCGCGTTTTCCCGCGCTCAGGGTTCTCATTGGTTCTTCAGGGTCTTTTCCTTTCTGTTGATTGGCCGTTGTGAAGGCGTTCTACTCGATCTAGGTGCACTCTTATAAGCTAAAATGTATTCTCGTTTCGTCCAGGTTTCTAACACCTTAAGCGTCAAACCCTTACCTTCCAAAACTGGAAAGCAATAGGATCCACTACAGTCGGTTGAAGAATCTCTGATCCTGGAAACACGCCCCAAGTAACAGCATTGGAAGAGTACACATTCGCATTTGTCACGTCTTCCTTTCCCTGAGATTAAATTACGTGACAGTGACAGTTACTGGCGTTAGACACGCGACAAAGTCGTTCTCTTTGAATCATAAAAATACGAAAAAACATTTCTGGAAGGGTTTTGGGGAACTTGACTCTCTTTTTAACCGGTTCGTCTTCGATAGTATCTCCCATTTGCGTTTAAGCACCGAGCGCAGCTCGTCTGAACCTCTAAACTACTACGCAAAAAACCTTCATCGGAGATTGTAAAGGTTGACTAAAAAAGCAGTTTTTATTTAAGTATCGAAACTGACCCTGGATTTCTTTGGATTTGCTTTACTTCGCTCTGCGATTGGTCATGGAAACTCGCACCACCATCTCTACCAATCAAATGCAAAACTAAAACCAATCCTAATTTGGTCACCCAGGTTTTCCCGCGCTTTAAGCAGGTTGCCTGTTTTTACTCTGGGTTCTCATTGGTTAATGATGATGCACGTCTTCTCATTGGTAGCCGTGATAACTTGGATTCTGGTTTAAAACTGCTCAACAACAAAACAAAGATTTAAAATTACTCACCGAGAAGTTCACGATGTGATAATTAACGGTAGGATAGTCTTGAAGGACTTCATGAAGGCACATTGCTATTTCTTCACTGGTAAAGAACTCCAAATAAGCCTGTAGGAACATGAATACATATACCATTTAGAAAACCTTCGCACGGGTTTCATTAAACCCTCCACGTCCTAACATCAGTATGCACATTCTCCATTCTGTTCTCCATACATTTCATACGGTGCTGACAAGAAGAATTTGTGTAACAATCAAGGGCTTCTTTAATTGGTGATCAGTTCCTTTATTCTCAAGACCTTTATGTTTGATTCTAGGGTGATATTGTAAGGAGAAATTAGAAGCTTGTTTAAAAGTAAAACAACAATCCATGTCAAAACTGTTGAACCATTTCCCCCCTTTCCCCCCCCTCCCCCACATTAATGTTGGTAACAAGACAATTGAGTTCGGTCGTGATAGACTTGATTCATTTGGCTAAAACAAATCAGGCAAAGTTCACCTTTTGAAATACGTATCCGCCCGGACGCCCCCATCCCGACACGGGGTCTGTGGAAGGTGCACCATTCACGTTTGGCTGGCTGTTGATCGTGAGTATTCCGTGTCTGTTGATATGGGCGAGTTTATCGACAAAAGGCAATGTTTCTGCTGCTAGTTCATCCTGATTCCATGGTAGTTCCTTTACCTGATAAGAAAGAAGAAGAAGAGCGAAATTCAGGATATAAGTGACGAGATGAAGGCAATACCCAATACTCACTAACGCCACATATATCATAGATCGTAATGGGTATTTCTGTCTCTAAACTAAATTTCTTTGGGCATGTCTGTCATTCTGCGTCTCTATTTTTTTGTTCAACCTGATCAGCAAGCTTGTTAAATGGATATGAAGCTTACTTAATCTGTGTCTCTGCCAGAAAGGATAAGGAATAAGAGAAGTTTGCACGTCGAGGGAAAGTTTTCTACAATTCTCAGATTTAAAGTAAAACAAGCACTTAAGTGTCTGTCACTCAGACTCCCTCTAATTCAGATTCTTTGCGACTGTGCTGTCTGTCTGCCTAACTTCCTCTCTATCAGTTTTTACGTCTATCTGTAGGTTTGTCTTTCCATCCGACTGTCTCTCAGTCTGTCAGTCTTTCTGCCTGTTTGCGAAAAACTAAGTCAGTACAAAGTGATAAATTATGCTTTTGCACTCCTCCCCCCTTCCGCGAGATATTAGTGTAATCTAAAAAAAATGACCCCAAAGTCCAAACTGAAACTTTCAAACAAGTATCTAAGATACTCTGCAACCGATAAAAGTCAAAGAACCTTGGAATCCTACATAAAGTCTCCACCGCAAGTCTCCACCGATTCCACTCTTGGGATGTCAAGTTAAAAGAAGGAGCGTTTTGTTACATCCTAAAGAACGTCTATGAATGAGACTATAATGCTCGGAGCTCGGACTTGAATATAAATAAGATGAAAAGCACAATGAGGAAAAAATAAAAGTGGCAGATTTTTTAAGCCAAGTGATTCAAGTGAAAGATGGTGTTGTTCTTTGACCAGTTAATAGTAACATATCATGTTAACAGCTGAATTTCACGAAATACCCACCTTGTACCCATGCCTGTTTTCATTTCCATTCAAATAGCACACAAACACTTCAAACACGTCCTCAGGGCTGTTCAACTCGCGTCCCCACATGTTCAACAGTTCCTCTTTACTCTTGTTTGTACCCAGCAGCACCAAATGATAATCCTTCAATTCTCCAAAGGACGCTGCGCTAGAATCTCCCCACCTCCCGTTCGGGAACTCATCCCAGTTTGAAGTACGGATCATGTAACTGCGAGGTCTTGAGGTCCAAAAAATCGGACGCACTAGCTCCATTTGGCCCCTCCTTGCTTGGGCGGGGCTCGGCATCCAAGGCAGTCTCCGCATAGAAGCGGAATCCAGTTCGTCCTCCTTGTGCGACATTCCAATCTTTTCTAGAATTTCTGTGATGGAGGTCTCCCTGTTCAACGTATAGAAATGTACACCATGGACGTGGCCGCTTTCAAACAGCTGTTTACACATTTCTGTGGAGTATTTGATGCCGTAACTCATGACAGCAGTGGTGTCATCTTTCATTGGAGCCAGTTTGTCCAACAGCCACTGTGGTATCTCTACGCGGGATTGCCGTTTCAGTTGCCGCAATGAGTTAAAGTTCTGTCGAATACCAAAAAGATAACTCTAAAAGTTGTGTCATACATAGGCCTCGTAAGAAGTGCGTCTTTCGAGGTCTGCACGGGGTCTAGCTCATTATTAGTGCCAGACCCTTCGCAAAGTTGAACCTCTCCAGCTCGCTCTGACCGAGGCTTCAAACGTTCTTGCGCCTGGAGCTGGTGCCTTAACACTATTTATGCGGGCCTGCTCACAGGCTAACCATGCATTGATTTGAAAATGTGGAAATCGAAACTTGACACTGATTTATTGAAAACTAACTACTTGCCTGAGTAGGAGGGCCTGAGGACAACAAATTTGGATCGAGGTCATGACGGACGGACCGAGCGTAGCTTAGTCATGACCGAGAGCCAAATATTTTCCCATTCGGCCCGACCCAACTTAGTCGATATGCATTCTATAGTATAACCTTCACTCTTTTTTTTTCATTTCGCATCTTGCGAGGCTGGACAGGTTTCTCGGACCCTGCACGTGCCATTGCATGCGGCTCTCGCACGGGGATTTTTCGTCTAAAGCCTTTCAATAAAAGCGCGCGCGGGGCCGTAACGGTGATCTAACAATACAACTTATTACAAACCTGTATTGGAAAAAGGGCTGGTATAATGGGAACATTAATTCCATATCTCTGGCAATCGTCAACAAACTTAAGGAAAGTTTTAACTTCAAAGAACATTTGTGTAATGATAAGGTCTGCACCGGCATCAACCTCGGCTTTAAGATGTTTTAAGTCTTCTTCATAACTGTGAACGTCAGAGGAGGCCATCAAATAACCTAGAACATGAGAATATAAATCACATAATGTTTCCACTGTTAATTTTTTTTACCATATTAAGGCGACAGAAGGCGCAAAATATGCCACAGTATTACACTGAAGAACAGGGCAAAAATACGGGGGAAGAGTGGAGGACAAAATGGCCGCACTGAACGATCTAAACTTTGGTTTTATTCCATTTTTTTAAGCTTCACTTTTCAACCCTTTAAGCCCCAGTAGTGACCATCATCTAATTTCCATTAACAATATCACAGCCTGGTCAAATGTACGGATCATGAGAATGAATGAAATGATTACCAAAGATGAAATTCTTGATGTTTGAACAAATTCTCTCGATCAGTAAAATATGGGAACAGTGACAAGAATATACATGTCAATATCGGGGCTTGAAGGGTTACGCAACAAAATTTTAAGCGCATCACGGTCTCGAAATCTCCGGGTAAGAAGGGCTATGGTGAAATGGGACAGTCGAGGCATGGTCTTCCTGGCCGCCCCTGAGAAGTTTGTTGTGCTCGACATTACTGTTAATATGGATGTCCATCCACATCCTGGACCTGAAGAAGTGGATAATGACCACGGTAAACGAAAACAGAGCTCCAACTCCTCGGACTCTGCTTGTCAACCTACAATTGGGTCAGTCAGAATCCATTGCTCTCACAATCGTGACAGGCTACTTTCGCTGAGACGTTCGGCGGGCCGACCTGCGCCTCATGTTTTCGATACCCTTAAATCCCTGGGAATTCTGAAATACAGAGGTCCGGGATTACGAAGATTGGGGAAAATTACTAAAAATATCTCTGCATCGCAACACTCCGACAGATGTCGACCCATTGAAGTTGTTAAACCCGGCGGTTTGCTAGACCTTATCGCTTCCAAGATCCCGCTAAGAACAGATATCTTACAGCTATTCCTCGAGAGCCTACTAAATCATCTACCGATTGCTCGGGTTTGCCGTTCCCAAGTGTATGTTCATCAATATTTGCAGTCTCGCAAAACTAAGAACAAAGTGCGTGCGGCGGTTGGACTTGAGGCTGACTTGCGATCTAAAGATATTGATGTTTGTGTCGTATCGGAAACACACCTCAAACCGGCACAACCGGATGCGATTGTAAATATTGAGAACTATTCCATCTTTCGTAGAGACAGAAATTGGAATATGGCAGAGATATGCGCAATAAGGGTGGGATTGCTATATACATCAGGAACAATCTTGCAGTAGGGATGTTTACCGCTCTAGTCTTTATGAATTAATTTGTATAACTCTGCGACTTCCCAAGGGACATCGATTTGTAATATGTGGAATTTATCATCCCCCAAAATTTAATTATGCAGAGATCGATCTAATGAATCATCTTGTAAATACCGTGGATAATATACTAGACAAACATCCACAAACAGTTGTGTGTTGTGCGGTGGCGATGTCAACAAACTGGATATCAAACGCTTGAAGAAATGTCTGGTTGGAATGCTCTGGTTAATTTCCCCACCAGGGGAATTCTTGTTTGGACAACTGTTTCACGAACCGCACGGATCTCTTTTCAAGTGCTATCCCTTTCACATGCTCTCCAAGACGGATCACATGGGAGTTATTTTACCACCCGGTATAAAGCTTCCACCTATCCGCCGTAAAAGTATACGTGCGTGACCAAAGGGCTCATAGAAAGCGTGATCTGTATATCGCGTTGGCGAAGGAAAACTGGGATGATATGATACAGGAAACTGATGTCGATGAAGTGGTTGGTAGGCTCGAAAAATACCATCTTAGGGCACCTGGATAGCTGCATGCCTCTGAAAACAGTGCGCATGTCTTCAAGAGACCCGGGCAGCCCCAATGGTGACCAGCATCTAATTTCTCTTAACAATATCACAGCCCGGTCAAATGTACGGATCATGAGAATGAATGAAATGATTACCAAAAATGAAATGTCTTGATGTTTGAACAAATTCTCTCGATCAGTAAAATAAGAAACATATGGGGAACAGTGACGAGAATATACATGTCAATATCGGGGCTTAAAGGGTTACGCAACAAACTTTTAAGCGCATCAGATTTTTTTTTGGTTAGCCATAAAAACACTTCAATGGCTTTAGCTTTGTTTTCTACGCAGGCCATATTCGATGGCGTTAACGAGAGATGCGTTGGTCGTTATGTACAGTCACCCGGGTTTAACGCGAAAAATAACTAATTTTCTTCGAGGAACAGGAATGAAACCGAAAAAAAAAAAAAAGACAAAAAAAGTCATTGACACGGGGTATGATGCGCGGTCAACCATCAGAGTTTTAACTCCAGCCAATAGGCCTCAACTTCAATGAGAGGCACATGCACGTGGCTAACAAGCAGGTGGCTAATTTCCAAATCTCACAACGCTGATACTCAATCCCATTTTTTAGCGTGGTCTGCGACAGGCATCCCACGTAAAACCAAATCCCTCATGCAATGATTTAACATAAGTTACGAGCAAATAGTTTGTTCTCATTGCTCATATTTTTCTTCTCCCCTTCAGAGCAAAGAAAAATACTGCACAGCTCGCAAAATACTTGCTAGTATTATAAGTAAAACTTTCGGATAAGGTGTGTATAATCCTGGCTAACGCCAAGAGTGCCAATTCTTACTCACTACTCAGGAGTCTCATACCTGCAGATTGAAGATACTAACTCATGTATAAACATAGCAATTTGAATACAATTGTCAAAGAAGAAGAGAAGAATACCCACTAAGGTTTTACATACCTACCACTCCTATTGTGAAGTGGTCTCCAAATTCACTTTTGATAAATTTAACCAGGTCCACAGTGTAGTCGAATCCATCTTCTTTTGGTGTCATGTCTTTACCATAGCTTTCATCTGCTAGACAAAAGGTGAAAGTTTTCTCAAGTTTTGATCAGTAACTCAATAAATCTGCACTGTTACTGAATCTCCCTAGAGTAATCAATTAATGGTGGTTACTCAGCTGTTAACCCTTTTAACACCAAGATCTGATTGTTAATTCTCCCCTCCAGCTGCTAAACATTTCCTTGCAAATAAGTTATGAGAATTTGGTGTTAGATCAAGATTACAACTTCTACCTAATAAGTTTGAGTATTCTCATTACCTGTATGCTGGATCATGTATGGATGTTATCAGGAGAATTAACATGTTAATCACTTGTTGAGACTGGCTGACCAAAAGTTAGCTCACTGGGGTTCAGGTTCTCGAGATCCAGGTCCAAGACCCAGCCTGGTCATTGTGTTGTATCAAAGACACTTCACTCTCACAGTGGCTATCACCATCCAGGAGTATCAATGGGAATGAGGGAATTGTCAGGGAAGCCTGATGAAATTATAGGGGAGTGGGGTCTAGCCTCAGGAGGTAGTGGCATCTTATGCCAGTCTATTGCAATACTTATGGTAATACGTATGGTCACATCATGTTACAGATACCAGAGGAAGCCCTGGCCAACATAAAATGACTCACATAAAATTCAAGCAGTACCTCCTCTCACTGCAAGAACACTTTTAATACCAAGATTTTTAGCTCGATTAAGATGCTCCAACACCTGACTTCTTGTTGTGTTTCCTGATGGGATGTGAATCATAATATTTTGTCCATATACATCAATCATTGCCGCAGAAACTAACAGTGTGCTAGGCTCTGACTGACACTTGTCTGACATAGGGTCTTGAGATGGTTTCCAAGTGATGTCACAAAAGAGAGGAGTACACTGTTCATGTAATCTTCCAAGTATTGCCATGAGGTTGGTTGCTCCATTGAAGGTCTTTGGTGGATAAAACTCCAAGGAAAAGAACTGTTCATTTTTCTCTATTTTATGCCTGATAGTATCAATAAGTTTTTCAGGCTTTGATTCCCTTTCACTCGCCTGTTGTGACATGATTTTCTCACTCTTAGGCTAATAGTGGCTCATAACATATTCACACAGCCCTGGAAAGATTTAATGAGGACAAACACCGATGAATTAATTGATTTATTAAATAAAAATCATCTTACTATCTATCTACAGTTCTATTTCACCAAAGGGACTTAGATTCGCTTTATCATCAGATACATAGATCATCACAAAAATCGTTGCTGTGCCTCATGTTAGTTTTTGTTGTTCTTGCCACCTTTTGACATGTTGAATCATTTTGTGATCTAATACTGAACAGACCCACAACAACATGATATCTATTTGCTAATAGATTTATGTACAATATACAGGTTAAAACCCCCTAAATGTAAAGAAGACAATGCATTTTGGAATTACCTCTAAGTAATTTATTATATCCATTTTGAAAGCACTGTTGATCCTGCAATCTGATTTGGCTCTCATTTGTGCAATTTGATCACAAATCAAAACATTTCATACTCTCCATCGAATATTTTTCCCAGCCAATGAGAGAGCTTTACTAAAAAAACAACAGCCAATCAGATTTCAAGGCTTGTTTTAAGCGACCAATCAAATTACACTTTTGCAACTTTTTACAAACCAGCTAAATACTTGATCATTTGAATATTTGTACAGATTACAAAAACCTGTATTTGAATGACTCAATTTTGCAATTTCAAAATAGATGTAATAAAGTGGTAATTAGACTTTGTGTTGCACAAGTTTAGTCTGAACCATACTTGTGGTTTTAAATCAAACTTGCACTGAGCGCTTGTTCGACTTTGAAATCACAAATTGCACTCTGCTCAGTTTAATTACCATAACATATCATTTCTTACAAACAAATGTGTTTTTCTGACAGGCAAACAACCTTTCATGTTCCCTTGGCTGGGTTTTCCCTATTACCTCTAGGACCATGATGTACCAGGATGTACTATTATTGCTGTTTGAATAACTTGAGGGTTTGTGCAAATTCTGCCCAACAGTTTGTGTTTCATTGATTCTTCCTTTCAGATCTCTTCACAGAATTCTCCATATTCTATCAAAGCGTTCATAGGGTCACACATTTGAAAAAGAATCTTGCGTAATAAAGCTGACCCATGAAGTTTGTGTTGAGTTATCGAATGATACTAGCAGCTTGAACAATTCGCACAGAAGTGTGATTGAGTAGGTACAAAAACCGCTTTCAGACAGATAACTCCTTCCGAAATTGCCCTCTTACATGCTAAATTTACTTCCATTTCAATTGAAACCTCTGCTTATGACACGAATACAATTTCTTGAAATTTCAGCGGAGAATGAATGTGACATAACATGAGATGCCCCATATATGCTAATAACATTTCGGCTCTCAATGACACCATTAAGTATATGGCACGTACTGAATCATACCTTTTTTACGCAGTATTCGGATCAAGTTTGTTCTTGTCTAAATCCTTTTAGAATTTCCAGAGCTAACTTGCGCAGGAAAGTGTGTAGTTGCTCAATAACAAAATCTCAACTAATCGCTCCAGTCCCTCGCCATCGACTGAGGGACTAGGCCCCTCTCACGCCCCCAGTTGTAGATGACGTTCGCTCTCTCTAACGGACTTGAAATGAACAGCAACTTAAACATCCATACCAGCCTCAATACCTTCGCCTCTTGGAGCTCCAGCAACTGGATGAAACTTAACGCTAAAAATTGCAAAGAAATGCGGCTTTGTTTCCTAAAGGAACCCATAGATCTCCCTCATTTGAAGATCGATGATCAACAATTGAGCTTGTAACCTCTCACAAAGTACTTGGTCTGGTGATCCAGAATAATTTAAAATGGAACAATCACATCGAATCTATAGTCACCTAGGCTTCTAAACGACTTCATATACTCCGAGTACTTCGTCGAGGGGCGTTAAGATTAATGATCTAATTACTATCTTTATCGCCCTGATACGATCCTTACTTGAATATGACTGTGTAGTATGGCATCACGTTCTAGCCTCCTACCTCTCACAAGAGTTATGGAGGAGGAGAAAAATTAGAAATTTAACATCAGAAATAAATTTGAAGGAACAGTTACTAGACAAACGGGAGATAAATCTTATCCTTTCTGTTCTACATTGTATTTATCGCTTTGTTTTTTCACGAAGTCCGAGAGAGTAATTGATCGATTTCGAAGTTTGCTGGTATAAATGTAACATTGCATAATAAATTTACATGATAAAGCTTTATTTACAGCTAAAGTGATAGTAAATAACCCAAATACGATTTCTTTAACTGACGGATTAAGATCTGAATAATTAACGTTATTAAACCATTGTGTAACCCTTGGCAAAAGGGCAATTGACAATTGATAACGGTATGCTCGGTTAAGTCTTCATTTCCGCAATACAAACAATCCACTTTGGTGTAGGCGCGAGTCATTAACGAATCGTTTACGATCTGATGTGAAACACGAACCGTGGGGGCAGTCAAATGTCAACGTACATTGGAGAATTTGAGCAGTCAGGAAGGCAACGCTGTGGAAGACGTCGACTCGGTAGAAAAATGAATTGAAAATTTCAACTAGAATCTCGAATATGGTTAAATATGTTTACCGTTACGGAGCTACACCTCAACTTCAGCAAAGTGTTTGTGAGAAACATTGAGTTCCAGTAATCTTCTGTCGGGGTTTCCATTCTCAGACAACGCACATTTTGGTGATTTAACGTTGTTGTTTTGTAGAGGAAAGCTAAGAAATGTACAAAGATATACACACGCACATGCTGGGCTATTGTTCTGCCCATTAGATCTTTTGTTCTGCTAGGTTCGCCGTTTGCTCAAGGTCTTTATTAACAGATAGATACATCTATCGTGTGCTTTTCAAAATTCGTGGAATCGACTGCCCCCAGGCGATAAATATTGACACGACAGGAAAGGATCAGTGTTAATTCTCTAAGCACATGTAAAAGTGAGAAAATCTTCTAGTTCAGACATGGTTTGATGCTACTCTGGTTTACAGATTTAATGAATGTAATCGAAGAGGTTAAAATTCATAGACCCAACGTTTCGACACTCCTGTCTAGTACCTTCATCAGGGGTGATCTAAACGCTGCAACAAGAGGTCCTTTTTTATATGATCACTAAGTAGCTACCTTTTTTCTGACGAGATGTAAATAGGCGTCAGGAAGTAAGCCGCCATCGTCACGATTTAAAGGAGCGTGGGCGGAGTTAATATGCCAAGCCTCCAAACAAAGACGCTGGTAACGTCGATTAGGGGTGATAATTTTTAAATTATCCCACCCAATTGTATGGTTGGTTAGGCACGTGCGCTCTGACAAAGCTGAATTTTCTTTTTTGCCAAAGAAAACCGCTCTTTGATGCTCTTTCAAAACTGACGTTTGGTCTGTTCGATGTATTCGTTGTCACAGTCATCGCAAGGAATAGAATAAATGGCGTCGGTTCGTTGTTCTTTCGTGACAGGATCCTTAGGTTTGGCGAAAATATGCCCCAAAGTCTGAAAAGGTTTCTAAGCAACTTTAGCGTTGTGGCTATTCAAAATTCTCTTGATGGGTTCCGTAACACCCTGAATGTAAGGAATAGCAGCAAAATCAGTCGCTGGTTCCCTTTCATCGAGAGAGTTACTAGTTGTAACTGGTTTTTGGCAGTTACGGAGAAAGGTTTTTGTATAGCCATTTGCCTTTAGGACATTAGAAACATATTTCCTCTCCTCAGCCTTCGAATCGAGTGAAGATGGTAGACAGTCAGCCCTCCTGAGTAAAGTTTTGGCTAGAGGCTTTTTATGGCAAATAGAGTGGTGAGAATCGAAGGCGAGGTATTTGTCGGTGTGGGCAGGTTTACGGTAGACACTTGTCTCTAAAATACCCTGAACCCCTCTGGACACATTTAAATCAAGAGAGGGCAAATGTCTATCCTTTTCACGCTCAAGGGTGAACTGGATCAACGGCTCTACTGAATTCAAATTTTCTTTCTTTCTTTTTTGCAGGAATGGTTTAAAGTAATATAATATTTCCATTCCTTTCCCCGATACTAACATAAGGAAACCCTTACGATATTTCATATTAAATATAGTTGTATTTTTATCGTTTAACAAAATGAACTAAGGGTAGCAATGGCCTTCATTTGGGCTTCCCCTTGTGATGGGGATGTTTCTAAACGGAGTAACGCAATCGATCTTCACCTTTAACACGCGAATTTTCATTTCAAAACTCGTTTTTGGAGTTTATTATTATTATTTTTTTACTGTTATTTTTAGTTATATTTTGCTGGTATAGATGTAACATGGCATAATAAATTTACATGATAAAGCTTTATTTACAGGTAAAGTGGTAGCAAATAACCCAAATAAGATTTCTTTAACCGACGGATGAAGATCCGAATAATTAACGCTATTAAACCATTCTGTGACCCTTCGCCAAGGGCAATTGATAATTGATAACGGTATGTTCGATTAAGTCGTCATTTCTGTAATATAAACAATCAACTTCCATGTAGGCGCGAGTTACTAATAAATCGTTTACGCTTACGATCTGATGTGAAACACAAGCCGTGGGGGCAGTCAAATGTCAACGTACACTAGGAAACTTGAGCAGTCAGGAAGACAACACTGTGGAAGACGTCGATCAAAAAATGAATTGAAAGTTTCAACTAGAATCTCGCGAATGGCTAGATGTGTTTACCGTTACGGTGCTACACCTCAACTTCGGCAAAATGTTAGTGAGAAGCGTTGAGTTCCAAATGGAAACTTAAATAATTTGCCGTCGTGGTTTCAGTTCTCATCACATGACGCAAATTTTTGTGATTTAACGTTGTTGTTTTGTGGAGGAAAACTAAGAAATGTACAAAAAATTAAAAAGCACGTGCTGAGCTATTTTTCTGCCCATGAGATCTTTTGTTTTGTTAGGTTCGCCGTTTGCTCAAGGTCCTTATTAGCGGATAGATATATCTGTCGTGAGCTTTTCAAAATTCGTGGAATTGACTACCCCTAGGCCATAAATATTAACGCTACAGGAAAGGATTAGTTTTAATTCTCTAAGAACATGTAAAAGTGAGGAAAAACTTCAAGTTCTCTGAGCAAAACATATTGGTTTTCGTGTGAAAACTCGTTCATAATCGTTTGCTAGTTTACATTGGAATTACCTCGTCTGGCAAAAAAAAAAAAAATCGTAATATGCGATGACCAAAGTTTTACAAGACGAGATTTACCGACTCCGGTCTTGCCAATGATTAGGATAGACATGCGATCTTGGCGTTTTTCTGAAACCCATTTTAAAAAGGCAGACTGCAATGATTCTGGGGCATTGATGCACATTTTTTGGGCCATTCTTCGCAATTTACTTACTACCGGATCAATCAGACGAAATGAAAGCGGAAGAGGGTAAAAACAGGAGGGAGACTGTCACTATGACGTCACGCAACATTTGCTTATTTTCAATAGGCTGCTTGCAGAGTGACCTAGCTTACTTCTTGATCACGTGGTTGGTTACCGCATAGCAACGCCATGCTTGAGCTTCAGAGCCTATCGTTGAAAAAAGGGTGACTATTAAAGAGAAAACGAAGTGTATTTTGCCCTGGTATTCCCTGTATTTTAGTATTTGAAGCTCATTCTTGGATAGATTTTAAGAATCTTTGCTTTTTAAACGAGCGTGGAGCGTTTTTGGATGCAAAATTTCTTCCATCGTACAGGATCTTCCCAGCGGTAACTTACCTTCTGGGATCCGCAACAGTTACCTGCAAATGCTTCAGGTCAATGAAGAAGAATGAGGCGCCCCATTCCTTGCAGGTTTCCATCGGCCTAGCGGACAAGACAATCTCTGGAAAGTGCTCATGTGTTGCGGGAATAAGTAGATATTGCCATCATGTGATTAGGGAAGGTACGTTTTTTTATTGGGGGGGGGGGGGGGGTGGGCCGGGGCCTCGGAGGGGAGGGTCATTAGTAAATTTTGTTACAAATCGGTCAAACCTGTTTTATTCGCAACCGGGGGAGGGTCACAGTTTTTTTTGGCAAGGAAAAAATTACTCCATGTCGATTAGTTGACTCTCATTTGTTAACAAACACGCGAAGTGTGTAGAAACCTAAAACTTGTATACTTGTATCTAAATACAAGTATACAAGATTGCCATGGAATAGTCTTAATTAATCGCAAGATTAATTTCTCGCAGTATTATGTAAAATAAGAGGTCCTTGAAAATTGTTCAATAGACAGGCTACTATGTAGAGCTGATTGACAAAGCCAAGGGTGGATAGGGGGACATCAGAATTAAAAAAATGGAATTCCCTTATTCTTCGGATGGCTCTTCCGACATGTACTCTGAGCTTTGCAATAGTTTTTTTTCAAGTACATTGGCGGCAGAGAACTGCGCTTGATTCTGAAGAAAAGGGGGAAGATTTAGCCCCAACCCCTTTTCTCTTAGCAAGGCATCAATATTGAAACCTTTGCCTGCCATTACCGAGTTACCAGGCTCCAGTAAATCTAAAATTCCACTGAATCTAGTTATTTCCTTTCTGTAATGGATCCTGTGAATAACAAGGGAATAAATGAAACTGCACCATGTGGGGTGATTCCAATTAATCCCTTCAATGTGTTGTTGCTCTTATAACTGGAATACAGCTGTGACTGGAGTAACAGTGATGTTGGAGTTTGCACAGAAATTTCAGTACCATCTAGAACCACTCTTGTAGTTGGATAGAGAAGACAAATCCCTCTAGCATATTATCCTGAACTTCATTCTTTGATGGCCAGATACACTGACTTCCTAAGATTAAGTATGGAAGGTTTGCCCATGTTGTTACTTTCCTACTTACAGATAACATGTGAATCTGTCTATCCCCTGATGCATAGCTATATACCAGTCTTTCAGCATTTGGCTTAACAAACTCACAAAAAAACTAGTAAGTGCTTATATGTTGGGAAACCAGTATAAAACTTAATGAGGGCAACACCTGATGAAAATAGCTCTATTCCTAAGGCTAGCTGCTCTTGAGCAAGCTTTCTGCAATTATCAATGTCATTCTGTGCTTGAGCCTTCAGGTCATTGATTGTCTGAATGGTAGCACTCACCTCTTGTTTGGATATCTTTAATTCTTCATTTGCATTGTGTAGCTCAGCTGGAACAGCTGTGAGTTGCACTTCCAATAATCGAATTTGGTTGGTAGCACTGGGGTGCCCGTCTGTGTGTTGTTGTGGATTGTTTCATATAATTATGTGGAAATTCAGTTTTATGACATCCATGGGCATGATTAACAAATTAAGGTCCTTATTTATAAGAGATTCTTTCATCAAGGTTATTATTTTCCCAGTATTTGTAACATGAGGTGAAACATGACTACTGATCACTAATTCAAGTCAAGTATTTTAATAAGTTTTATGTCATGGTTCAATTACAGGAATATTTGTTTTTAGCAAGCTCAATTATATTTGTACTGCTTGTGGTAAAGACCTTGAAACCATTAATTTAGCTGCTGTTGTCAAAGCTGGTTATTGCCCTGGTAGTCCCAATGATGTCAACTATATCTTCCACCAAGACCTTTTTGTACTTTGGAATGCTTTACAAAAAGAGGATGCCTGGAACATCTGAAAATGCTTTTGTAAGAGCTTTAGAAGATGTGTCATCTTTGAAAGGTAGGGTTAGTTTGTTAAGTATTATTGGGAGGACTTAATAAATTTATTGTGGAATTTACCCACCCTCCCCTACTGTATTTAAGAGAAGCTGGTTTTAACTGGGTGGAATGGCATTCAATATAGCGATTTTTCTATAATTTACTACTCTATATACCAGTGTTTATTAGCTGTATTATTTTGTATGAAATAATATGTACATGCTTGATCATAACTGAAAACGGAAAATGCCATTTTGCCTCTGACATTTTTTTATTCCTGTAAGCAACAATTATAAATTGTTGCTATTATATTGTTTTCGATATAAATATGTATAAATATTATATATATGTGGATATTACTCATTTTCCATTTATTGAATTCGAATCAGTATGTTCCCAAACTCAACACAGTCACATTCAATAAGTCATTCCATGAGTAGAAGTTTTGCCAGTGTAATTTGGATGAACACAAAGAATTGAACTATATGAAATGTCCGCCATTTTTGATTACCCAACATCCATGCCATGTTGATGGGAACATGAAATTATATTAATAGAAAAAATCTGGAAAGTATGTATAGTGCATCCTCAAGCAACAGTTTAGTTACACCTAACTGCAAGACCCCTTTCATACAAAAATAAAAGAAATGTGCCTTATTTAATTAGTATTTACAAAACAAAAGAAAAAGATGAGAGCTCTACATTGTGTAATGTTCTTCTGTCTTGTTATTTTTTTTTTGAGATAACACAACATTGTTTTACAATTAGGATCTCACATGGTAAAGTAAGAATTATTACTGACAGTATAAAACAGTGGGGAACAGTTACCCTAAAATTAAAACCATGAAACAGTAACTAAATTATTTTGATGTTCTTTTTTATCTAGTATTTATTGAGTTGGTACTCCAATCATAAAGTATTATAACACTTTTATATGTATTGTGACAAAATTTGTTTGATGTTTACTATCACCTATCTATATTATATGATATGTTTTTTTTATGTTTAAATATTGTACTTCTCACAGAAGAAGGAACCCATCTCAACTGTTTTATTTGCAAGAAGGAAGGAAGGAAGAAGGAAGGAAGCCCTAGACAACCACATAAAGACTGCTTATTCCAAACAAAAATTTACAAAGGTGATGTTTTACCCCAATTTATTTGAATGAAGAAATAAAAATGGATAATTTGAATTGCAAATTAACGGCCAAACACTTTATTATTCAGCAAAGTGAAGATAACAACTCATATGGAGAAAGCCACTGGAAGGCAGGTGGTAATAAACTGAAGGAATGGGCAAACACGGATGAGACAGGGCTGGAGATCGCTGGTGTAGGCATGGACTTGCGCAATGGGCGGTCAATATGTACCAGGGAGACATTTACGGATTCTCCCATCACATCCAATGCAAAAAAATTGCATCCTAATAACGTACGATCTTTTTGGGAGGATGTTGTATGCAAATACTGGGGCTGTGCTGAAAGAACCAGTATGAGAATGGGGAATATGCAGCCAGCTCTGTCAGTGATGCTTGCAAAAGCACACAGTTGGTCTTGTCAAGTACCTTATTTATGGTGCATAGATTTCAAATTTAAAACGTACAAAAAAACCTCCTTGTATCACAACCAGTATTTTTCTGACAATTCAAATCAAGTTTGTAGTCGGTGAGAGTAGGATTTTTGCAGTAAACGATCAGGCTAATTGGAATAACAGTAATTTTGAAGAGGAAAATTTCAGATATCTTCTAAATGTTGTTTTTTAATTTTGAATATACATGTTTATATCAGGAGTTTTTGCAACTGCATGTCGCTTTTTGTACTTTTGACCTATTACATTGAATACCATGAACGTTATCGTAGGTTCTTTGTGGTGGAAGAAGGCAAACTAGGAGTGCATGCAAAACTGGAGAGGAGGTCGAGCAGATAAATTCCTTCTTCTCTAGATGTGGTAACACAACCAAATATATGCTTCCAGAGAGTAGGTTAATTTGTCATCAGAAAAGTATTCATAACAAGTAATCCTGATCTACGAACACATTATTATTATATCCAACAGCTTCTACTTTAAATATGTACTTTCCAATTTCAGTCTGTACTTATGAAATTAGTGGTGAAGTGATAATACATAGATTTAGCGAAGTCTAAAAGCGGAGCTCGCATTTTTTTTCCCGCACGTCCCAAGGGCACAACGCCTTGCCACGGCCAGGACTAGAACCCGGGTCGTCCGACTCGGAGCCTAGTGCACTGACCACTGGACTACTGGACAAAGCCGTGGCGCTGGCTTGCCCGCGGTACAGTTGACCACACATGTTAAAAGTAGCACCTTGTTCGGTCGGTCGTACGGCGGTAAGTCAAAATTTTTTCGGCTTGATGCTTTACCACTACCATTTTGTATAATTATTGGGCTATGCTCTACGAGCTTCGCTATAAGTATAATCCCACAGTTCAACCAATAAGGATAAACTAAATAATCTGCCCTCACTGGTTCAACTGTGGGATATCACACATCACACCACCAATTTTAAAAGTACAGTAGTTAAAAAAGGAAAGCACAGATTTAAACTTTAAGAAATTATCCATAACACATTGATGTGGTGTTGTCCAGTCAGTTTTCCATAACTTGAATTGAAGTAAACTTGATTAGGTCTATATGACCTTCTAACAGAGCATGCTCTAGCCTGGAATAGGAGGAAGGTTACTAAAAAGGTGCTTTGCAATCGCTACACAACAGTAAGTGAATGGAAAGAAATACAATATATAATTTTTTATCATTGTTTGTTTTCATATTTTATAATTTTGATTTCTTTTTATGCACAGGCTCTTAAAATGAAGTCATCCTCTATAAACCATTACAAAGAAGCTGTAGCTCTTCAAGACTGTACTATTAATGCATGGAATCATTACTGGAAACATGGAAATCTGAAGTTTTGCAGGATGCAAAAGGTACATGTACCGAGATTGCACAGAATGTTACATTACTCAGTCCATTTCACATGGTATTCATGGATCTATATTATTGACTATGTAAAGTATTTCAACATGATTTAATTTTAAGCAAAGGGTTTATGGCTGAGAGGGTGTCTCCATTTGCCTCCATTTTTTTCGCAAAAACATTTTTTGTTAAAATAATTACATAAATGACAAGAATAATAACAATGATAACAATGATGATATGGATTTTTCCCTGAATACGAATAGATATTTTATTTGTTTCTTACAACATACATGTACCCTCTGTATCAAAACAATCATCATCCAGTGATTGATTACATTGTAAAATATCAGCCAGTAGTCATGCAGGAAAAAGTCCCAAATATATCACATGCCAATAATTTTATGGTAATGATTGAGCACTCACGCTGTTTTCTGATTAAAAATTTGTTCAACAATGTTAATTACATTGTAAAGTTGTATATTATAGACTTCACCGATATATTTTCTTACTAAAGCATCACAAACACAAGTTACAAGTGATATCCAGATGTCTTCCATTCAGCATCAAATGAAAATGCTTTTTTTTTTCCAATGTTCAGACTAAAAGGACTATTAATAAACTTGCAGGTGAGGAAGATGGGCGAAGTAAAGTAGATTAAACAAGGAAAGATCACATACGTTGCAGGTTTGGGAACCTGACAAAACACTTGTATAAATTGAGCCAACTGTTTATTATTATTATAATTTTTTTTCCATGAATGTTTTATCTGGTTTCCGAAAACCTTAAAATGAATCCAAATGGTTTTTTTTCAACTGTTACTATTTTGTGCAAATTCGGTAGTAGGTAGCTCAAAGCAACGTACTCGTCTCAGAAAGAGGTAGGTGGACAACAATAAGAAGCTGAAGACCCTCCAAGAAAAATATAATGCTGTCCTGAAAGAGGAAGGTAGCTTACGGACAGAACTCCTCCTTGCTGATTTGCAAAATGGTAAATTCCCATGGAAAACAGACACCAGGTAATAGATAAGACCAAAATATTCCATTACCTGTTGAGAATTCACCAAATTGCGGACAGTTTTGAGATGTATGTCCTCTTAATGACACACTCTTAGCGTCATAAAATGTTCAAAACTTAATTCACTTACACAATTTAAACACGATTATACACAATTATGTGGTTTTTCTCAGTTGATCGGAAAGTCCCTGGCCAACTTAAACAATAATCGACCTCAGACTACGGCCTACTTACCAGATGCATCAGCCAACCCATCCCATTCATATAGAATATATCAAAGAAAGTATTATTACTCATTAGTAGTAACACCGTCCCTTAAAATTTCTCAGAGGCACCAATAAGAGTTAAAAAGAATATCGTAAAGCTGTGGGAGATCAGTAAGAGAAGGGAGGGGGAAGTTGAGCTTTTGCTTCTAGAGATGAGAAATTTTGTAAGGTTTTGTACCTTGTTTCCTTTTTCTTTTATTAACATTTTTGCCATTGTCTGCCATTTCCCGTGTCTGATATTATTTCCCATGTCTGATGCTATTTTCCGTGTCTGTATTTACTGAGTAGATTTCGACTTATCGCCGTGCTTTATGTTAATGCTCGAGTCCTTAAATTATTCGTTACAATCACCGAGTTCGAAATTGGTCTCATTGCCGGAGCCTTATAAGTCTCTCAATCGCCGACTCAGATAACCGCAGAGTACTCTCCTACCCAGAATTCTCACGGTACAAGGTTAGGATAGTTTTAGATAGAGGGTCTCAATATGGCGTAACATACCGTTCAAAATCCAAGTGCTAATCGAAGTTGCTGCTGTTCTTTTTACCATTCAAACAGTCAACTGACATTTCTGTTGGAGTCGAACCAACTCCCGGCAACAAGAAAGCTACAAGAAAGCTACCAGAAATTTTTATTTAGACTGCCTAAACAATTGGCCCAAATGTTAATAAAAGAAAAAGGAAACTGAAAACAGGAAAAAGAAGGAAAGATAAAAGAAGAACAGGAAATGAAAAAAGAGAAAGAAAATTATGCATCATCTTTAAAGTTTTATTTTTCCGTTCCATTATTAAAATGCACTACATGTATTATAATTATCATATATATTACATTTTGATGACATAGGTTTACCAGATATAATTGTAGGTTCGCATCCTCAGGCCGCAATTAATCAAGGGCAGAAAAACTAAACACTACAAAAACATGTAATATACTCCTGTAGGAGTCGAACCACGGAATAGCATTGGAGCTGCTATTTACGTGAAATTGAGTGGAAAATAATTATACCGCGCCAATTCATTATAAATCAAAGACAATTCAAAAATGTACAATACAGAAATTTCCGCATGTGCCGTTCTGAAGTTTCTTAACACTTTGACACCTCATTATAAATTCTGTTAGGTTCTCTACGGTTCCAAGATTAACAATCGCACCACAATGGCCATGACAAAGAGTGTCGATGTGTATAATCGCACCTCCGACAGCAACGAAGAGGAAAGTCTTTTCGTTTACAGTAAAAAGGGCAGAGCAAACACCTATGGTTCCGTTGCTTAAATTCGGCTACCTTTCCGTCTATCTTGGAAATGGACATTTCGGTATAAAACCTTCCAAAGTTTCTCATCTCTAGAAGCAAAAGCTTAACTTCCCCCTCCCTTCTCTTACTGATCTCCCACAGCTTTACGATATTCTTTTTAACTCTTATTGGTGCCCCTGAGAAATTTTAAGGGACGGTGTTACTACTAATGAGTAATAATACTTTCTTTGATATATTCTATATGAATGGGATGGGTTGGCTGATGCATCTGGTAAGTAGGCCGTAGTCTGAGGTCGATTATTGTTTAAGTTGGCCCGGGACTTTCCGATCAACTGAGAAAAACCACATAATCGTGTATAATCGTGTTTAAATTGTGTAAGTGAATTAAGTTTTGAACATTTTATGACGCTAAGAGTGTGTCATTAAGAGGACATACATCTCAAAACTGTCCGCAATTTGGTGAATTCTCAACAGGTAATGGAATATTTTGGTCTTATCTATTACCTGGTGTCTGTTTTCCATGGGAATTTACCATTTTGCAAATCAGCAAGGAGGAGTTCTGTCCGTAAGCTACCTTCCTCTTTCAGGACAGCATTATATTTTTCTTGGAGGGTCTTCAGCTTCTTATTGTTGTCCACCTACCTCTTTCTGAGACGAGTACGTTGCTTTGAGCTACCTACTACCGAATTTGAACAAAATAGTAACAGTTGGAAAAGAACCATTTGGATTCATTTTAAGGTTTTCGGAAACCAGATAAAACATTCATGGAAAAAAAATTATAATAATAATAAACAGTTGGCTCAATTTATACAAGTGTTTTGTCAGGTTCCCAAACCTGCCACATATGTGATTTTTCCTTGTTTAATCTACTTTACTTCGCCCATATTCCTCACCTGCAAGTTTATTAATAGTCCTTTTAGTCTGAACATTGGAAAAAAAAAAAAGCATTTTCAATTGATGCTGAATGGAAGACATCTGGGTATCACTTGTAACTTGTGTTTGTGATGCTTTAGTGAGGAAATATATTGGTGAAGTCTATAATATACAACTTTACAATTTAATTAACATTATTGAACAAATTTTCAATCAGAAAACAGCGTGAGTGCTCAATCATTACCATAAAATTATTGGCATGTGATATATTTGGGACTTTTTCCTGCATGACTACTGGCTGATATTTTACAATGTAATCAATCACTGGATGATGATTGTTTTGATACAGAGGGTACATGTATGTTGTAAGAAACAAATAAAATATCAACTCGTATTAAGGGAAAAATCCATATCATCATTGTTATCATTGTTATTATTCTTGTCATTTATGTAATTATTTTAACAAAACATGTTTTTGCGAAAAAAATGGAGGCAAATGGAGACACCCTCTCAGCCATAAACCCTTTGCTTAAAATTAAATCATGTTGAAATACTTTACATAGTCAATAATATAGATCCATGAATACCATGTGAAATGGACTGAGTAATGTAACATTCTGTGCAATCTCGATACATGTACCTTTTGCATCCTGCAAAACTTCAGATTTCCATGTTTCCAGTAATGATTCCTTGCATTAACAGTACAGTCTTGAAGAGCTGCAGCTTCTTTGTAATGGTTTATAGGGGATGACTTCATTTTAAGAGCCTGTGCATAAAAAGAAATCAAAATTATAAAATATGAAAACAAACAATGATAAAAAATTATATATTGTATTTCCCTCCATTCACTTACTGTTGTGTAGCGATTGCAAAGCACCTTTTTAGTAACCTTCCTCCTATTCCAGGCTAGAGCATGCTCTGTTAGAAGGTCATATAGACCTAATCAAGTTTACTTCAATTCAAGTTATGGAAAACTGACTGGACAACACCACATCAATGTGTTATGGATAATTTCTTAAAGTTTAAATCTGCGCTTTCCTTTTTTAACTACTGTACTTTTAAAATTGGTGGTGTGATGTGTGATATCCCACAGTTGAACCAGTAAGGGCCGATTATTTAGTTTATCCTTATTGGTTGAACTGTGGGATTATACTTATAGCGGAGCTCGTAGAGCGTAGCCCAATAATTATACAAAATGGTAGTGGTAAAGCATCAAGCCGAAAAAATTTTGACTTACCGCCGTACGACCGACCGAACAAGGTGTTACTTTTAACATGCGTGGTCAAGTGTACCGCGGGCACGCCAACGCCACGGCTTTGTCCAGTAGTCCAGTGGTCAGTGCACTAGGCTCCGAGTCGGACGATCCGGGTTCTAGTCCTGGCCGTGGCAAGGCGTTGTGCCCTTGGGACGTGCGGGAAAAAAAATGCGAGCTCCGCTTTTAGACTTCGCTAAATCTATGTATTATCACTTCACCACTAATTTCATAAGTACAGACTGAAATTGGAAAGTACATATTTAAAGTAGAAGCTGTTGGATATAATAATAATGTGTTCGTAGATCAGGATTACTTGTTATGAATACTTTTCTGATGACAAATTAACTTACTCTCTGGAAGCATATATTTGGTTGTGTTACCACATCTAGAGAAGAAGGAATTTATCTGCTCGACCTCCTCTCCAGTTTTGCATGCACTCCTAGTTTGCCTTCTTCCACCACAAAGAACCTACGATAACGTTCATGGTATTCAATGTAATAGGTCAAAAGTACAAAAAGCGACATGCAGTTGCAAAAACTCCTGATATAAACATGCATATTCAAAATTAAAAAAAACATTTAGAAGATATCTGAAATTTTCCTCTTCAAAATTACTGTTATTCCAATTAGCCTGATTGTTTACTGCAAAAATCCTACTCTCACCGACTACAAACTTGATTTGAATTGTCAGAAAAATACTGGTTGTGATACAAGGAGGTTTTTTGTACGTTTTAAATTTGAAAACTATGCACCATAAATAAGGTACTTGACAAGACCAACTGTGTGCTTTCGCAAGCATCACTGACAGAGCTGGCTGCATATTCCCCATTCTCATACCGGTTCTTTCAGCACAGCCCCAGTATTTGCATACAACATCCTCCCAAAAAGATCGTACGTTATTAGGATGCATTTTTTTGCATAATTTGGATGTGATGGGAGAATCCGTAAATGTCTCCCTGGTACATATTGACCGCCCACTGCGCAAGTCCATGCCTACGCCAGCGATCTCCAGCCCTGTCTCGTCCGCGTTTGCCCGTTCCTTCAGTTTATTACCACCTGCCTTCCAGTGGCTTTCTCCACATGAGTTGTTATCTTCACTTTGCTGAATAATAAAGTGTTTGGCCGTTAATTTGCAATTCAAATTATCCATTTTTATTTCCTCATTCAAATAAATTGGGGTAAAACATCACCTTTGTAAATTTTTGTTTGGAATAATCAGTCTTTATGTGGTTGTCTAGGTCTTCCTTCTTGCAAATAAAACAGTTGAGATGGGTTCCTTCTTCTGTGAGAAGTACAATATTTAAACATAAAAAAACACATCATATAATGTAGATAGGTGATAATAAACATCAAACAGATTTTGTCACAATACATATGAAAGTGTTGCAATACTTAATGAATGGAGTACCAACTCAATAAATACTAGATAAAAAAAGCACATCAAAATAATTTAGTTACTGTTTCATGGTTTTAATTTTAGGGTAACTGTTCCCCACTGTTTTATACTGTCAGTAATAATTCTTACTTTACCATGTGAGATCCTAACTGCAAAACAATGTTGTGTTATCCAAAAAAAAAATAACAAGACAGAAGAACATTACACAATGTAGAGCTCTCATCTTTTTCTTTTGTTTTGTAAATACTAATTAAGTAAGGCACATTTCTTTTATTTTTGTATGAAAGGGGTCTTGCAGTTAGGTGTAACTAAACTGTTGCTTCAGCATGCACTATACATACTTTCCAGATTTTTTGTATCAATATAATTTCATGTTCCCATCAACATGGCATGGATGTTGGGTAATCAAAAATGGTGGACATTTCATCTAGTTCAATTCTTGGTGTTTATCCAAATTATACTGGCAAAACTTCTACTCATGGAATGACTTATTGAATGTGACTGTGTTGAGTTTGGGAACATACTGATTCGAATTCAATAAATGGAAAATGAGTAATATCCACATATATAAAATATTTATACATATTTATATCGAAAACAATATAATAGCAACAATTTATAATTGTTGCTTACAGGAATAAAAAAATGTCAGAGGCAAAATGGCATTTTCCATTTTCAGTTATGATCACCATGTACATATTATTTCATACAAAATAATACAGCTAATAAAAACTAGTATATAGAGTAGTTAATTATAGAAAAATCGCTATATTGAATGCCATTCCACCCAGTTAAAACCAGCTTCTCTTAAATACAGTGGGGGAGGGTGGGTAAATTCCACAATAAATTTATTAAGTCCTCCCAATAATACTTAACAAACTTACCCTACCTTTCAAAGATGACACATCTTCTAAAGCTCTTACAAAAGCATTTTCAGATGTTCCAGGCATCCTCTTTTTGTAAAGCATTCCAAAGTACAAAAAGGTCTTGGTGGAAGATATAGTTGACATCATTGGGACTACCAGGGCAATAACCAGCTTTGACAACAGCAGCTAAATTAATGGTTTCAAGGTCTTTACCACAAGCAGTACAAACATAATTGAGCTTGCTAAAAACAAATCATCCTGTAATTGAACCATGACATAAAACTTATTAAAATACTTGACTTAAATTAGTGATCAGTAGTCATGTTTCACCTCATGTTACAAATACTGGGAAAATAATAACCTTGATGAAAGAATCTCTTATAAATAAGGACCTTAATTTGTTAATCATGCCCATGGATGTCATAAAACTGAATTTCCACATAATTATATGAAACAATCCACAACAACACACAGACGGGCACCCCAGTGCTACCAACCAAATTCGATTATTGGAAGTGCAACTCACAGCTGTTCCAGCTGAGCTACACAATGCAAATGAAGAATTAAAGATATCCAAACAAGAGGTGAGTGCTACCATTCAGACAATCAATGACCTGAAGGCTCAAGCACAGAATGACATTGATAATTGCAGAAAGCTTGCTCAAGAGCAGCTAGCCTTAGGAATAGAGCTATTTTCATCAGGTGTTGCCTCCATTAAGTTCTATACTGGTTTCCCAACATATAAGCACTTACTAGTTTTTTTGTGAGTTTGTTAAGCCAAATGCTGAAAGACTGGTATATAGCTATGCATCAGGGGATAGACAGATTCACATGTTATCTGTAAGTAGGAAAGTAACAACATGAGCAAACCTCCCATACTTCATCTTAGGAAGTCAGTGTATCCGGCCATCAAAGAATGAAGTTCAGGATAATATGCTAGAGGGATTTGTCTTCTCTATCCAACTACAAGAGTGGTTCTAGATGGTACTGAAATTTCTGTGCAAACTCCAACATCACTGTTACTCCAGTCACAGCTGTATTCCAGTTATAAGAGCAACAACACATTGAAGGGATTAATTGGAATCACCCCACATGGTGCAGTTTCATTTATTCCCTTGTTATACACAGGATCCATTACAGAAAGGAAATAACTAGATTCAGTGGAATTTTAGATTTACTGGAGCCTGGTAACTCGGTAATGGCAGGCAAAGGTTTCAGTATTGATGCCTTGCTAAGAGAAAAGGGGTTGGGGCTAAATCTTCCCCCTTTTCTTCAGAATCAAGCGCAGTTCTCTGCCGCCAATGTACTTGAAAAAAAACTATTGCAAAGCTCAGAGTACATGTCGGAAGAGCCATCCGAAGAATAAGGGAATTCCATTTTTTTAATTCTGATGTCCCCCTATCCACCCTTGGCTTTTTCAATCGGCTCTACATAGTAGCCTGTCTATTGACCAATTTTCAAGGACCTCTTATTTTACATAATACTGCGAGAAATTAATCTTGCAAGTAATTAAGACTATTCCATGGCAATCTTGTATTCCTTAAGCACCATACTGACAGTCTTACCAATTATTAAGAATCAATGCAAAAAACAGTTAAAAAAGTGTTTCAAAAAGTGTTTGTTGTGATTTGCCCCTGTTTGCAGTTTCTTTACCAACACCTCCTGGATCTCTTACTACTGTAAAGTTTTTCCCCCTGGGATGCTCCAACGCCGTTGCATACTTATTTCGACACCTGTAAATAATTTAGATTAATCTTGACTGGTAGCTTTGCTTGTATATACAAGTTTTAGGTTTCTACACAATTCGCGTGTTTGTTAACAAATGAGTCGACTAAGCGACATGGAGTAATTTTTTCATTGCCAAAAAAAACTAACCCTTCCCCGGTTGCGAATAAAACAGGTTTGACCAATTTGTAAAAAAATTTACTAATGACCCTCCCCTCCGAGGCCCCCGCCCACCCCTACCCCCCATAAAAAAACGTACCTTCCCTAATCACATGATGGCAATATCCACTTAATTCCGCAACACATGAGCACTTTCCAGAGAGTGTCTTGTCCGCAAGGCCAATGGAAACTTCCAAGGAATGGGGCATTCATTGACCAGAAGCATTTGTAGGTAACTGTTGCGGATCCCAGAGGGTAAGTTACTAGAAAGAGTAGTAGTTTCCGCTCGGACGATCCTGTACGATGGAAGAAATTTTGCACCCAAAACGCTCCACACTCTTTTAAAACGCAAAAATTCTTAAAATCTATCCAAGAATGAGCTTCAAATACTAAAATACAAGGAATATCAGGGCAAAATACGCTTCGTTTTCTCTTTAATAGTCACTCTGGACCTTCCTCGAAAGCTTTCTTCAATTCAACGATAGGCTCTCAAGCATGGCGTTGCTATGCGGTAACCAACCACGTGATCAAGAAGTAAGCTAGGTCACTCTGCAAGCAGCCTATAGAAAATCAATAAATGTTGCGTGACGTCATAGTGACAGTCTCCCTCCTGTTTTTACCTCTTCCGCTTTCATTTCGCCTGACTGATTCGATAGTGGGTAAATTGCGAAGAATGGCCAAAAAAATGTGCATCAATGCCCCAGAATCATTGCAGTCTGCCTTTTTAAAATGGGTTTCAGAAAAACGCCAAGATCGCTTGTCTATCCTAATCACTGGCAAGACCGGAGTCGGTAAATCTCGTCTTGTAAACGCTCTTGTTGAAAAGCCAGTTGCGAAGGAAGGTCGCTCCACAAGCGCTTGTACCAACACCGTCACTTCGTACAAAACTGAAATCAGTGGTGTTGAAGTAGTTGTGTGGGATTCACCAGGTCTGCAAGATGTAACGTGCAATGAAAGACTGTATCTTCAGGAGATGGAGAGCAAGTTAAGTCAGGGTATCGATGTTATGATTTACTGCATCAGTATGACCGATAGGCGGTTTTATGACACGGATAAACATGCAATCCGTACCCTGACAAAGGCTTTTGGGAGTAAACTATGGGAGAATAGTGTGGTGGCTTTAACCTTTGCTAACTTTAAGACCAAAGATCCAGATGAAGTGGATGACCTTGCTTACTTCTTGAGTGAGAAGTGCATCTGGAAAAAAGAAATCGATGAATTCCTAGCCAAGCTCAACGTTGATTTACAAGTGTGCCAACAGATTCCAATTGTCCCGACGGGAAATTTTAAACAACTTTGCCTTCCCGGTTGTGAGAACTGGCTCTCGGATCTGTGGGGAAAATGCTTCAGTGTCAGGAGTACTTCGTCAGGGTTAGTATTCTTCAAAATTAACGAGAGCCGTTTGAAATATCTAGACAGTTCTCCAGCCACCGCAAGCACGGCCGCCGCTGCCCGCTCTTCTGACGAAAATCCAATGCTGATGAATGAGGATGAAAATCAATCAGCTTACAACCCTGATCATGAGGATATCCCAAGAGAGATTCCTCAGAATCAAGAGCAAGAAGATGGGCCGTTAAAGAGACTATGGGAGGCTTTCTTTAGTGGACTTCCATAAAGCAGCTAAAAACTTTGGTCGTCGCATATTGCGATTTTTTGGCCAGACGAGGTAATTCAAATGTAAACTAGCAAACGAGTTTTCACGCGAAAACCAATATGTTTTGTTCAGAGAACTTGAAGTTTTTCTCTCTTTTACATGTGCTTAGAGAATTGAAACTGATCCTTTCCTGTAGCGTAAATAGTTATGACTTAGGGGTAGTCAATTCCACGAATTTTGAAAAGCACACCACAGATGTATCTATCCCCTAATAAGAATCTTGAGCAAACGGCGGGCCTAGCAAAACAAAAGATCTCATGGGCAGAAAAATTGCCCAGCACGTGCGTTTTAAATTTTTGTACATTTCTTGGTTTTCCTCTACAAAACAACAACGTTAAACCACCAAAATTTGCGTCATCTGATGAGAACTGAAACCACGACGGCAAATTATTTAAGTTTCCATCTGGAACTCAATGTTTCTCATAAACATTTTGCCGAAGTTGAGGTGTAGCACTGTAACGGTAAACACATCTAGCCATTGTGAGATTCTGGTTGAAATTTTCAATTCATTTTTTAATCGACGTCTTCCACAGTGTTGTCTTCCTGACTGCTTAAGTTCCCTAATGTACGTTGACATTTGACTGCCCCCACGGCTCGTGTTTCACATCAGATCGTAAGCGTAAACGATTCATTAATAACTCGCGCCTACACAGAAGTGGATTGTTTGTATTACAGAAATAACGACTTAATCGAACATATCGTTATCAATTATCAATCGCCCTTTGCGAAGGGTCACACAATGGTTTAATAGCGTTAATTATTCAGATCTTCATCCGTCGGTTAAAGAAATCTTATTTGGGTTATTTGCTACCTTTTCAGTCGTAAATGAAGTTTTATCATGTAAAGTAATCATGCAATGTTACATCTACACCAGCAAAGTATAACTAAACAATAAAAGTAAAAGAAAAATAGTAATTAACTCTAAAAACGAGTTTTGAAATGAAAATTCGCGTGTTAAAGGTGAAGATCGATTGCGTTACTCCGTTTAGAATCATCCCCATCACAGGGGGAAGCCCAAATGAAGGCCATTGCTACCCTTAGTTCATTTTGTTAAACGATAAAAATACAACTATATTTAATCTGAAGTATCGTAAGGGTTTCCTTATATTGGTGTCGGGGGAAGGAATGGAAATATTATATTACTTTAAACCATTCCTGCAAAAAAGAAAAAATTATAAAAAGGCAGGTTGATTACTTCTTATTCCTTTTGGAAGCCTTATCTTAAAGGTAGAGTTTGGTCACGTTTCCCTCGTTATGATCGTGAAGTTGACATGGACGGTAATAAGAACTCGTGATAATGTCTTGGGAAAGCTATGTTATTAATTAAGTTAATTTGTTAATCCAGGAAGAGTGAATCGCTCTGGTAAAAGGTCACGTTCGACACCTCATGTTCTTAAAGGTGTAAACATGTGATACTCTTCATGTTCCGCAATCAGAAAATTACGTAGCAACTTGTGAACGCCCCATCTTCTCCAACTTTTGTAATCATGATGTTGTTATGTAACGGTCTTCTAAGGCAATTTTCTCTTAAGATACCCTTTCAGATGTAAATAATATTCTGTCAATAGGTTAGTTATGATTTTTATATAACTAATCTCGTTTCTGTTCTGGCCGATCTTAACTGTAAGAATTAGAAATTTAAGGTAGAAAGTGATTTTGTAACAGCGCAAATAACTCTAATTATTTCAGAGTGTATGCGTGTTGTTCTGTAAATATAAACACTGCAACCTATTTTAACTTGTTTTTGTGTCCTTTTTAATCAACGCGATATGTCTGTTATGACCAGAGTGCCAAATTGTATTCTTTAATTTTGATCTTCTCCACACTGTGCATAATTCATGACCTGATATTTCAACGTAAATTATCGAGAAGGCCTTCCTATCACCTTTGTCTACTTTGTAAGTCACGCAAGCGCGCAAGCGTTACGACCGATAACGTTTACGCAACGTTTTAGGACAACTCGGTATCTGATCTCCATTCAGTTGCTGTGAAAACCTAAAATCCTCAACGTAGAAGATAAACGAACGAAGTCTGAACTGTCAAAAGGAGATCTTGGTCAATTCCAAGAATCATGCAAATGATCTTTGACACGAGCGCAATTGAGCGAACACATGGATTTGCGTTGTTTTTAAGAAGTTGGTGGATGGAAGCTAGAGATATACCCGCGGATTTGAGGCAATCCGTGACTTCATTGGTTTATAAACTATGCACTGATATGCTTTTTTGGCCCGATTAACGCCTGCATTTTGAGAATTCTTTCGTACAAAGTAGTGAATTTTTGATATGCAAATTAAGGTCGAAGAGCAGGGTCTCCTCTGATCACGCTGGTATGAAAAATGTTTCAGCTGAAGTTTCCATATTTTGTCTGTGAACTAACTGAATACACCTTGTAACTTGTAGCAAAATAGAATTCCGTAAGCTACATTGTTGCAGTCGCTGCGCGCTGGACAAAATCTTTGAAATTGACACTTTCGATCGCTGTTCACAGGGGTAGTCTGGCCAAAAATGAGTTTTGGCTTGTGGCGAAGCAAAAAAAGAGAATTGGAGAACAACTAAACTATTTTTGAAACATGTGTCCTAAACCCTTTTCATAGGCAAAAAATAAAAGAAAACTTTTTTCCGACGGGAAGTCGAGAGGACCGCTCTTAGCGAGAGTGGCACTTAAGGTAGCTCTGAACTGCTCAAACAGAATTTTTATACAATTGGAAAATCACAATTTAGTATTTAAGTAAATAGCCACCAATATCAAAATTAACCACCCACAGGGTAAACATAGTAAGTTAATTGGCAATCACAGAAATTTCATTTAGCTCAATGGTTAATGTTTAAATGCTACAAACGATAACCTCCACCAACATCAACATGAACTACTTAAAAGAAGTCTTTCATATTTTCTGAATCTTAAATAACCCCAGACTAAGCAATCAAACTATCCAAATCTTTGAAAATTTCAAATTTCGTAGAAGATAATAATTTACAAATTTGCCCGCCATATTGAAAAGGGAATTACTGCATCACGGGCGACGAGCCGTGGAATTAAAAAACAGGACAGATCTTGATGTTTCAATGACCAAAACCTTGTGATTTTCTTCCAGTCTCACGATAATTTGTATTATGATACATGTATCAATCTCATAGTGTCCACACTGATGGCTATTATGGATACAGTGGAAGACAAATTCACTGTAAACATATGGGACTACGCAAAAATTCAACTTGGATGTATGGTCGATATCAAACATCACATATCCTGGAAAGTTAACTTACAACCTGCTTCCACGTATGACGAAGATCTGGTCTCTTTTATAAAGGATAGGGTGCTGTCCCCCAATGCTCTCCAGCAAGTTACAGTTGGGTTACAACGCTCTCCCAGAAGGGCACAAATTTGCAACAAAATTACTCTTCACTTAATAATGCGTGCTTTTCTATTTAAATCAGCGGCTGACATATGCCACTTTCCTTCTTTTGATCTATTTAAAATAAAGCCCCTTGAACTAAATTATAAGGAATACCATAATTATACGTATTTTATGTTACCACATTTTACATACTTTTTCAACTATGCATTACAAACATTAAAATGAAATAAAAACCAATTCATGCACAAATGAATTCTTACTTTAATACAGACAGGTGTCCCTACAGGTGTTAGCAAGAACTTGGTCTTGTCGGTATTCATTGTGAGCGTTTGGTGATCCATATATCAGTGGAGACACTCTCTGCAACTATCTCTGTCAAGAAAAGACCAATCCTTTCACCCTTACTTAATTTCATTCATACAGGCATGGATGAGAACCTGCAGCAAAACAAAGTAAAAAAAGAGTGCCAATAAGGTGGCAAGCTCCATTGTAAACATTTTCTTGACAAATTATGCACTGGTTATAAAAAGGTATATGTTGTGCTTAATTTTTGTCCTTGGTCTAGACATCATTTTCCTTTTGGTTTTGTTAACGATTTGAATAAAAAATGCATTTTGTGTAAAGAAAGAAAATAAAGCTCCTAGCCAAAGTTATGGTGAGAAGACATGTCACTATCAATTTGGCCTCTATTAAAAGTAAAATAATTAAACTAAGGATAAAAATAAATCACAGTATACCTATACTAAACCCTCAGCCTATTTGTATCAATATTACTATTTTTTCTGGTGTTTACCCAATAAATTCAATCCACTTACAGACAAAGATAGTGCCTGTACATTTGACCATCTCTCTTAGGGTAAGGCACATGTAGAAAGCAATATTTCACAAAACAACAACATTATGTATGCAAGGTTTAAATTTTTTCAGACCTTTTCTGCTTGATTTTATGAGCGGTTCCAGGATTTTCTTGCGCAAAGAGCTCAGGGTGAATGTACCAGTCGTCATGTATTTTGGTATGGTGGTTTACAGTAACTGTTGTATAAAGTAACCTTCCTCGATATTAATTTCGTGAACTTGTCATTGACAAAGAGCTATTAAATGATAGACATTCATCGCCATTTCATTGATTACTGTGCTCTACAGTCATCATTGAACTGCTAAATAATTTCTTTGCCATCAGAAATTGCATTAAATATACTATGTTAGAGATCACAGCACTGTGCCCCAAAATCTAATGTCGTCTGGATCACAATTTCATATATTTTATTAAGGCAAAGGTAAAAATCAAACAAGATCACACAGACGTTATGTCTGAGACAACATTGCTATGTATAATGTTTATATAGTTAGTTACGGAAAAGCTACTCTATTCATAAAATCAGTGTCAATACTCTCCCTTGTAGCAACTATAATTTTCAGCCAAGTTGGGAAATAGTGACCTAAAATGGACCCTTCTGGGCATCCAAACTTTCAAATTTCCAGGGAAAGGTTTCCTAGAATTTATTGTCCTAGGGGGAATAAATGGCTGCCACACTGTCATTTTGATCCCTCCCAGTTGCTCAAGCATTGTCCCTCCTTTCCACAATCTTGCCAAAGCCCCCATATATGTAGTAATTAAATCATTGAAGTGTAGTGTGCAATCTCGGCAAGAGATGATAGTCATGCACACTTTAAAGTGAGTCATCCCAGTGGATATTTGGTGAGGTATTGCATTCTGTGCTCAAAATCTAGTTCACATAGACCCGGGGAAAAAGAATGGGGCATAGCAGTCATTCAGGTCGGTTAATTGCTCCAAGTTCTAATTTAATACCACTGCTCATTTGGTTATCTATCTTGCCAATACTCTTTCCAGTTATTTGGGTTTTTATGGAAACTCTTCCCATTGAGAAGAAGCATAGTATGTGTTTGCAAATTAATAGCAAAGAAAAGTAAAAAAAAAAGCAAAACAAAAACATTAGGGGAGGAAGAGGATGGTACCAAAGACAGTGGTAAAATTTATTTTGGCAGGGGGTTGTTTTTTTATTTTTGAATGAGGGTTGTAGCCTAAGTATGTCGTTTGAACAATGAGACAGACTTATAGCCAGAAAAGGGTGATTACAAGCTAAAAGAAATAAATAACAAATTGCAAATCACTAACAAATAATTTACAATAACATAATGAAAATAAAACAACTGGTAAAAGTACAATAGATTGTCATGGCAATGCACTAAATTTAACAAACAAGACAATTTCAAAGTATTGCATGACAGAACAGTGATCATTGTGTGACACTTAATAAAATACTAATCCTCTTGTCCAAACATGTAACTATTGAATAGTGAGCTATTCTTAGAATTAAACACACTGTGCCAAATAGCTTGCCTTATTGATTTTATTTAAAATTACAAAAAGTCTTTCTCCTCAAGTTGCCTCCATTTTCAGTCTCTCCACATTTCATAATGATGCTGTTCTGTGATGCTCAACAAGACTCATCCATCACTATCATCTTGCTTTAAGATACTTGCCACATCTATGAACTCTTCTGTGGTCTCCTTGGTCCAAAAAGGCTCTATCCCACTTGTAATAAAAAAAATCTTTGTCTTGATTTCCCCTTCCTTACCTACCTCCAGTAATCAAAATCTACCATTTCTTTTGTTGTCATCACTGCATGGTAACACCCTCTTGGAACTCTTATCCCTTTTTCCTTCCTTAGTTTGAAAAGATATTGCTCAGTGACAGCTCCAATAGAGCATCTGTAGGGTTGGAAACTGTGAAGAAAATCAGTCTGCATTAGGAAAGAAACTCTAATGACACTCAGCTCATGAAAGACTATCTTCACCAAATAGGTATTAAAATGCACATTTGGCCTACTTTCATTGGGTTGGTTGGACTTCTTTGCTAATGAAGTACCACCAACCAAGTATCAGTAGGTTAATGATAATATGCTATAAATTAACTCAAGGAACAATGAAAACAACCTCACCTTTATCTTAACCCAACAAACAAATTTAGCAATTAAAGAAGGAACATCAATCATTAGATGTATTTATAATAATTTAACTTAAGCAGACATAAGCAATAAAAACATTCAAAACTGGTCATCAAAGGACACATGACATAAAAGTTATAGTAATTATAATAATAGTAATAATAGTGATAATAATAATAATAATAATAATAATAATGATATCCCCCTAAACTACTTGGCATGTTACAAGAACATCTCTGTATAGTATAAAATAATAATAATCATAATAATAATAATAATAATGTTCCTCTACACTACTTAACATGTTACAAGAACATCTTTGCATAGTATACAACAATAATAATAATAAAGTAAGAGGAAACCTGAGCAGAAGAAAAACCATAAGTCACTCACAAATTCTCCATACCTCATAAGAAGCATCTTTGGGAGGCTTGAGGAGCTCATACAGGACAAAATCTTCATCAACTGGTTCACTGGCTGTAAAAAAAAGCACAACAATGCTTTCTTTAACACATAACAAAAAACAAATAAGGTTTATATAGATGAATAATTATGGAACAAAATAGCAACAAACTCATATTACAAAAACAAAGAAAGAGTGAAAATGGTCAACATATTAATTACCTTGAATATCGTTTTCATTTGACAACTCTGTGTCTTTGTCCAGTAGTTGAATGTCTAATGGAGGAAGAGGAGGGCGGAAAACAAATGGATCATCTTCTATCTTCATAATCCTCCCCAAAATCCACTGATTCATACTTACCAGGAAAAGCAACACCAAAACCAGCAGAAACCTCTTCCATGGTTTTTTCAGGACTAAATGGACTCACTCCTGTTCTGTATTTCTTGATTCCATCTTCACCTGTTCTTGCACTGCTGTCTTCGCCAGCACAAAGCACAAAACAGTATCTGCCAATTTTTCATAAACGTATGTCTGGCATCCATTGAGGCTACAATCTCCTAAATAAAATATAGTATTTGTGATTAAATTATAGCTATATAAGATTGCTACCAATAACTTACATTTATTGATCAACCCTTTACACCCTAACATCAGTTCAAATATTCTCCATACTGCTCTTTATACATTTCCTGAGATGCTGACAAGGAGAACTTGTTTAAAAATCAAGAGCTTTATAAGTTGTTGGTCATTTCCTTTATTCTCATGACCTTAATGTATGATTCAGGGGTGATATTGTAAGGAGAAATTAGAAGCTAGTCACGTTAGGGGTTAAAGGGTTAAGAGTGTTTCTTTCATTAATGTAATGCAAACTGTACATAACTGGTACAGCAGATCCTATTTAATGGTCAGAGATGACCTTTCTTCAATTAGGTAACTGGAATTGAGGCAATGGAAGATATTATTGCATGCTCAGTGTGCTGTACGTAGCATGGTAGTATTTAAAGTTTCCTGTTCCTGAATTTCAGCTGTGGATAACTGTTGTATTCCACCACAATTATTTTCCAGCCCCTCTAAGCTGTTCTCAGTTTCTCAGCAGGAGTTAACTGTTGTATTCCAGCACTGTTAATTTCCAGCCCCACACAACTGTTCTGAGATTACCAGCAAGGAATAAATATTCTTTTCCCGTACTTACTTGTATTTTCCAGCCCCTGCAAGCTGTTCTGTCTTTTTTGTTTTCCGGCTGGAGGTAACTGTTATTTCTAAGCACAATCATTTTCTAGCCTCTCTAGGCTGATCAGAGTTTTCCTGCTCTAGTTACCTGTTATTTTCCATAAGACAGACTAATGTACATAAGGACCCAGGGCATGGAGCAAAGAAACCTTCCTTGGAAACCTTGAGAACAAGCCAATAATGTTTTTAATTGCTCAGATCAAACTAAAAAATTTAATTGTTTTTTGAAAACAATGTCATATAATGTTATATAATGTTAAAAATATCAAGCCCAACAGTAATTCTGAACACAAAATTTAAAAAATTTGACACCTGTGGAGTATATGGCATTGCTTATGAATGAGACAAAAATGTGCTTTTACACTCCCATCATGCCTAAATAATGTCTGAGTAAAATTTAAGCTCAAATGTAGTATTTTCAGCTTATAAATCTACTCCTGGTGGGTAGCTCTGGCAACCTATCTTTACATGTAACTGCCGATGAAATAACCCTCCATTTTCATAAAGATCTACACTTTTAGAACCTTCTTGTCATTTTTTTAAAGCATGGCCTTTCAAACTTTTTCTTTTAGCTCCAATGATAAAAAACATTTAGAGAAACTCAAATAATGAACAAGCACAACTAGTGCTTAATTACTAAGTTGGCAATTGACTGAGACACCATTAGCACCACAATAAAAAAAGGAAGAACCCTCAACTGGCTAAAACATGCATCATTCAGTTGCATACTATTATTTTAAGCGCAAAGAAGAGCGCAATGTTTACAAAAATCATTTTGTGAGGTCTTATGAGATCGAAAAAGAAGATTTGAGTGTTTAAAAGACGAGATAGTGGTTCGTTTTTGCACGCGAAGCCCTCAAACTCGTGCAATAATTTGCTGCTAAAAGTGACGATTTTAACCGAATTTCGTTATTTGTATTTTTCTCTGAAATAAAAAGATATTGCGCCAAAAAAAGTATGCAGTGATTTTAGTTATAGTCTAGGCTATCTAACATTAAAATATGAAAGAAATCGAATTTTCCACCCTTGCCGCGATATGTTTGATTTTTACAGACAAGCGCTCTTAAATCTTCTTTTTCCATATATAACCCGCTATACTTTAACTCTAATTTAACCACTGAAGCAATCAACAGAGATTGGAATACTTGAGAGGGCTTGAAATCCTGGCCATAGAAATCCTGAGGTCCTCAAGTATGAAGGTTTTATATCTTGCTACATTGCAACTGGTTTATGATAAGAATTTTTTCCACAATCACAATATACATGCGTGTCATTCAAGATTCCATTTCGACATGTTTTTGTCTAATTAACTATGATGAGAAAAATTAAATAGAGTTAAAATCATTCAAAATGAAAATATTTACCAATATAAAGAGAGCTACATCATCATCCTTCATATTTGGTTAATAGAACATGCAAATACTGAAGTAAAGAAGGATTAAGTTCATATGCTTTGATTTGCATTGCAGAAAAGCCTTCCAGCTGCAAAAGAAAAACTATCATGTTGCTGCCTACTTGTAGTGTCAAAGCATGTGCCAAATGTCAGTTTCTAGAGGAGACTGATGAACAGTGCAGAAGCCTATGTGTACAGAAACCTGGAACTGCTCGGCTTTTATGCCTTATATGTAACAAGGAATGGTCTTCCCTAGAAGAGTTCAGTTGGAGAAGCTCATTAAAGAAATGATAGATTGAGCTCCTAACTTGCTTCATTTCATGACCACTGTCTCTTTCCTTTTGCACAAAAGTACAAGTACCTCCAGTGTGTGTGACATATATGGTTATGTAGTAAATACTCAACGCTGAGAGCTGAACCTTTTCCAAAAACTCATGTCATCGTCCTTGGTATTGAACATTCCAATCATGAGGTGGATATCATTTTAGTAACTACAAGTAAATAGTAAAATAGTTGTTAAAAAATTTTATTCTCACTTGAAATAAAAGGTAAGAAAAATTGTCAAAGGTATATTGTTTGCCAGGGGCGGGCTCTATTATGAGCATGCGCAGGAGTCAACCGGAAGTCATTACTAAAGAATGTAGTCATGTACATTTAAAACTGGAATCCCACAATTTATTTGGCGACCGTACCGCCGGCAAGGAGCCAAAATGACCCTGGGCTCGAGATTGGACTCGTGCCTAAAGTGGATTGGTTGTATTGCAGAAATGAAGACATAATCGAACATGACGCTATCAATTGTCAGTTGCCCTTTTGCGAAGAGTCACTCAATGGTTTAACACTGGAAAAAATATCAAATATTATCAAATATCCAAGTTGGTTTAAACTTGGGTTTTACTTGTTTTTTGTTGGATTTTCACTAAAATCCAAAAAAAGTTTTAAAAAAATTCCAATTTCGATTTACAAGTTGGATTTTTTATTAAACAAACTGGAAAATAAGAGAAAACCATAATTGGAAAAGCTATCATTCAAATAATCATATTATATTCATTAATTTGGATTTTCACAAATCCAGACATGGATTTAGCTCATTACTTATTTGTATTCTAAAGATAACCAACTTTGTTAGCTCAGTTATCCTAGTTTGGATTACCAAACAACAGGCTTGGAATTGCACTATCCCAGTAATAACCAAAACTGGAAAAAAAAAAAAAGGAGAAACCCATAACTGGAAAAGGGACTATCCAAATAGTCACTTGAATCAGCAATTTGGATTTTAACAAATCCAGATATCAGTGGATTTACCTTATTACATGTTTCTATTCTATAGATAACCAACTTTGTCAATTGAGTAATCCAGGTTCTAATTACCAGATAACAAAATTGGAATTGCACTACTACAGAAATGTTCTTTAAACCACATATTTTGTTTGACACTAAACCAACTTTACTAGGTAAAAGATTTTTTAGTAAACCTAAATAATGGATAATGACCTTTCCAGTCTAATGAATAGTCAAAGTCAAACATTGCTGGCTTTGTGTGATAGCCAACTACAGTATCTGTAAAAAAACACATTCACCACAAAATGTCCTAGCAGCCAGTCTACAAGGAGCAGCTTTCAACAGAACAGTCACCACAGTCGTGGTGCTTTAAACAACAACATGCATTTTGTCCTTTCTTTCCTTAGCAGTTTCAGTTTACATTTACTGGCAATTGGATTAAGTTCCTTCATTCCTTTAGCTGAAAATAATACTGATGGCTGACCACCTTGTCTATCCAGACCAAGGTGATCAAGTCAGCTGACACACTTGCCACTGACTTGTGTAATGACCAAGTACTGCGAACAACAATATCATCACAAAATATTATTCATAAACTCGAACATCATCATCACAGCCATGATTCTTTAAACAACAACCCACTTTTTGTCCTTTCTTTCTTGAGAAGCTTCAGTTTATGATTTCTGGCAAACAGATTAAGTTCCCTCAATAGCTGAATATTTCTGAACTTGTCTATCCACACCAAAATGATGAAGTCAGCTGACACAGTACTACTTGTCATGGGCATTGACTTGCGGTGCAACAATCAACAGTCACCTGTCATTCAGAACCACATCATCTCCAGCGACATTTCCTAAGGGAGCATTCACTTTAACATTCCCCCTTTTAAAAGGGCACTTGCAACAGCACAGATGTGAGCAGTTTTGTCTTTGTTCCTGAACAGTTTCAGATGAAGAGTTTTGGCAATTGGTTTTGGATCCTTGAAAGGTGGACGTCATTGATGATTGCTCTGTCCAGCCATACCAAGATACCGGTAATGGTTTCTGCTGATGATAAAGTGAGTTCTGAAGAAGAGACATTTAGTTAAACTATAATTACACAGTGGTATCTAGTCACGACAACCACTTGCCACAGGGTTGTTACTTCCTACCACAAAAAGCAAATTGGCTTTCAAGCCAGATACTAGAGATTTTAATTTTACAGCATGCAGGTATTTCCAGTACAGTAGGATTACTGCGAATAGTACATTTACTGAATTAAGTACAAAGTGCTCACCTTAGAACCCATACTAAGCTCGTTGTTTAACAAACAGAGAAGCCTTGACTGTGCTCTGTTCTGTTATAAAGCACGCAGGAAGCAGCTAGAGCACGAAAGAAGGGTAGGGAGAAACACGAGACGTTGTCGAGCGTTTCTCCTCACTTCTTGAGTGCTCTAGCCGCTTCCTAAGTGCTTTATAACAGAGCAGAGCACAGTCAAGGCTTCTCTGTTTGTTTTATAATAAAGAATCCGTTAAATTCCTCATGCATTACTTTCAATTCTCAAAACAAACTTTAGTATCAAAGCGAACAACAGTGTCGTCAGCATGCTCTATACTCTCATAGAGCACGCTACAATAAGCCAATCAGAATCCCTGTTAAAATGGTTCAAATAATCTGATTAGCTGTACAAGACAAAAGCTGTCAAAAGTGTCAAACCATCAAAGTTCACAATCTACGATAGTTTACAAACTAAAATAGTTCGGCAAGTCGAATTTTAATACAGAATCTTGAAGTGAAATGTTCAGTGAACTTCAGCCGAATTATGGCTCATAAAAACACGCGAGTTTTTTCACATGACAAGATAGAAAACAAACTGTTCAAGGCAAGTGGTTTTTAAATGAACGACAGCCGAATTCACCGGAACATGAAGATCGCTCGGGGTGACAGCGCTGAAAAACTCGGCTGCAGTGACTGAAGTGACTTTCCACTCAACGCATCGGAAAGGATATCAGAGCGAGCTCTTATTTTTTCACTCGAAGGGCGGCCGATGTAGTTTCTGAGGCTTGCTTTACTATGATGACCGGAGATCACCATGATAAGCGAGCCGCGATGGACTTCAGCGTGATCATATTTGCTCAGACACCGTCATGATTGGCACGAATTTTAACAGTTATGCCAGTTTGGTTATATTTTTCATCATTTCTGTTTTGTTCTGTTTTGTTTTTGAACTCTGAACTTTATATACCATACGAGTGTTAGCTATGTTTGATTTTTATTACAGTTCGTAAGCTTGCAATCTAGCTGAGCGTGAAAATCTTTAAAAATTCGGAATATCTATTTTAATTTTCCTTTGAGGAGTTTCGTATCTGCTCACGTTTTAATAAGGTAAATTATGGCGCCTGATATGTTTACAAACCTTTGTTTGGTTCTTCTGTTGCTACTTGCCGGCTCGCTTGTTCCGAAATCTCACTTTCAATTATCGGAAAAAGGCTAAAAAGAAGTCCCGGAAAAGGTCGAACATAGTACAATTTTGCAGATAGCGTAACAGCTTTAGCTCAGTTCTATGCTCTATACTCTCATAGAGCACGCTCTTTCAACCAATGACAGCGCGTTATATCCGAACTTTATTACAATAATAATTACAAGATAGGTGCATGTGTAATCAATACAGCACAATGTGTTTACCGTTACGGTGCTACAACTAAACTCAGCAAAATGTTTGTGAGAAACATTAAGTTCCAGATGGAAACTTAAAGAATTTGCCGTCGGTGTTTCAGTTATCATCAGACGACGCAAATTTTGGTGATTTAACGTTGTTGTTTTGTCGAGGAACTAAGAAATGTATAAAGATTTAAAACGCACGTACTGAGCTATTTTTCTGCCCATTAGACCATTGTTTTGCTAGGTTCGCCGTTTGCTCGAGGTTCTTATTAGCGGATAAATATATCCTGTCACGTGCTTTTCAAAATTCGTGGAATTGACTACCCCCAAGCGATGAATATTGACACTACATATAAAAATGAGAAAAACTTATAGTTCTCTGGGAAAAACAAGTCGGTTTTCGTGTGAAAACTCCATCATTATCGTTTGCTAGTTTACATTTTAATTACCTCCACTAAAAAAATATCGTAGTACGCCATAAGTAAAGTTTTTAAAGGCTCCACAGCCGTCCAAAAAAGCCTTCCATATCCTCTTCAACAGTCCATTCTCTTGCTCTTGATTCAGAGGAATCTGTCTCGGGATATCATCATTAGCACCAGGGTTGCAACCTGATTGATTTTCATTCTCAGGCATCAGCGTTTGATTTTCGTCGTCTTCAGAGGACGGGAGAGCGCAGACCGTGCTTGTGGTGGTTGGAGAACTGTCTGGATATTTTAAACGGCCCTCGTTAATTTTGACGAATGCTAACCCTGACGGAATACTCATGACATTGAAGCATTTTATCCAAAGATCTGAGGGCCAGTTCTCACATTCGGGGAGGCAAAGTTGTTTATAATTTCCCGTCGGAACCATGGGAATTTCTCGGCGCACTTGTGATTGAACCCCAAGACTGGCTAGGAAATCACCGATTGCTTTTTCCTAGAGGTACTTCTCTCCCGAGTAAAAAGCTAGGTCATCCTCTTCATCTGGATCTTTGGTATTCAAGTTAGCATGGGTTAAAGCCACCACGCTTTTCTCCCATACTTTACTCCCAAAAGCCTCTGTCAGGGTTCGCATTGCCTTTTTATCCTCGTCATAAAACCGTCTCTCGGTCATATTGATGCAGTAAATCATAACATAAAACCCCCGTCTTAACTTCCTCTTCATGTCTATGACAAACCGACTTTCATTGCACGTTCCATCTTGCAGACCTGGTGAATGCCACACAAATACTTCGATATCATTGATTTCAATGCGGTATGAAGTGACGGTGTCGGTACAAGGGCTTTTGGATTGACCTTCCTTCGCAACTGACTCTCCAACAAGAGCGTTTACAAGACGAGATTTACCGACACCGGTCTTGCCACTGATTAGGATAGACAAGCGTTTTGGGTATATTTCTGAAACCCATTTTGAAAAGGCAGACTTCAATGCTTCTGTAGCATTGTTGCGGAATGTTTTGGCCATTCTTCACAATTTACTCACTGCCGGGTCAGTTAGGCGAAATTACCTGAAAGGTAATCATTCGTTGAAGAGTGCCACTATGACGTCACGCAACATTTATTGATTTCAACACGTGGTTGGTTACCGCATAGCAGCGCCATACTAGAGAGCCTATCGTTAAACAAAGCTTTCGAGAAAGGTCAAGGGTGACTATTCAAGAGAAAACGAAGCGTATTTTGCCCTCGTATTCCCTGTATTTAGTATTTGAAGCTCATTCTTGGATAGATTTTAAGAATTTTGCTTTTTAAACAACTGTGGAGCGTTTTTGGGCGCAAAATTTCTTCCATCGTACAGGATTTCCCGTCCGGAAACTATACTACTCTTTTGTAGTGACATATCCTCTGGAATCCGCAACGGATAACTCCAAATGCTTCAGGCCAATGAGAAAGAATGAGCCGCCCCGTTGCGTAGAGGTTTGCATCGGCCTACCAGACAAGACACTCTCTGGAAAGCGCTAATGTGTTGCGGGAATAAGTAGATATCGCCACCTTGTGATTAGCCTTTTTTTTTAAATCTGACTCACTGAAAACAGCTTGGCATGCGATCCCTTCCCGATGACTTGACATGTACAAGTATGCAACAGCGTTGGAGCATTCCAAGGGGAAAAAACTACACATCAGCAAGAGATCTAGGAGGTGTTGGTAAAGAAACTGCAAATGGGGGCACATTACAAAAAATTCACTAGAAGTACACTGTGCTCTCCATCATCTCAGTACAACGTCCTCACCAAAGAACATTTTAACGGAATCGAACCAAACCCTCTAGTATAGACAGTGTCTCTGGTTCTAAAGAAAGATCAAGCCAGTAGCCTTCCTGTTGTCCCTTGCAAATTTGGAAATGCACATAATCTACCACAAAGTACCTGTGAGTGAGGTAATTTGCCATCTTCGTTCTTTCCCACATTAATATTCTTCTCTCCTTTTGTAAGAATGTAGACATCACTCACAATGTTTCAAGTGATCCACCCACCCTACAAAAAAGTAACTCTTGCATGCATAGCATGCCTATGTTTTGAAATAGGTGTATACCCTTGGCCAGACTTGAGCGCACTATTTCAGTATACTAGTCCGACACCCGTAGTATCACTACACTTGATTCCAAGGATCCAGTACCATCCAGGTATCCCAGTTACCCTGCTCACAGGGTCTAGTTTTCTTTGAAGTTTCTGCTTAGAAGTCATTATCCAGGACTTATTAAAAGAAAAAAATGGCGCGAAAAAGCGACGCACGTAACCGTCCGTTCATTCTGCAGTTGCGGCGTGCACTTTGTAAGAGCTAATCGCCTTGACTTTTGAGAGAACAGCAAAAGAACTACCAACTTTGAAAGGTACGTGATACATATTCATGCTCATGGTTTTATGGTGGTAAATCACTTTTTCAATGTCCAAATGGTCAGTATTTTATTTTAGGCTGAAATTGAATCACGCAAAAGACCTTTCCGGCGTGCTTTCAACTCTTATCATAGGAAAAAAGAATGACCCTAGGCGTCTTTTATGAATCACATACACTTGTTTAATCAAAATATGTTTCTGAGCGCAGAGATAAATAGACTATTCTCGACTAGACAAGTTCTAGTGCTGCCGTGAGGATTTAATTGGAAAAAGTTCAAACAGGAAATCAGAGCATGAACGGTCGTGGTTCGCGTGTAATGTTCATTTCTGCCGGACACCAAAGTCACTGTCTTGAAAAAGAACTTCAAGCACGTTAAAGATTATAAAACTTTATTTTTATGGGAGGTTCGTTTTGTGAATAGAGCTCGTTGAAAAGATTACAGATTTAAATAATAAATGCGGTATCCACACCCCATATTTGGGGCCGATTTTGATCAAGTTTCTTGGTTTTCACTTTTTCTTTTTCCTCTTCTTGTCACCGGCCACCGGTAGATGGCTAACTATTTAGTGGTTGAATAGTCAAAGACTGGCTATGTATCATTAAACCCGCCGCAACTTGAGGCTTTAGCCTCACGATCAGTGATTGCTCGGGACGGCTTTACACAGTGCAACGCAGTGCCCATGCAGTATAAAGCAGAACTTTGGAAAGGCAAAATTTTATCTATCCATGGTGAGTTGCTCATGTCAATTGTGTCAGAAAATGTATAGCCTGACAAGTGATTTCTAGGTTAGCTTTCACAGAAAAGCTGTGTCGGTTGAATTGTTTTAGTAAATTAAGTTTGCCAATAAATCGTTCTTGAATCGCGTAAAGGAAAAAACAATTGCTTTTTTTTTGCAAGTTAAAAATGCGGACTGTTTTTTTGAAAGGAAAGAATTATCTCGCCTTTTTGACCGGAAATTGACGCGTAATTGCGAGATATATTGGTAAAAGCCGCAACCAACCGCATTGCGAGAACTGACAATTAATCTGGAAAAGCTCTTTGTTAGACGCCTGCCTCGTGGTTTAATTATTTGTAGTTTGCAGAACTTTTCCAAATCCAGACGAGTCGAACAATCCTCACAATTTCTTTCGTTTTGCGAAAGAAATTTCACGAAAGCCATTTTAAAGCCAGCTGTCAAGAGCCAGCGCGTAGAAATCATGAAAATTACAAACACGGCTACTTGCGGCGAACTTTGCCCTTAATAGGTGTGACAAATTTTCGCTGAGAAATAAGCCGCGTTTCCCACAAACGAACAATTGACAATGAAGGGAGCCTCACTGGGATGATAACTTTTTCGGCTAACAATTCAAATTTTGGCGGATTTATGGCTAACAGTTAATATCTTGCCATTGTCGTCTACAGAAATTTTTTCACTGTTAACTTGTTTTTCTACTAACGGTTAAAATTACTCAATTTTAACGCGTAACGGCTAAATTTTTCGGCCGTTTAACAGCTTACGGCGAACCCCATTGAGACCCTCATTGAGGAATGTTTTTGAGAAAAGAGTTAAGAGTTTGCGAATATCTGCAGTCATTCTTACACTGCAAGTCAAAAGTCGATCCTTCAGTGCTCAAGGCTAATATAAGTGTAGTACCGATTAAAGTCTCTTTAGAGGAGAGAATCCAGCGGAGTCACCCATTATTTAATGACACATTCACTTAAAAAGTGTGAATTTGCAACGTGATAAAATCGAAGATTCTAGCCGCTGTAGATGCATAATCTTGTTTTTCTAGTAGATCAGGGGGTAAAATTTCTGCACAGCCCCATACACAGCCCGAAAATTTTACCTTTAAAACTCGCAAATTACTTGCAGTTTGCTGTTGATGATCTTCTAAATCTAGCCGAGTTTCTTTTTTTCTCAGTACTTTGGGATGAATAGATTCGCGGAACTTTTTCAAAACGTCCTATGTTATCTTATGTAGTTTTTAAGATCAGACTTATCTATCTGAGACTGATGCAATTAACTGCATTGTAATTTTTTTGTCTACATCATTGAAGACAAGAAGAAGGCTGCAGACAAGGAAGTAGCTCCCGAATGCATCACCCCAAGCCCTGCAAGTCGGAAGGCGGTTGATTACAATAAAAACAAAAGGGCCAGGACTAAGAAATCTCTTGGAACAGACTTTGAATTTCATTACGTACTGGCTGCAACAGAGACAGCAGCTCTGGATCTGAGGGTACATGTATATACAGTATTACCCCGTTAATTCAAACTCGCAAGGGAAACAAAATATGGTTCGCATTAGTGAGTGTTTGCTGACAGCAAATGACTGAAAAACATGGGTCAAGGGAACTCAGAGTTGTTCGAGTTACTAGTGCGTTTGAGTGAACCGAGTTCAAGTAAGCGGGGTCCTACTGGCCTTAAATTGAAGTTAAATTACCTGAGCAGCCTTCATATTTTTTCAGGTTTTAATTTGTATACAAAAGTTATAGATTAATTGCCATTGAAAGGTTGTCTTCTGGCAATATGCCCTGCAATGGCAGTTTGAAATTCCAGCCATAGCCACATCCATCTGTGATATTTTTCAATGTCTTTATAATATGTTCATTCACTTTTATACGGTAATCTAGAAACAGATGTTGAGGAGGTGGATAAAACACCAGCAAGAAAGCCAAACGAGAAAAGAAAGCGAAAGGGTAAGGATCAGGGAGTTTGTAATATGCATGCATATGCTCTGATTGGCTAAGCTCTATAGCTAGCATTATTCTACCGTAATGCCCATGGGCCAATTACAAAAGTTAGCTTCATGATCATGTTTTTTTATAATTTAGTGGTATTAGATTTGCTTTTAGTGTCAATCAAGTCATCATTCAGAATAATGTGTATATATATATATATATATATAACTTTTTCCCCTATACATTGCAGAAACTGATGGTGAGGAACAGGATGTACAAATTGTTGAGCTAAAGAGAAAAAAAAGTCACAAAGAAAATGGTTGGTATAACCCTGGTATTACCATTACTGTTATTATAAGGAACTAAATGCAGTAAGGATCATTTGACTTTGATTTAACGATCTCCATCACAAAATGTACAACAAATTTAGTTATTTGGTGGTCAGGAGTATGTTTGGAGTGTATTTAATTTTCTTTTGCCTGAAGGGATATAACATATTACATTAATAAATCAGGGTTGCTACAGTCAAGGAAAAATCAGAAAAAACAAATTTCTTTAAGGTCACAGATGACTGTGTCAATGAATTGCATATCATTTCATGGAAATTCAAAACTTTACTTGGAAGTCAATTAAAAGCTGGGACACTTTACTCTTTGTTGAGCCATCAGGTTTCTGAAAATATTTCATTACATCAACACTGTTTCAAAGATAGGAGAGTCAGATACCATAGCTTCCATTATTTGCCATAGAAAAAATGGTAGAACCATACATTGCACAAAATTTAACATTATTTTACTTTCACTGTACACAGGCCCAGGGAAGAAGCTCAAAAAAACAAAGAAAAGTACAAAAGGTAAGTAAAATGGAATAATAAGTAAAGTTCAAGTCAGAGTGATCATTATTAACACCATGTATACACATCATCCTGGCTAATTAGAAACCCATCTATCTGGCTCTAGAGTTACTAAGATTGAACCCACATGTCATTGATTGGTCTGTTAGCTGAATCAAATCTTCATTAATTTTACCTATGATCTGCATTAAAAAATTTGAATGACATAAATTCCAGGTCTCAAGCAAGGGAAACTGTCCACCAACAAGCAACAACAGTTGCAGATAGTTGCTGCACAGTGTGAACAAGTGAAGGCACTTGTGGTTGATGAGGAAGAAGACCTCCCTCACATGCCAGCACCTAGTGTAGCAGTTATTGACACTAAATCCAGTATGGAAAGTGACAGTATCCATGGAGGCTGTCACAACATGCTCTGCATAAAGGAAAAGCAAAGACTAAGGGATGAAGTAGAGTCCCTCAAGAAAAAAATTAGCCGAATATGCTGGTTAGTTGAGCTAACATATATATATATATATATATATATATATATATATACAAGTCTGTGACAGGTTTTGAGTACACTTAACAACAGGAGAACATGTGTCTTGGCCTTACAAGCATAAAGAGTGTTCAGAAGGAGCAGTTGTGAAGACCTGCATTAGCACTATCCAAGTACATCTTTATCTACAGATGTGTTTGGACATTGATGTATCAAAATAAATCAAGGGTTGTATCAACCCGTTACACCCTAACATCATTATACATAAGGAGAATTTGTTTACCAGTCTAAAGGTTCCTTCCCTGCATGATGACCATTTCCTTTATTCTCATGACATTTAATTTGTGATTTAGGGTTCAAAGGATTAATTGACAGATATTATTTGCTGATGAGATGACACCTGATTCTAAGAAAATTTATGATAATAATTTTTTTTTTTAATCTGACAGTGGCTAAAGAATTAACTCCAAATCCAGGAGAGGTATATATTCAAGATAAGGATATACTGAGGTACGGAAAAGTACTCAGGCAAGAGGCACTTAATAGGAAGGTAAATAGTTTACGTATAGATATGCCTCCAACTTATAGCCATTAATAACAGCAACTGACAAAACTAAAGGCAAGTAAGGAAACACCATCCTCTTTGGCTTGCTCCAATGTTGCGTTTTTATTTACCTAGTCAGTGTGCATCTGTGGTGTTTGTCATCTAATAATATACATGGAAAAATTACTTAGTTCTGATTGGTTAAGATAAATGCAGTTTTCAGGTAATTCAGTGCAGAAGAGAGTTAATTCAGTGCAGAAGAGAGTTAATTCAGTGCAGAAGAGGGTTAATTCAGTGCAAAGAAAGAAACAAATCAGACATTCTGATTGGTCAATAATCAAAGAAACTCACAGATAGCCAATCAAATGCGAGCCTTGGATGTCGCAACAAAATTTGAAAATTTTGAAAATTTGCGAGCGAAACGATGGCCGGTGTTTTAAGTAGGCTTTCTTTCGCCACCACAGCTGAAAAACAGCTTAAACAACGAAAACACTGTAAAAAGCACTGCTCTTTGGTTGTTGGTTTGGAAAAAGCGGTGTTTAGAGAAGGGAATTGCCGAGGAAATCGAAAATTACGAGCCGACCCAGCTTAACACTTTGCTCGAGCGATCACACGCCGAAATTAAAAACAAACATGATTAAACCTCGGAAACGACGATTCCATTTCATCGAAAGTGATTAGGACACAGACTGAACAATTCCTTGAACTGTTTAGCCGGACTTTGAACTTTTTTGCACCTTAAAGATGTGAAGATATCATTGCATAATTTATTATTATTTTGATCGTACGCGGTTGTTTTGACCGAACGCAAGGTTTGAATAAATGATTTTTGCACTTGACGCGCGAGCTTTGCTTATGTTTAATTATGATTAGCCATCTTGCATTTTTCCATGTATATAATTAACACGTAATCACATGATTTTTCTCGTGCAATTTGGAATAAACAAGCACTTGTTAATTTTTTCAAAGACCACAAATTGCACTCGCCCTAGGGCTCGTGCAATTTTGTTAGTCTTTAAAAAATTTACTCGTGCTTATTTATTCCAAATTGCACGCGAAATCATGTGATTACCTATACAAATCTTCTATCCATCATTTGCATCATGTAGTCATATTAAACCTTTAACTGCTATGATTTGATTGTTAATTCTCCTCTCTAGCTGCTACACATTTCCTTGATAACAAGTTATGTGAACATGATATTAGATCAAGATAACTGCTTCTCACTGATACGTTTGAGTGTTCTCATGACCTGTTTGCTGGATGATGTTTAGATATTATAGGGAGAAGTTACATGTTAATCACTTTTGCAAGTTAAAGGGTTAAATAATTATGTAAGATTTTTTCCTTCCTCACAGTGGGAAGAAATAGGTAATGGAGTCTGGATAGATCCAATCAGGTTGCGTGCAGCACAAAAAGATGCCAAATCAAAAACAGCTTTTGCAAGGATGGTCTTGATGTTTTTTTTACAAAAAAGAGGAGTTGAAGGGCAAAAGGTTCCATGAACTAGACCAAGATATTGTGCATGCCATTGCAGGTTGGTATTTAAGTTATAAATATATGTTCTACCAAGAATGGTATTTATAATAAGCCGTAAAAACCTTCAGTTAATTACTGCAATGATTAAAGCAAGCCTTTATCAGTTAGTTAGTATCCATATGAATAATGAAGCCACAAATGCATAATTACTCAGATGTTTTCCAATTGAATACCAGCAAATCAGTGATTTTACATCAATATACTAGCTGCCTGTACCATTTAAGAAGGTTTTAATAAACATCCCAAATAATCAATGACAAATGTATTTGCAATATCAAAATCACTCTTTGCCTTCTAATTACAATCATTGTAGACTTGACTTATTTGAAAAGAAATTAAAATTGTTTTAATCAAACTAGCTATTTTGCAGTTTAAATTTGCGAGACTTCTAGGATGTGGCTGTGTGATGCAAATATCTCATATTTAATGTGTCTGCAAGCCTCATGAAGGGTACTATGGCAAAGTGATGGCAGGCATAACCCCTTAAATCTACCAAGCGTTGGCAGCCATGCATGAACAGCTGTTTTACATTTTATCAGCATGGCATAAGGCTTAAGTTCCATATCGGCCAGCTATTCACATATTTCAGTTTGTTTTATCTCATTGCTACTTTTCATTTCTATCTCATTCCTAGTTTTACACTACCTTCCTACTAGCTGATAATCCTACCTGATTTTCTGCTAGTTTTTAGTTATCTGATTTCTAGCTTAATGCCATTTTGATTCTAGTTAATTGCTATCTACCAGAGAATCGTTTCTTATTATTTTGATCTACGTTATCTAATTCCTAGTTTATTTCTGCCTTATGTCTAACTGCTATTTTTCTGCCCATTAGATCTTTTGTTTTGCTGGGTCCGCCGTTTGCTCAAGGTCCCAGTTAGCGGATAAATATATCCGGTCGTGTGCTTTGCAAAATTTGTGGTATTGACTGCCTCCAGGTGATAAATATTGACACTACAGGAAAGGATCAGTTTTAATTATCTAAGCACATGTAAAAGTGAGAAAAACTTCAAGTTCTCTTGGCAAAACATTGGTTTTCGTGTGAAAATTCTTTCATATCGTTTGCTAGTTTACATTTGAATTACGCCGTCTGGAACAAATATCGTATTATGCGATGACCAAGGTTTCTAAAGGTTTCATAGCCGACCAAGAAAGCATTCCATATCCTCCTCAACAGTCCATCTTCTTGCTCTTGATTCAGAGGAATCGCTCTTGGGATATCCTCATAACCAGCAGGGTTGTTAGCTGATTGATTTTTATCCTCAGGCATCGGCGTTTGATTTTCGTCAACTTCAGGGGAGCAGGCATCGGCGGCCGTGCTTGCGGTGGCTGCAGAACTGCCTAGATATTTCAAACGGCCCTTGTTAATTTTGACTAATGCTAACCCTGACGAAATACTCATGACATGGAAGCATTTTATCCACAGATCTGAGAGCCAGTTCTCACATTCGGGGAGGCAAAGTTGTTTATAATTTCCTGTCGGAACAATTGGAATCTCTCGGCACACTTGTGATCTAACCCTAAGACTGGCTAGGAATTCATCGATTGCTTTTTCCCAGTTGCACTTCTCTTGCTTGTAGTAAGTTAGGTCATTCTCGAAATTTGGATCATGCAACATCAGGTTAGCAAAGGTTAAAGCCACCACACTTTTTTCCCATATTTTCCTCCCAAAAGCCTTTGTCAGGTTACTCATTGAGTTTTTATCCGCTTCATAAAGCCGTGTGTCGGACATAGAGATGCAGTAAATCATAACATCGAACCCCTGACTTAACTTGCTCTGCATTTCCTCAAGATAGTCTCCGTCCCTGGACTGTCCATCTTGTAGACCTGGTGTATCCCACACAACTACTTCGATATCATTGATTATAGTGCCGTACGAAGTGACGGTGTCGGTACAAGGGCTTTTGGATCGACCTTCCTTCGCAACAGGCTTTCCAACGAGAGCGTTTACAAGACGAGATTTACCGACTCCGGTCTTCCCAGCGATTAGGAAAGACAAGCGCTTTTGGCGTTTTTGTGAAACCCATTTTGGAAAGGCAGACTTCAATGATTCTGGGGCTTCAATGCACAATTTTGAGGCCATTCTTCACAATTTACTCACTACCGGATCAGTCAGGCGAAATGAAAGTAGAAGAGGGTGAAAACAGGAGGGAGGAGGCTTTGAAAGGTAATCATTGGTTGAAGACTGCCACTATGACGTCACGCAACATTTACTGATTTTCAATAGGTCATTTACAGCTAGCGATCACGTGGTTGGTTACCGCATGGCAGCGCCATGCTGGAGAGCCTATCGTTAAACAAAGCTTTCGAGGAAAGTCAAGGGTGACTATGCAAGGGAAAACGAAGCGTATTTAACCCTCGTATTCCTTGTATTTGGTGTTTAAAGCTCATCCTTGGATATATTTTAAGAATTTTTGCTATTTAAACGAGCAGATTACAATAAATTCATCAAAAGTACTCTGTACTCTCCATCATCTCAGTACAACGTCCTCACCAAAGAACATTTTAATGGAATCGAACCAAACCCTCTGATAGTGTCTCTGTTTCCAAAAAAAGATCAAGCCAGTAGCCTTCCTGTTGTCCCTTGCAAATTTGGAAATGTCCCCAAAGGTTCTATACTTTCCTACCAACAGAAGTTTACTGAGGAATATGTGATAAATGATTTCACCTGTACTGCATTCCCAATTTTACCTTTAGATGGTGCTGTCAATCGATATGAAAACAACATTGCCATTTGCTTAACAGCAAACAACAAGCAACCTTGAACCCTCCGCAGATTACCAAGCAGACAGCTGTTGTACTTCAAGAAAGAACAGTTACACAGAGCAAAAGCACTCTAAGGCATTTGCTGCGAAAGAAATGAATAACTGTTAGCAAATTTGGTCTTGCCGCTCCAAGATTAAGCAATGTTGAGAATATAGTACAGCAGCTCAACCCCAGTAGACAAGTTACCACTGCTGCCATGAGAAGAGGAATTGAACTTGAACCGAGAGTACCAATGGTGTATGCAAATTCTACTAAAGGTGGGCACGTGAATTTATTTCCTTCTGGGTTAATTATAAACCCAAAGTCTCCTTAGCTTGGATGTAGCCCTGACAGAAAGGTTTATGATTTTAAAGCTGCCCTCCATGAAAGCAACCCATTCGAATTACTGGAAATCAAGGTTTTTAAAGAGGGAGAAACTGACCTAAACAATCTTAGATATTTAACATTTGATCCCTTAACTGACAAGTTCAGATTTCAAAGACATGATGTTTATAATTTCCACCAAGTACAGTGCCTGCTGGGCTCACTGGGTTAGAATGGAGTGACTTTTTTTTGTTATGCTAATGACATTTTGTCTATGTGCGAGAGAATTAGTTTTGCTAGGGATTTCCTCCAAGAAGCAAACGACAAAGTTAACACTTTTTTTAAAACTATTTTTTGCATTGATTCTTAATCATTGTTTAAGACTGTCAGTATAATACTTAAGGAATACAAGATTTTCATGGAATAGTCTTAATTACTTGCAAGATTAATTTCTTGCAGTATTATGTAAAAGAATAGGTCCTTGAAAATTGGTCAATAGACAAGCTACTGTGTAGAGCTGATTGACAGAGCTAAGCCTGGATAGGGGGACATCAGAATAAAAATAAAGGAATTCCTTCATTCTTTGGATGGCTCTTTCAACATGTATTCTGAGCTTTGCAATAATTTTTGTTTCAAGTACATTGGCAGCAGAGAACTGTACTTGATTCTGAAGAAAAGGGAGAAAATTTAGCCCCACCCTCTTTTCTCTTAGCAAGTCATCTATATTAAAGCCTTTGTCTTTCATTACCGAGTCACCAGGGTCCAGTAAATCTAGAATTCCACTGAATCTAGTTATTTCCTTTCTGAAATGGATCCTGCATATAACAGAGAAATAAATGAAACTGCCCCATGTGGGGTGATTCCAATTAATCCCTTCAAGGTGGTGTTGCTCTTATAACTGGAATACAGCTGTGACTGGAGTAACAGTGATGTCAGAGTCTGCACACAAATTTCAGTACAGTCTAGAATCACTCTTGTATTTGGAAAGAGAGACACATTCCCTCTGGCATATTATCCTAAACTTCATTCTTTGATGGCCAGATACACTGACTTCCTTAGATGAATTATAGGTAGTATAGGTAGTCAGTGTTACTTTCCTGCATACAGACAACATGTGAATCTGGAAAGGATAGGTAAGATATTGTTCAAACAACCCCAATTTATGTCGGACCAGAAACAAAAAGATTTCATCTATGAGCAGCAGAGATCTAGCTCCAAGTTGACTCTGTCTATCTTCTGATGGATAGCTATAGACCATTCTTTCAGCATTTGCCTTAACAAACTCACAAAAAACTAGTAAGTGTTTATGTCTTGGGAAACCAGTACAGAGCTTAATGGGGGCAACACCTGATAAAAATTGCTCTGGTCTAAATGTCCATAATGCTAACTACTCTCGAGCAAGCTTTCAGCAATTATCAATGCCATTTTATGCTTGAGCCTTCAGGTCGTTGATTGTCTGAATGGTAGCACTTGCCTCTTGTTTAGATATCTTTAATTCTTCAGTTGCATTGTGTAGCTCAGCTTGAACAGATGCAACTTGCTCTTCCAATAATTGAATCTGGTTGGTAGCACTGAGGTGCCCAGGCTCAACTCCCACATCACTTTCACCTTCACAATCACTTTCATCAGTTTGTGTCTCCCTAATAATAGTTAACATGACATTGAAAAGTTCACCCTACACTGCAATATCATAGGCAGTAAGTATAATTCAAAGGTGTCTAAATTTGAAAATGTAGGATAAAATTCATTTGACAGCAATGTGTAAACAAACTACCAATACTTCCTTTTTACCATTGACTGTTTATCTAAATCAGTTAGACGTAAGAGACAGCTTTGTTTTGTTTTGTTCTTCATTTCTATATTAGGTGGGTTATTTTCAATTGGCAAAAACTTACTTCTCCTTGTTGCATACGAGTTTTCTCTCCTGTTTTACCTCGCCTAACAAGCGAAACACTGTGGGGACGCACCATCTTTGAGAGATCATCTCTCTGCATTGCCAAGGGGTTTGTAATCTTCTTCCTGGAAATGTCTTCCACAAATTCTTGCACAACTCGTTATCTAATGAATAATTACAAAAAGCAAACATTAAAAAATCTGAAAAAAATAAATAGAAAGAATTTTTTCATCTAAAAATTTGTTAAAGCAATAAATTTATAGCTGGTTCTGAAATGATCCTGTCTAAAATATAAGTAAAAAAAAAAAGGTGTATAACAGAGCATGTGAAAACAATGTTACCTGAGCTGAGAATAAAAAACAAGAAAGTTCATTCCGAATAATTCTGCTCACCATAAAGTGTTTCTGTTTCATGTCAACACGATATAATCAGAAGGTTTGAACTATTTTCTGGGATAAACAAAATTGTATTGCAAATATCCTTACCACTAACAAGCATGTGGAGTAATATATAAACACTGTAGGCTAAAAAACATGGCAATGACATAACGACCATATATGCTTGTAGTCCACAGACCAAACTCTTAATCTTTAGGCTAATTTTACAATATTTGAAAAGTATAAAATTTTGCCTCGACCTGAAAGTCGGGTCCCTCATCTATTCGAATTTTCACCAGCCAGGAAGCTCTCAGTTCTCTCTTTTTTTTTTTTTAAGTATTAAATGAAACCTGAGGGAACTATCGTATCGCGAGTCACCATTGTTCTTGGAACACAGCAGTGATAACAAGACTTTTTCTTTGGAGGACCAGTCGGTGCTACATCATTTTCTGTGTCGGAAGAACGACTCGAAGATCTCGCTAAACTGGATGATGAAGCTTGTTGATGTTGTGAAGTCTCCATGTTGCTCCCGCTTCCTCTCGGCTGATTGTGTACGCTGCGAGCAAATTTAACGCACGCGTTTAAATAGCCGAACGACCTAAAATCTATCCAAGAATAAACTAAAATACAAGGAATATGGGGACAAAATACGCTTCGTTACGCTTGACCTTCCTCGACCGTTTTGTTTATGGTTTGTTCTCCAACATGGCGCTGTTTCACGGTAACCAACCATGTGATCACTAGCTGGAAGCGGACTATTCAGGAAATATTGCATGATTTCATGGTGGGAGTCTTCAACCAATGATAACCTTTCAGACGCCTCCTCCCTCCCTACTGATTTCCCCTTCGTGCTTTCATTTCGCCTGTCTGATCTTGTGGTTTAAGTTTGTGTTTCATTTACTCTTCCTTTCAGTTCTTTTCACAGCATTCTCCATATTCTATCAAAGTGTTCATAGGGTCCCAAATTTGAAAAAGAATCTTACGTATTAAAGCTGACCTATGAAGTTTGTGTTGAGTTATCGAATAATACTTGAACAACAGCTTGAACAATTTGTACAGAAATGTGATTGACTAGGAACGAAAACTGATTTCAGGCAAACTACTCTTTCCGAAATTGCCCTCTTACATGCTAAAGTTTGAAAGCTCTGCTTATGGCACGAATACAATTTCATGAAATTTCAGCGGAGAATGAATGTGTGACATGACCAGAAATGTCGAAATCGTATGGCCCCGAATATGCCAATAACATTTCGCCTCTCACTGTCAAGTTCATGACACGCACAGAATCATACCTTTTTATGCAGTATTCAGATCAAGTTTGTTCTTGTTTTTCCTCTTAGAATGTCTTGAGTGAATTTGCATAGGAAAGTGTGTAGTTGCACAACAACAAAATTCAACTAATCGCTCCAGTCAAGTCAATACTTTTAGCTGATACATTGTAGAATACCCTGCACAAAGCCTGGGGATTATTCACCAAATATCACTGAGCCTGAGGAGATTTTTTTGCTGGAAAAGAGAATGTAGCCTTCCCTATAAAATATTTATCAGTCTGCAAGTTTTGATATTATGTTTCTCCACTGTGATGTTCTGATTGTTGAGAAGGGTCTACATACTACTCACACCTTAAGAATTTAAGTCAATTTAACATTAAAAATGTTTTCAGGCATTGAGAAATTTTCCCTGAAGTCTCTGTATACACAGATGCATGTACGTACATTGACAGCAAACTATTTCATGAGTTAAGTAAAATCACTCTGACTGTTCCTTTTGCTATGATGTCCTTTGTTGACAAAATTCTCTTGATAAATAGGATACACTGTAAGTGTTTGGAACGAATAAACACTTTTTGGTGTCATTTAGGCAGGTGTGATTGGTGCTAAATATTTTTTCTAACTACATGTGCAAACCATAATCAATCTAACTCAAAACTCAAGTTAAAATTGCTCATCTAACAAACAAAAATGGGTATTTAAAAAAAAACACTCCTCCAATTGTACTTGAAAATGCCACACTTCCGTGGAAATAAACATCTTCAGTACAAATAATTCAAGCAAATAACTTCAGGTGAGATAATGATTTTTCGGAATTTGTGAAATATAAAGTAGACTACAGTGCACTAATATACAATAAATCTATTCTATCCTTTTACTTGCTTGCAACTATTTCACTTTAATTGCTCAATACTATTTCAAAGATTGCAGAAAGTAATTCTTTTTTTGTCATTCCAATTTACCCTTATAAACTTTTAAATAAAATACAGCAGTTGACACCAGATTGAGGAGTCAAGGCTATTTTATTCACCCATTTATTCATAACTATTGGTAAGATTTCTTTTTATATGGGTTGCTGTAAACTTAAAGGTTTTAAATAAATTTTTTGCAATTAAAATGTTTGTGTCATTTTTTAAAATTTTACTGCTTTGGAA